TATCCAGGAAAAATATATCTAGTATTATATATTCCTATAACTAAACCTTGCCTCTAATTTCTCTAATAAGTAACGGCTTTAATATAATTCGAAGCGGGATATTAGATTAGTTAGTTATTAACTATTTCTGGTTAATTAGGGTTACTAAGTATCCCGTATTTATATATATCTTATAAGAAATACTATTAATAGAAAACTTAAATATTATAGTTATAAAGTACTAGTTTCTAAAACCAAATCCGGTTCTAATATCTGATTTCGAATTTATTATAAATTTAATAATTAGAATTATATTAAAGGCTATTACTAATAACTTTTTAGTAAGTTCTTTAGTATCTAATTTAACTATTAGCTAGTTCTTACTTAATTTCAGAATTTCTAGATACTTATAATTATCTTTATAGACATGTTTATATAACTAATTATTACTAGAGAATAATTTCTTATATTTCTTATATATAATTTCCTTTTTAATTTCGTTTACCGGGGCAAAATTTATAATAGTAAAGTTTCTAATAGATTTATTCTTAAAAGTCTCCTTACTATAATTATATATATAGTCGTCTTTATAGTCTTTTTTACTAAAATTCGCAGGCAGTTTAATAGATTCCCTATAAAATAAGTTATTACTTTTAGGTTCCTGGAATTTCTCCTTACTAAGCTCGGTACTAAAATAAATATACTATTAGTATAGAAAGTACTAATAATTTCCTATATTATAGGGTCTAAAACTACCTTAATTTCTCGATATAAATCCGTTTCTATTAGTAATTTATAGCTATAGACGGGGAGCTAGTAAAGCCTTTTAGGCTTCTTACTACTAATTAGAATTCTGATTTTAGGGGCAATTAGTATAGCTTTATTAGAAATCTTAACTAGCTTAAAATTCTCTATAACCTTAACTATTAAAATTATCTCGGCTATAGTAGCCTTAGTAATTCTGGAATTATTAAGGATACTAGGAAAACTACTAGAAATTATTCTAGTATATAGTTTAAGGAAACTAATTCTGAAAATACTAGAAATTCTGAAATTAATAGAAACTAAAATATAAAGAGCTATAGCCGGCAAATTAAAGCTACTTGCCTTTTAAGAAGTATTAACTATTAGTATTTACTTCTTTTACTATATTCTCGAAAAGAATTAATTTGAAATCTATCTTTTCTAGCTATTTTTCTTTAGCTATTAATTCTATTAATATAGAAATATTTACTTAAATAGATAACTCTAGTATATTATATACTATAATTAGCTAAAGGAAATCTGACTCTATTCCGGTAGCCTTTATATATCGGAATATGGTTTATATAAAGCTATATATAGATTCTCTTTTCTAGAGATTAGCTAGACTAAACTAACTCTTTCTTATATTTTTTATTATATTATTTACTAATTTCTTAAATTACTTTATAAGTATACTATAGATCTTATTAACTAAAGTATTAGTTAGAAGATCTCATTTCAGATTAGAAAGTTTATAGGTATATTATATAATTTCTTTACTATAAAGCCATAAGGTCTAGTTTTCTTAAACTACTTAATTACCCTTCTTATTTGCGATTTCCCGAATCCGGTTCGTAAAAATATAAATATTAGTATATACTATAAGCTTTCTAATACTAATAATTCCTAAACTATTAACTTTAATATTCTTTAGGTCTAAATTAAAGACTCCTATATTCTCTAGCTAGATATAAGTATTTTAGTTCTAGTTCTGCTAGGGTTTTTACTATAGAGTAATAGTAGCGGTATTATTTTATTAAAGCTAGTAAATAATATTTGTAATTATTAAAGTAATAGCTTATTAATTATTAGAATTTATCTATAGCAGAATTCCGGAAGCAGGGTTATTCGGATTCTGGTTACTTCTACTTTCTCTAGTACTATATCTACTTATATTTTTAATTAGGTTATAAGAATTATTAATTAGTGGGCTTTCTTCCGGTATATTAGGAATACTAGCTAGGGTAAATCCTAAAGGGGTTTTCTAATTCAAAGGTCTATTAAATCCAGAATTACTAGAGTCCGAAGATATAGGTTCGAGATTAAGAAAATATTTAAATCTATAAACGGTAGCTCTAAATATAGCTTTTATATAAATCCAGGCTTCTAGGAATTATATTACTAAATCCGGGGTACTTTCTAATCTAGCCCGGATTTATAATTATATAAGAGAAAGATCTTTCTTAATTTCTTTACTAATTTATTTAATTACTATAAAGGTTCCTAGAGAAATATAGCTTGCGAAATTATAGCCGGTTTTATAGAAGGCCTTGAGTTACGTAGCGAGATCGGCAGCTCCTGGCTAGGATATACGGAAATAGGTATTCTAATTAGTAAGGACGGCTATAAGGTAATACAGATTAAGAAACTAATCGGAATTAATAGAATTTAATACTATAGGAATTCTATTTAATAGAAATAATTATAAAATAATAAAAAACGAGGGTTAGTAATAGTTAAATTATATTAAGATTTATATTAAGGTAATATATATCTGGTAATAACTTACTAAAGCAATGCCTCGGTTATAGCAGAAGTAGAGGTCAGGTCTAAATCGAATTCTGGTATTCACGAATCGTGAACTAGTACTATAAGCTAGTTGCCCGAAGGCTAGTTGCTTTCTTTTTCAATAAATTAATCTAGAAAGCTAGTTTTGCAGGCATTACTACTAGATTACTAGGCAAGCTCTGGAATCTTAAGTATATTATAAAGCTTAATAAATTCTGTCTAGCGAGAAGTTACTATCTGAGTAAGGCTAAGCGAGAACGTGATTCCCTAGCAAATATATAGTCCTATAAGTAATTATTACTCTTATTTTTAATATATACATAAGTTTATAAACCTTAATAGTCTTAAGAATAGTAATAATAATAGTAAGTTATTTTATTATTAATAAAAAAGATATATTTACTAATATATTTAATAAGTAAAAGTAAAGCTTCTAGCTAAGTCTTACAAACGACTATAAATAGCTATTTTAATAAGTAATCTAGATAACGAGAAGAAAGCTTTATTATTAATTATTTTAAGAAATTATTATTAAACTTTATTATTAATAATAATATTTCTTTTCGGGCTATTACTACTTCAAGCTTTAAAAAGCTAATATCTTATTTAAATTAGTAAGCTTTTATTATATTATTCTTTATTTATATATATACTAATATTTAATAATTAAGTACCTGCTATATACTCGAAGGCTCTTATAGATGAGCTTAATTTATGCTATATTAAAAAGAGTTTAAATATTAAAGAAAAGTTAAAAGAGAATATTAATTCTCAAGGAACTTTCTCTATTACTTTAGACGCTTATATCTTTATAAATTAAAATGCTTTTCTTGGAATTACTATATAAGTTTATATATTCTTATAATTATTAAATAAAATTTATACTAATATATTTTTAGACATTTTATAAATAAGGATTTTAAATTAAAATCTTATTTATTAGCTATAAAAGACTTAAATAATATATACTCTAGTATTTATATGCTTTCTGTCTTATTAGAAGCTTTAAAGCAATATAATATCGAATATAATATTACTAGGTAAGTAATTTAATTTAATTTAATTTCTATTATATAATTACTAATATATTTTATTTAGTATTACTCGAGATAATACTAGCTCAAATAATACCTTATTAAAGGCTTTTATAAAGCATTATAATAAAGAAGGCATTAAATTTCAAGGAGATATTTCTTATATAGCTTAAGTATTAAATTTAATAATTTAAGATATTTTAAAAGCTCTTATTAAGAACAATTATAATACTTCTTATTCTACGGATTTATACGGATAAGAAATAAAAGAACTTAAAGATAGAGAAGAAAATAAAGAAAGAGAACAAGTAATAAGTAAGTTCTCTTTATAATTTATAAGATATTTATTAATAAATTATAGATTTATTAATTTGGAGAAAGATTAGAAAAACTATTATAGGTCTTAAATATAACCAAGAAAACCAATGGCTATTAGAAGCTCAAATTAAAGCTTTTAATATAGAAAATGCTTGATTTCCTTAACTTAGTAAGTAATTAATTTTTAATTTTTTTAATTATTTAATTATTTAATTATTATTTAATACTAATTATTTATAGATCAAAAAACACAGTAGTCTTCGACTTATTATATATTAAAGAACTTTTTATATATATATAAAGCTATTAAAGTAGTTATTAATAGCTCAAATTCAAAGGCTTTTAAAAATAAAAGTCTAGTTTTAACTAATATTGAAATTACTTATTTAAATAATATTTTAAATATAATTTCAATATTTATTAAAGCTATAACTAAGTTACAAGCCGAAAGTTACCCTACTATATATTATATTATACCTGAGGTATATAAAATATATAATAAACTTAAAGATTTTAAAAAGAATTTTAAAGTAAGTCTTTTCTTAAATTCTTCCTATATTATAAATAATATTATACTAATTTTTAATAGAATAAAGCATTTACAAATACTATTAATAAGGGTATAGCTAAGCTTCGAAAATATTATCCTAAAACAGGTGTTTTAGATAATAAAAGTAAAGCTTTATATTTGGCTTTTATTCTTAATTCTCGGATTAAATAAGAAGAATTAACTAGTATTGGCTTATCTAGCGGTATATCTTCGGATATATATAATAGATTAAAAATAGATTATAATATATAAGTAATTCCTTTTATTAGTTTTTAATAAATTAATAACTAATTTTTAAATTTAGATATAAATATAATTATAATATATCTTAAGCTAGATCTAATACCTCGGATATTAGTATGGCCGATTCCGATTCCGATTCCGATTCTAATAACTCGGATATATATATTACTAGTTCGTTCTCTAAAGTAGAGAACGAATTAATAACTTATTTAGAAGAAAAAAGAGAAGATAAAAAAGTAAGTAAACTTTACTTAAATTTTATTAAATAATTATCCGATATTCTTTTAATATTTTTTAATATATTAGTACTAATATATATATAGACTAAGCCCTTAGACTATTAGAAGTCTAATACTACTAGATTTCCTGTTTTAGCTTTAATAGCTAGGAAATATTTAGGAATTCCGGCTTCCTCGGCTACTAGTGAGAGGTTCTTCTCTCAAGGTGCCCTTATTATGTCTAAATTACGTAATAGACTTAATAAAAGTACTTTTGAGATAATATCTTGCTTAAAAAGCTAGGGGTTATTTAAAGATAAATTAGAAAAGGCTAAAAAAGAAGAGAAAAAAGGAGAGAAAAAAGAGAAAAATAAAGATTTTGAGGAGGATAATTAGTTTATTGTTATAGAAAATTAGTATTTGAGTAGTCTTATATAAGTACTAACTTAGCTTATATAAGGCTGCTTAATATATACCTTGGTTCTTTTTTTATTTATTTAAATATATACTGATTTATTACAAACACGTGACTTTCACGTGACTTTCACGTGACTTTCACGTGACTTTCACGTGGTTATTCATGGTTATTCAAGTTATTCATGAATAATTATTCTATTCTACTCAAATTATTTAAGATATTCGTTACTCTTATTTTATTCAAGTTATTCATGAATTATTCATGAATAAATCGAATAACTTGAATAATCCTTTGACACACTGATCTGACCTGTGAGAGGTAGTACATCTTAAAATGTGCCGTGAAAAGCAAGGTATCCTGCTTTTCAATCGTCTCGTGGGCGCTCTGCTTTGCATAGCACTGCAACCACCAAGACAGCAGCAAGCACATCCCTTTTATTTTCATCCTTGCCTTCAGCTTCCAAATGGAACTTCACTTTCGTACCCCCCTTAAGACAGTAAGTCTCATAAGGGTTTCCACTATCGAATTTCCCCAACGTGCATTCCTCTCCCCAGTCCTCCACGTTCTTAGACATTCTCACCCCTTTCCCCAAATATGCCGGTACAATCAAAACATTGGTCTCCCACTCGTCGCCGTTTCTTCACTGGTTCTCGGAAACGAAACCGGACAGACTTTATGGTTTGGCGGATGAAAATGCCCGGTCCCCATCCCCACTTCGGGAAGAAATTACATCACCTCCCAGAATACATGGTTCCGCACGTTTTATATTGCATCCCTCCATGGAGTGTGGATAGTGGTGTCGGCATTCTGAAGCCTTGATTGCTGCTCCGCTGCGGTTTCTTTTTGGATTCCACGAGTAAAAGCACCTATGCTATTTTGAGTATATGACAAGTTCGTGACGGTGAGGGGAGAGCGATCCAGGGACTCTCAAAATATATGCCAATTTGCGCACCCAGTGACTTCTACACATGTGCGATTATCTCTTACAGAGTCCGTGGGAACATATGCTTATGTTAAAAAAGCCCTCGCGAATAACATGTAAATTATATTCATTCGCCTGTCCTATCAGGCTATGCATGCTTCCTATGCTATACAGGGCTCGAAGTGAAGAAGATCAACGATTTCTATTCTGCTAGTTTGCTAGCTGTTATCTCTGTGGTCACACCCCTGACCTACTGTCACCCACGAGAGGAATCTCCTCCGGTCCCCACATGGAACCCAGTGGGTCACCACAGCATTTGGAACTGGGGTGCTCCACCTGCTCCACGACGCCAACGGCGATCTTCATATGGTCCATAATTGCCAAAGCCGGGGCTCCACCTATCTCTCATAGCGAAGGACATTGGTCCACCGTTGAAGAACTCCGCTTGATCTCGCCAGACGCTATTCGCCTCACGTATAAAGGGATATTGGTATTGCCGATCTGGCGGAATAAAGACATGACCATCGCCGATGCGACCGCCCCATAGGCTTCCACCTATTGGCATAGGGCCGCCTCCGTGGATGTAGTCATCCCACTCATAAAACTCTCTGCTCATACCGCTCATCTTGTTTTTCTCTTGTGTTTAAGATTAAATTGTAATGTTAGTAGGTAAAGTGGTTATGTTTTCTTTTGTGTTTTGGGAGATGTCGATGTTGAAGTGGATTTGGGTGGGAAGGGAGACGAGAGGGGTTTTTGTAGACAGGGCACACCAGAGGAACCTTCTGGTAAGGCCAAAAGACATCTCGAATAACATAAGAATATTCTCCTATATGTTTAGGAATACAGCGAATGCAATAAATAAGAGGGAGTAATGGTCCACATTATATTCACGTTTAGGCTCACGACTTTTATAATATTGTATTGTACTTCACAGTCTAGTCGACTAATAATAAGATTTCCCAATCTAAATCTTTGCGAAAATCTGTTAATACTCACCTTTTACAAATATCAAGCCATAGAATTATAATTCTTTTAAAATGTGAATAATGGGTAAGTAACTAATATTCCAGAAAAACTTAATGTGTTCTAATGTTATATGATCTCTCGCTCGACTTGAACGCTGATAACTCATCCAACCTTCTCACATTTACCAACAAAGTCAGCTTGAACACTTGCCTTTGCTGCCGCCATTTACTAGAAGTTATTAGATCCAAGGTGTAAGCTTTTAAAGTATTCAACCGCTGGGACAAAATACATACTTAATAACACAAAAGTAAGTATATAATATTGACCCGACAAGCTTGTAATAGACACTTTTTAATATAATGTTTAGTATTGTTTTAAGAAATAAAGGGACAGTTATGTTTTGATGCTTTCGATTCAGGTGAATCACGAAATTGGAGAGTTTCGTTGATTCGCTGGATTGTTGATTTTATTCGAACGCTTCAAGAATTTTGAGTCGCGGCTGGATTCTGAATGAAACAGTCCTGAGAGTGAACTATTTCTCATGGATGGATGCTGCAATTTCTGCGGAAAATTTGGTCTGCTAGGCATTTGCTTACGCTGGAGCAAGAGCCGAGGCTCGAAAAGGCAGGTTCACTGAGTGATCAAATTGCAAGCCGAAACTAGGGCAGGATTTTCGATGATGTTCATGCAATGACCATCTCTCCACTTATACATACAATTTTCAAAAGGTTATGGCTTTTCCCGCGGCAGTGTTTGCTTATCAAGCCCTGGGTTTTGAGGAAGGGGACTCTTTCCGCTTGCTCAGTCTCTTTCCAGATAACGATGACTCCCTGTCGAGTGCACACTCCTTCACACCAGGCAGGGCTCCCAACGTCAGCCGCATGAAGCTCTGTCTTACATATAGAGAGAATCAACTCTTAGCAGCGGAATAAATTTGAACGGCTTTCTGCTTCCGTTTACACACAACCTCCAACAAGCGCTTCGAAGATTGAGCGACGAGAGTGAGTGGTTGCGCAGTCTGTACGCTGTGGATGGACGCAATTGGCAATAATCAGTCGCATGTTTGCAAACGAAATCGCCAGGTTGCCCAAATGGGAGATATATGCACGAGCAGAGAGGGTCGTCATCTGGCTTGGTAAAGCAAGTGAGGATAGCGAGATGGCGATAGCTTTTATGCATAAACACAGTGAACGGCTTGCGAGAAACGGTGAGTTTCTACATATGCTATCAAGTCTTGCAAGTATCCAAAGAAGAGTTTTGAAGTTATTCTGAAGGAGTTCTTGGGTCCAGAATGGGTTGATTAATGGGAAGCTGGGGATCGACTTTTGTCCAAGGCCTGGTGGCAGCGGGTTGGGTTATCCAGGAGTTTGTCGTTGCATGAGATGCCATTTGTCACTGTGGAAAAGGCATTCATCCTTTGGTACTTGGTTGATGCTTTTGCTGTCATTCTTGAACATAGTTAGAAATAATCATTGCCTGCCCTTCTCGCCTGACTATACCAAGCCATTCTCCGAAGTCTTCATGTTCTATACAGTATCAGAAACTAGAGTATAAGGAGCCGATCTGGAGTTCCGACAACTGTTTTTGGACAAATGGACCTGGAACATCAACGAGATAACAGCGAGGTTGAGAGACGAAGGCGGATTTCAGACTTGAAACGGCACAATGTGAGATCCTGGACAAATGTGCAAATGAAATAAAGAAGCTGCTCGACAAGGTGAATACGAACAATGAATATGCTCAGCTAGAAGAAGTGCAGCAAGGCAACCTTCCAGCTTTTATCGGTACGACTAATTATTCACTGCATCAAACATCCTTGAAGCTAATGAACTAGAAGCGGTGAATGTACCATGCGGTGAATGCATCATGCGGTGAAGAAACATGAGGGCGCACCTCAATACTGTTCTAGAAGAGATATTTGAGTCTTACACTTGAGATGACTGGGCTAGAAGACCATATATTTGTATTCTTTGGGCTGCTTGAGCCAGAAATCTTACGTCCACAGGGAGACGGTGCTCAGACCTTTGTCGGAGCAGCGTATATTCACGGAATCACGAACGGAGAATGGCAAAAACATCATGAGCTAGGTTATATCCAAAAGAACGTGTAAGCATTCGATGACCGCCATCAAGAGTGGTACCAGATCGAGTCGGTGGCGGTATTCAGAATTTCACCCGCAGTCTTGACCGGTTACCCTTACTGTAGTCTTATTAAGGGCCCGTTTCGCACAGACTCACGCAAGTTGATTGCTGGCGATTGCTAGCAACCGAATACTAACGTTCAATACTCAATGTTCAAAGCTAGTATTTGATAAATTAAAACTGTTTCGCAAGAATACAAATACTCAATAATTATTGTAATTACAGAGGTTTCAGCTCATCTCTGCTAGCGTTTTCAGCCTCTATTTTTAGCCTCACCAATCTTCCACCTTCCTTCCTTCCCTAATAATTAGCGATTACTCCCTATAATTATAGCGTCTTAAAGCCTGGACTTATTTTATCGTTAAATGGAAAAGTAACTAATAAAATAATTGCGCCTTATATTATTTACTACTAAATAAAGTAATATAAGCTATATTTTAGGAAAATCGCAAAATATAAAGCTTAGGAAAGAGTTTATGCCCTAGCGAGGCCCATAAAGGTAGCAGAAGCCGAGCATTCAACTCTCAGTATTTTGAGGTTGTTCTTGAAAAACTGAGGTTAGTATGGGGGCAGATACTGGTATCTAAATGCTAGCGTTTAATGTTATAGTATCTAAAAAAAATGCGAAACACTTATTTTGTAATATCTGAATGCTAGTATTACGATATCGGTAGTATCCGAATATTCAAGGGTTGCGAAATGGGCCTACAGTAAACAGCGACGAACAACTCGTAGACATGTACACCGCAAGTGCTGCGCCACCACCTACCCAACTCGCCAGCCTTTCCCTCCATCCCCTTTATTTCCCCACATCCGCAAAATATTGTGCAATTCAAAGAACACTCGAATCACAACTTCACACTCGAATCATGAGGCTCCTTAACACCAAGACCCTTGAGCTCTAACCTTTCGTCCCCAATAAAGCTCCGGACTATGCCATCCTGCACTTGTGTCGCTCTGAAGTGCCCACTTTCGACGACATCACCAGTGGTCATGTCGTCCACCCAAACAGTCCCGCAAGACAAAAGCAAGCTTTCCACAAATTCCAGAGCGCTTGCGATTGGCTACGCGAGAGCGCATTTATCAGGCTCCAGGAAGCATTTTATAATCCCACGGTTGACCACACATTACTCTTGTTCAGGTGCAGTTCGAGTCACGAGAGTCAGCCTCTCCTAGCAGACAGCCCAACACACTTTTGTCAGAGACCGAATTGCACATCATGCATGTCTGGGGGAACTAATCGCTTTACTTCGAATGCTTCATATAGCAACGTTCTGCTGACATCGAATTGGAGCGTTTACGCACATGAACAAGTAATGACAATGGTTACTCTCCCTTGTTCCTTGCTCTGCTACCCTGTGTTGGAGAAGTCAAGTCAAAGCTACAGGAGAAGCAGATTCTCATTTGCCCTTTTCCAAGCTGGCCATATCGAAAACAACGTGTTTATGCCACTTTCGCTCTCGACGATAATTCATTCCCTCGTTTGGTCGCGGAACGCTCGGTCTATCAATCACCGCTCAACTGAGCTAGTTCAAGTAAGACTAAACACAGAATTGAAATTCAATGCTCAAAACCCCAGGATTCAAAGTCTTCGGCCGCGATTTCATGCGGGATTGCTGTTGCTGGCAACCACTTTCCCAGGTGTCTTTGCGGTTGGTCAAGGATCGGCGAAATTTGGTCTTTGAAAGAGGTATCAGAAGTCATAATACAGAAACGATGGCGTAAATAATACAGACTGTTCTCCTTTCCCACCCCTTTTGAATACTGTTCGATCAATTTTTCATCTTAGCGGGATCAGGCGTCCTCAATTTGAGGGCGATCCCCTCAACCGTTGGTACCAGCTCTCAGCGAACCCTCGAAAGAGGCACACGTAGTGGGCGCTCTCAATAGAGAGACGCTCCTCAAAATCCTTGTCATCTGCAACGAATTATTTTATCTTCTACTGCACCACGTGCCTTCTCGTATTGAGGCGATTTTTGCACACGTCTAATCTGTCGCAAATCGTAAGCAGACCTCAACCACTGGTGCTTTTTACTAACCGTCAACACTCATCACGAAAACAGGCAAGGGTATTCCCAGGAACATGGCGCCCAATCGCGGAGCTCGGGAGCCTCGGAAAGGGTCCTTGCAGGCAGCTTTGCCCGCTTTCAGCTACTCGGTGAGACTGCACCAATTCGTTGTCAAGCTGCAAGTTGACGAATCGTGCAGGAGTGAGGCTTCTCATGCAAGACAACAAACGCCGGAACTCCTAAGGCTGCAAAAGTGTGGGGTTCAACATCTGTGGGGTCGGGGAGCAGTGAGGCTTCCCAATGTGAGGAATCATGCATATGCATGTTCTTCCATTGGTGCCACGTACGCAGCGCAGAGCCTCCAGTGTAACCGTCCCCAAGAAATCGAATTGATTAATAACAGGTGCAAGTCACAACTCTGTTGATTGAATTATTTCTTCCTGACCATCGAATCTCCAGAACACTACTCCGCGATCCAATATGGCGGAACCAGTGGTTTCTGATTCTGGTGCGGCATCGGCCCAGTCAGAGATTCGTCGCTCGTGGTACATCAAGTAAGTATCTCTCAAGACGATGTGCTCTTCCCGCCCCTAATCTTTTGTCTATAATAGATCCGTGCAAAGCGAGCGAGTCACGGTTCTCGTAGGAAGTAATCAAGACGTCTTTAGAGTGCCCTACGACCTCCTTACACAATATTCACGAGACTTCAAAAAGCTCCGCGACGCCCTGAACGATTCGGGTGACGAAATAGCCCTCCCAGATGTCACGAAACCCACGTTCGAAGACTTTTTCATCTGGCTTCATGCGTACGAGCCGAATATCTTGCGTGCCGACGGCAACGAGTCCGATTTCATCGACGGAGCTCTGAATCTTGCTGTCTTCGCGCAGAAATTCAAGATTTATCACCTCCGAAACCAAGCTTCTGATGTTGTTCGTGCTGCCCTCCGCGAAGGCCAGTGGAGCATCACGCCTGAAATGATATCTGCGGTATACAAAGTTGCTCCTGCAGGCTCTGCTCTCCGCCAATTGAGCTTCCTGGGCTTCGTTGCTTCTGAAGGCCAGAGCGACTCTACCGTTTGGCAAGAAGCTTTCATCGACTGTCCATCTCTTGGTTGGGATTATTTCCAGTACAAGAATGGCAATAAGATATACAGCGAGGGTATTGCGGCTGGAGGAGCCTGTCGCTTTCATGACCACTCCGACATCCCGGGCTGGGCTGTTCAGGATCTTTTTGCCTGTCCATACCCGCATGGCGCACCTCGACTGTTGCCTGGCGAGTCTGCCGTCCACGACATCATCATCAATACTCCGCGAGCTGAAGATGAGGATGCACTAATATCTGCTGAAGATGTCGCCGAGCCAAACGTTGCAATGGAGCTTCAGCAAGTCGATGAACCAGCTGTTGAGGCTACTGTCGACCAGCCAACGGAGTCTGCTTCCGCTGCCTCCGCTGCCTCTGCGTGCTGGGCAAGTGAGACCACGGAAACTGCGCCTGTTGATACGGAGTCTCAAATATTTGGGCCACATGAGCAGCCTCTCGTCAAAGAAGTCGTGGAGGATTGGCGAATCAAGACGAAGGATGCAGAGCCTGTGGAAGTGGAAAATTTTCCCGCGGTAGATGAGTCTTTGCAACATACTATTAGAAACGCACGGATGCAAGTTGATGAAAGCCACCCAGTGTTATCAAAGGTGACAGTAACCAGGCTGCCAACTTTGGAGGAAAAGAAGGAACCAATCCTTGAACAAGGACCAGTCGTAGTGAAGTCACCTAATTCTGAGCACGTTGAATCAGTTCAGGATTCTGTACCAATGGCGCGAGCGGATTCTGTTATGTCAGTTGTTGAGCAAACTGGGCCGAAAGGGAAAGGGAAAAAGAAGAAAGGCAAAAAACAATCGCAAGGTGCTTAGTTATTTATGAGGTTTGGAAATAACACATTGCTTTTTGAAAATAATTTTACCATGGAAGTGGCTTCAACCCAAATGTGATGAGATCCTTGGAGCTTCTTTTCTGTCCCACACCTCAAGTTTTTGATTACTTGGGGCGTGAAGTTCGTTTACTTGGAAGCACTCTACGTCCGCTCCCAGTTTCAGCTTGGTCAATGGTAACGCTTATGACCCGGTGTGCTGTGGCCCTTGTATGAGGCATACGGACAAACATTGGCGGGCGTCTTCTCATTTCTTCAAGCTTCAATGATTGGTTCGACTCAGTGCCTCACCTTCGCAGTAAGTTTATTGATGAAGGAAACTTTCTTCACCTCGTCTTCGTCGTCAATCTTGAGCAATCGATCCGAGAAGTCCATTTCACTCAAGCGAACCCTGTTCAAAATTAGCCCGTATACATCACCCCAACCCAGTGTGTCCACTTACCAACGAGTCTTGTGATACAGCTTGTATCCAACAAATAGCAGAATCGTGGTGGGGATTGTGATATAGGAAACAACGAAAAGCCTCCAGTTGAAAGGCTTCTCAAACGCAGTGAATCCCTGGATAAGGAGGAGGAATACATTAAGAAACAGATTGAATCTGTAGATCCAAATGCTACCAAAAGCTTTGAATGGATACGTGGATGGGTTGATGCCTTGTTTTACAAGTCCACTACGCACTCGAAGGTGCGTGAATACAATACCCGCCCAGGCGATGTAGGCTGCTGAACCTCCCACGGAAGTCATGTATGCGAAGACTTGACCGGCTGTTACTTTCATGTTCATCAGGGCGAGGAATCCCCAGCAGACAGACGTCAGGATCGAAACATAGGGAACTACGTATTGTCAGCGGACTCTTGGCAGTGTGGGAAGACCGTTATCTGGGCGACTGCTGACATACCTCCTTTCGTCGAAGTAATTGCAAAGACTTGTGGTGCTCTGTGGGACAAAGCAAGGGAATAGAGAACTCTTGACTGGACATAGATGCATCCATTCACGGCCGAAATGAAGGCTATCACGATAAGAACGTTGATAAAGTCTCCGGCCGATTTCCATCCAGCCTGTACGAACCCGATGGTGAATGGTGAGGATGCAACAGTCGACTCGGCATTGAGTAGTTCTGGAGCATTTGAGGGGCAGATCAGCCCTTGGAAAAAGATGACACCCATGTAGACGAAAACGATCCGATATACCACAGAGTCCACCCCCTATGGGTGTTAGTCAGGTAATGTCAAAATCGATTGAAGGTGGCAAACTGTAGGTATAGAGTTCCTTGGGTCTTTCGTTTCCCCAGCAGCCAAAGAAACGATCTCGGTCCCCACATAATACGCAGAAGCAAGGACAAACACCTGACCAAATCCATTGATTCCATTCACAATAGGACCTAAAAAATTAGGAACAGACTCAAAAGTGTGTGTAAGACTTACCTTCGGGTGGGTTCCAATACCTAAACCCTATATATCCATTCCCGAACGCACCAACATTGACGAGGAATGAGATGAAGAAGCACACAGCGAACGAAATAATTTTGAACCATCCAAAATAATACTCGATCTCGCCGTAGACCACAACGCCGAGGGTGGTGAGGATGGAGAAGAAGACCCAGAATACAATCACCCAGCCGTATAAGGGCATTTTCTCTTCTGGTACCCAGTATTGTAGGATCAATATTGCACCGTTCCATTCTGTGCGAGTTTTCAGTCAGTCCATTATGTGCGAGCGGGATAGCATATTTCTTACCGCTTCCAAGAAACACCGACCACATGAAGTAGTACATCCACGCCATCGCGAAACTGAATGCTGGGTCCACAAAACGTCCGGCATGCTGCGGGAATTTGTTAGCTTTGTCAATACTGGTAAGAACGCGGATATCCCTTACTTCGACGAAACCACCTGCGATTGGAAACATGGTCGTCACTTCACCAACGCTCTGCATCAATGCCCAGACAATGAACCCTATCAATATATGAGCTGCTGTATACCGCTAAGTGAGTATGAACACACCCACCAACTATACCAAAGCCGATGAGAGCTCCCAACGGTCCGGATAGGTACAAGGCATATCCAAAGCCGTAAAAGCAGCTTGCTCCGATCACACTTGCAAGGGAGATCAGCGTGACGTGTCTCCCCAAAAGTCCTCTCTGTAGCCCATCGTCAAGAATGATCCCATTTTGAACATCCACTGGTTTCTCTGTAGTCTTCACAATGGATTTTTCGTCTCCTGAGATTTTTTGGGGGCAAGAAGGTGACTCGAGATCGGAAGTTTGCGCCATTCTTGCGAGATATAGCTGATGTGAAAGATAACGACTGTGCACTCCCGACTAAAACACGTAGTACCTGGGTATATGGCACTATTCTAGACGGATTCTTATGCTACGTTTCTCTGATAAGAGGAGAGGGCGGAACACGTTGAAGGTGGGACCCCCTGAAAGTCTAGATAAGATGGCCGATCGGCGGCTGCACGGTGTTTTGTAGCGCACGTCGGAAATGAAAGCTATAAAGCATAATTGGCCCCCGAAGATGGTCCCTCCACAAAATGGAGAAGGCTGCATCATAGTGTAACAAGAGAGTTCGCCGGATATATATAGTCGGTCCGACTCAAGAACAACATCCCCCCCTCCCCCCGCTATAATTAATACAAATTATATTAATTAAAACTAAAGTTTATCTTTATATAATTTAGCTTATATATTCTTGTTATATACAGAGAACACTCCAAAGAGGATGAATTTTTGAGTGCTTTAGAGAGCTTATATAAGTAAAATAAGCCTGGAAACTAAGTTCTTGTTATAGTTATGCTTCATGACTGTCACGTGCTCCCTGCACGTAATACGCTAGGTTATATTAGGCTAGGCTGGTTCGCATGCTACCTGGCGTTCGCACACTTGTATATACTTCTCTCTTTAGTTTAGCATTATTGGAATAAGGCCCACTTTACTCTGCTTTCCAAGCCTATAAACAGGCCTCGTAATAGTTCTTAAACTACGAATATTGCGGCATAAAGTCATGCGACTTCAGCGTATGTGCCCTGTAGTGGCTGTGGCTATAGTGGCTGTGGCTATAGTACCACGCTTTTGGCCTAGTGACTATAGCGCTCAGATACTGGAACTTAGAGGTCTTATAGGGCTCTTTAGTAATCAAGCCCCTTTACTTGCAGGGGCATACCCTAGAATTGTCTTTTAATCCCTGAAACTCCTTGTAGGGCTTAAGCCCGTAGCCTTAATAAACCTCGCTTTTATAGGGACAGGTAGCCTATAATTTAAGTACGGACCTACTAAGCTATAGATGCTTCCAGGGCACTTTAGTAGTAGTGTCTTTACAGGCTAGTTTCACTAATTATAGTATATGATTAGTGGCTGAGATATTATATGCCCTGTAGTTATATGACTTTATACTATAATATTCGAATATAAGATTAGTATATAAAAAGCATTTAGGGAAATTTATATACTATATAATAATTCTTTTTTAAAAATATATTTATAAGATTATATATTATTTTTATTAAATTTAATTTAATTTAAAACTTAAAATTTAATAATTATAATTATTACTTTAAAAGTTTAAAGTTATAATAATACTTATAAAATAAATATATTATATTTAAAATATATAAATTACTTCTTAAAATTTAAGAATTTTGTTTTAATATAAAATACTTGAAAAATTATAAACTTATAATAATGAGCTTATTATATATTTATTTATTATTTAAATTATTAGCTATATTAAATAAATAATATATAATATTTAGGGCTTATAAAGTAAAATAAAAGATTTGCTATAAAAATAATTTAAAGCTAAAGAAAAAAAAGTTAAAATATAAAAAGTTAAAATATAAAAAGTTATAAAAGTATAAATATATATCTTATAATACATTAGCTTATAAGAAACTTAGTATTTTAATTTTCTTATATTTTATATATTTATTAAGTAATTAGAAATAATTAAAAGTAATAAAAAGTAATATATATATATTAATTAAATAACTAAAGTAAAATAATATTTTTATTAATAAATTTATATAACTAAAATAAGTAAATAAGCTAGAAATTAATATAGAATTATTAAAGTTAAGGTATTTCCTTTTTATTTATTCTTTAGTTTAATATTTTTAAAATATAAAATTCTTTAAATTTTTAAATTTATTATAATATTTATAAAAAGTTAGTTTTATTTCAAATTCAAGAACTTTTATAACTTTATTAAAATAAATAACCTAAAAAATATTATAAAAATATTAATAAATTTAAATTTCATTTAATTAAATTATTTTTATATTTTTATTATTATTTTTATTAGACATAATGATTTCTAATATAATATAAATAAATTAAAAAATATAAAAAATATAAAAGAAAGAATTTACTTATATATTAATATTAAAAATTTATATAAGAATATAATATATATAAGGCCGTATATAATTAAAAAAAACATATAATAAACCTCGAATATTATAAGTATTAATTAGGGACATTAATAGCTCTTTAATATTATAATTATATTACTATTTATATTATAGGCTTTAGGCTTATAAATTACTAAATATATATATATATATTATTAAGGCTTCTTATTTAAAAAAGGCTTTCTTGAATTTTATAAGAGAAATAAAGATTAGTTTTATACTAAATTTAATATTATAGTTTTATAACTTACTAATTTATTTTATTAATAAATATTTATAAAGAAATAATTATATAATTCAAATAATAAAAATAAAAATAATTGAAAATATAATACTAATAATACAAATCTTGAATTTCGGTATTATAGTAATAAGTATTACTTTTATTATTTATGATAAAAGAAGCTTAAAAATAATATAAGGGAACTTATAATAATTAAAATAAGAAAAAATTCTAAAATAAAGAATATTAAGCTTATATTAGAAATATTTAAAATATGATTGTAATAATTATTGTCATATAATTATAATAAACTAAATTTAAGCTAAGTTTTAAGTTAAACTTAATATTTTAATAGTTTTAATTTTATTTATTTATTACTATACCTTACTCCTTTTTTTTATCCTTAACATTAGACCAGAATTACCTCTTACCCTCTTATTTAATCGGTATACTGTATTTGTTATATAGTAAGAGTAGCTATTAGGGGGCTGGAAAATTGAGTTCGTTATAATTATTTGAAGCTATAATGCCACCCCCTTGCTACTTCAATGGGATTGGGAAAACATCAAAACTCGGAGGTGTGATGGCGAAAGTCAATACTAAAGGAGCACTGCAGGATGTATCGTTAGACATCTAGCCTTATAAGCTCTCGTGCGGGGAGATCAGCCGAGCCGGATAGTTGGCATTGTTTTCTGCCAAGGATCGCGACTCTTAACGCCGGCCACGCTACCTAGGTCCGGCTAGTTATGATCTTGCACTTAAGCCACCGAACTTTATGGCTTTATCTATCATGTAATTCTTTGCATCTCCGGTATACATGGGACAGTGGCAAAGTTCCATTTGGGGTCTCGAAATTACTTTTGGACAAGAATTTCTCCATGCAACATGGCCAAGCTTGCATCATCTCTCTTCGCCCACTCCTCCCAAGTCTTGGCCATTTTTTCAAAATCACTCTCAGTACCTAGGCCAAACTTTAAGGCTTTTTCGCGCAAAGAACCCCCTCTGAGCTGATCACATAACCCCTGGGCTAGAGAAAACACAGCCATTAGAGCCATAATCGCAGCCATGAGAAGCAGTGTGGAATAATGAAACTTACAGCAGATTTTCCTCTTGCTCGGTGTATGGTATGACCAGGTACTATAGCTAAGCGTAACCTGGCTCCGTTCGACACCAACCTTGAGTGCCCAAGAAAGCAGCTGTCGGCCTGCAGTTGGAGTGCCACCGCCGGCACTCATAAGGCTTGCCATGAGCTTATGGAACCTGTACAGCTCGGGAAGTTCGGGCCAGACGCACTCCGTCTCGTAGTCGCCCTCGCGGGCCGCGACGATGCCGCCTCGTTTTGTTACTCGGAGCATTTCACGCAGCGCATCCCACGGGGTGCCAATGTGGATAAGCACCTGATGACAAAAGGTGACGTCGAATGTCTCGTCGGCAAAGGGGAGCTTGTAGACATTACCCTGCTGAAACTCGATGTTTTTAACGCCGGCCATTTCAGCGACAGCTCGTGCCCGCGGCAAGATGTTGGGGTTAAGGTCAATGCCGGTAACGTGGCCGTCGGGGATAAGCTTGGCGAAACTCACAGAGATGGTGCCTGAGCCAGCGCCGACGTCTAAGAGCGTCAAATGGGGGTTGGATTCTTTCATAGACTGCAACTTGGGCAGCAAATGGGCAGCGCTGTTTTCGGCAGTCCGCAACTCGTGGAGGATCGCTTGAGCCGGCGGATGGCCCTGCTTCTCGTTAGGAGTCAGGTCTTGCTCCATTACTGTTGCTAGTGGATGGAACTAAAGAAGGATTGACATCGAAGCAGACTCAGGAAAAACGTCGGTCTGTCGGATAGATGCAGTCTCTGCGGCAACCTTGTCGCTTATAAAGCATTATCACGTGGGCCGAGAACAGATGGCAAGTTCTTCCTGTTTTTGATTCCTTACTAGCTCGTATGTTTTTCAAGCTAAAGAGAGGAGAGTTACACGCGCCTCAGGCTGCAATATATATAAAAGCGATCCCACTGATAGTGCTTCATAGGTGGGATAATATAATCGAACCCATTCTGGCTGCTCACTTCCTTTAAGAGGCTCTTCCCTTACTTATACCAGAGTATTGAAAGTGACGTCACGGGACGTCAGCTTACCAATTTCTCCATTTCTGCACGTCAGCTGATTTGTCATATGGGCATTAGGTACCTGACAAATCACGCTACCATGTATATATATGTCGACAAGTCCTCGATTTGAAAGGCCAGCTGCTATTGTCAATAAATGTCCATTATAATACAGAGATATTATATTAAATATATTATTATTATTCCTTTCTTTTTTTCTTTTTCTTTTTTTCTTTTTCTTAAATATATTTCTAGACTTTATTCCTATTGTTTATTAGCTCTTTTATTGAGACCAAAACTATTTGCCTCTTTTATATTTTCCTTAAAAAGGCTTGTAATTATTAATACGAGATTATAAAAGCAATAGTATTAAATTAAGCTTCTAGTAATTACTTATTAGAGGTCACTCTTGAATTCGAGGATATTACTAATAAATAATATTAATTTTCACATTTTCTAGCTTCTACTTTTACGGAATCTTTATTTGATCTAAGGATATACTAGGCGCCAGAATGCAGCGTTAATGCCTTTCTGTATTAAAAATTAATAGTCGGACTTAATATCGCGACTAAAGGGGCCCCTTCCTTTAGTTACAGAAAGCGAGTTGGCCCGCAAAAGCGAGATAGCCTGTTTCGGCCTTTTTTTGCCTTCTAAAAAACAATATTAGAAACTAGCTATAGGAAATCTAATTAATATATTTTATTTATAATCTTATAATTACCTATTATATACTTAAAGGCCAAAGTTTTAAGTAAAAGAATAAAAATTTATAATTAAGCAAAAGTTATAAGCCTAATATTTGCAAAATAGTTATAAATAAATAATTCTTATAATTTTGTATTTCCCGTAATTTTATTATTAAAAATTTAATAACCCTCTATTTATATCTTTTTTTAAGATTTAAAGAATTATATCTAGTTTATAAGGCTTATATTTTTAATTCTACTACTTAGATTTATTTAAAAAGGTCAAGGTTTCAAGTTATTAAGGATTTTATTTAGTACGAGCCATCTCGCTTTTGCGGGCCAACTCGCTTTCCCCGACTAAAGGGAAGGGCCCCTTTAGCGTGACGTGAAGTCCGACTATTAGCGAGTGCCATATCAATGATCGACACAGTCAGAGCAAAGTTCTTACTTGAAGTACGTTGACACGATCATGCTACCAATGAGTCCCATCTTTGGAGTGCACACGCTCGAAAATCTCGCCTGCGTTGGGTCCATCGTACGTCTAGATTTTCGTTTACGAATAAGCACGTAGTATTATAATCGGATCATGGCATGAGTAATCTCACTATTCATATTCAGTACAAGAATTGAAGACAGAGAGAAGATGAATCAACGTACCTCTTCTATTTCTAGATATTTGAGGTCCGCGCTGGTTTTCAATTTGAACGCTGCTGCTCCATCCTTAATAACTTCCTTACCGTGGCCCATGAAGATTTGCGCGAGTTCCAAGAGCTCAGCGGGGCGGGCTGCTGTGAGGACGCATTTGAAAATGAAGGGTCCAGGACCAGGCGGTACTGCAGGTCGGCCTCCTGGGCTTGGAGGAGGAACATTGGGAACAAACGAAGGCATAGCAAATGAAACTATAGAAGATAGAAAATTAGAAAGGGTTTGAAGTTGATGCAGGTTCCTTTCAACGCCTATTGATATTTTATTCTCTAGTGTGGACAAGAATAGTTTTGTCGGGTACGCTGGGGAAGACTATTCTGTGCGACATGGCTCTTTGCATTTATGTATATTCTAACCCACCCATATCCCGATTCCCCCAGTTTCAGCAACGCTGGCAGGCGCTGATGGCATTACAAAGGGGTGCTTATCCGATGGCTTAATCGACTGATGATCGGTTAAGGTGGAGAAGAGAGCACGCAGGAATGTGGGGGCACCGAGGACCACCCCGTCTGACGCGTTCGATGGCTAACCTTTCCCTGTGTCAAATACTCGGTTATTCAATATGTTGTAACTAATGTGACTCGAGGCTTCATTTCACGCCCTGAATATCTACCAATATCCCGTACCAGGTTGCCGACTAATCGACTTCAATAACTGAGAGTTACCTTTTCAAGTGTTAAGACACCTTTTGTGTAGGATGAACTTTCTCTTCTTAGGCTTCTAGATTGGATATCTGTTGCAATGCAAGGAAGGATTGCACATGTTTAGAATTTGTGTTTCATTCTTCTACTACTGTATCCGGTGAATATTTAAATTCTAGCTCGAAGCACATGGATTTGTAAGTAGGATACTGAAGTGCTGGGTAGAGTACTGTATTTATTTCTGAGCACATCGTTGCATTGATCTAAATATGAAATATAGTAACTATGCTTGCCCTTCCTTGACACCACCCTCTGGAAACAGCATAGCTCAACTACTCACTTCGACTTCAAGCTGACATTCCTGATCAGAGAAGCGCTCAGGATAATCAAGAAAGCCACAGGTACGACAACAATGTAGACATTGTTAAGAGACCGGAGGTAGGCTTTGATAACAGCCGTTCGCAGGTCCCCTTGCAGTTCCCAAATAGCGGCGACAGAACCTTCGACCGCCGTGGCTGTATCGGCCGGCACATTGAAAAAGGCGAGATATTTTCTGAGGGAGCCGCTCAGGCTTGGCGATATTCCACCCTGGAACGTTCCACGGAACGTTCCGGCCGGTATCGACTGGTATTAGGTAATATCAATAATAGAACGTTCTAATTATTCCAAAATAGCAGGGGTAGGGCGAAAATAACAGGGGTAGGCGAATCCACTGCTAGTTCCCCTATTATACTCTCTTCCTTACTTTTTATCTATTCATATAATTAATTTACCTTAAGTATATTCTCAAAATATCTTCTTTAATTAAACCAGACTATTCCCTTATATTATCCGAGATAGTAATATCTTCTATAGACTATTTAAAGAGGATTTTTCCGATTTAGAAGTATTCTTATTATATATTACCTAATAAAAATAAAGCTTTACTTTATTATTTATATTATTAATTAGACTCTTTCCTATTACTATATAATATTATTACTATAGGAAACCTCAGAAAGTATATTCTAAGGCATTATTTACTTATTATCCTTAAGCCTACTAATTTTAAGAACCAGAAGAAAGTTATTTAATAAATTTAAAGGCTTTAGTATTAAGCTCAAGAATTTAGAGATATAGAGAAGTTTAATTTATAAATAGCAAATTAATTAAAGAGTTCTTATAAAAGCCTTAATTACTTTTATTATTAAATAAAACCTCTTATAATATATAATAGAATAATTAGAGTTCTATATATTTTACTAGCTCTTAAATAAAGCTTATAAAGATATACTTCTTATATTTTATTCTATTATTTCTTCTAAGGTTAAAGAATCCTGGATTTAATATAAGAATACTATATAATAAGTTCTCTAATTAATAATCTTATATATTTATATTTCCTTAAATATTTAAACTTTCCTAAATTACTTTCTTTTTTTTAGCTATTTATATCTATTTTACCTTATATGAATTTAAATATTAAAAGATCTTTTTTACTCTTAAATTAGTCTATAGCTATTTAGAAGAAAAGTAATTCTTAGTTCTTTTTCTAGTTTTGGAAAACTATAGTATTATATAAAAGCTTAGAGCTATTATAAATAATAATACTAGAACTAATAAGACCCGTTATAAAATAATTCAAATATACTAGAAATAAGAGCTTAATATTAAATAAAATATATAGTAAATATAAATTTGCTATATTAGATATATTATTAATTCTATAACATAAGCTTTTTTATTTTCTAAATTAATTAAAATAAAAGAACTTGAGTTATATAAGTAATAGAAATAAATTCAAGAAATTAATAATAATAATAGAAAAAAAGTCAAGTTTAGGCTTTTAAGTCTATTTAGTAAAATATATAATATTATAGCTTATATTTATAAATTACTTACTTATATAACTAAATAAATAGAACTTATAAAAAGAATAATTTTAATAAATAATTATATAAAATAAAATAGCTAGTATAAAATACTTCTTATTCTTATTAAAATATATATATATATAAATATTACCGGAATTATAAGAATAGTTTTATAAAGAATTTCTTATCTTATAAAAACTAGAAAAAGCTTTATATAACTAGAGACTTTTTTACTATTTTTATATAAGCTATTCTTTTTATAAAAGAAAATACTATTTCTATTAATTATATACTCTTTATAATAAATATTTTAATTAAATAGCTTTAAGAAATAATTATAAATCTCTTGCTTTTCTTTTTTCTTTTTATATAAGCTTAGCTAAATATAATATAAGTTAAGTTTAAAGAGAAAAAAATAATAAGAATAAAGAGTTCTTTATATAGCTTAATATTATATATATTATATTTAATAAGTATTATATTAGAATTAATCTCTTTTTCTTTTATATTATGGCCTTAATTTTTAATTCGGATTTCTATATAAGATATATTAAGGCTAATTAGCTAAAGAAATATATAATTCTAGCTTTTATAAATATAAAGAAATTTTGGAAATATTATAAAAATTAAATTATTTCTTTACTATTAAATAATAATATTTTTTTCTTATATAATAAAGAGCTATTTTAAGATCTATTAGTACTTGACTTCTTTAATTAGATTATTTAATCTCTTTATTTAGTTATATAACCCGCAAATAAAAATAAATATAAGAATTATAACTTCTAGGAATTATATAATATTAGTAAATAAGGAGCCTTAGCTTAATAGAATGAGAATATATAAAGGAAATACTAGTTAAAGCTTTTATTTATAGCTATTAATATTCTCTTAATTCCTTTAATAAATAATAAGCCAGAAAGAGTTTTTTTAGAAATATATTATATAATAAGCTAAAATAGAAAATAAATAGAAATAGAGATAATAGAGATTAGAGAATATTTAAAGTATTAGAAAAGAACTAGAATCTTATAAACTTTCTTTAAAACTAGCTAATTTAAAAGAAATATATATTCTTTAAAACCCTTATATAATTAGAGAACCTTTTAGATATTATCTAAATTTTCTAAATTTCTAAGCTATAACTCTTATTTAAAGGCTATCTTTTCTGCTTTAACTTTCTTTTTCCTTTATTAATATTACTATTACTTATATAAGAACCTCTTGCTTTTTTTTACTTTTTATAATTATATTAATTATATAATAATATATTAAATAATTTAGTCTCTAGTAATAATTCCCCTATATAGCCTTCTATTTCTAGTAATAGGTCTCTTATATAGTCTTTTGCTTCTAGTTCTGGCCTTATAAACCCAAACTAGTAATAAGCTTTTAATTTTAAATTCTATTTATTATATAATAGCTAATATCTTTAAAAACTTATTTCTTTTATTATTTTTAGTACTAGTAATACTTTTAATTTTGGTATAAACTAGCTTCTTTTTTAAGGCTAATAAATAATAGATATTATAGGCTAATAACTTGCTTTCTTTATATAATACCTTACTTTTTATTATATAATAAAGCTAACTAAAGTATAGTATTATAATAATTAATAATAATAAGCCCTTATTTTTCCTGGCCAGAATATAATTATTAATTCAAATTATATTATAATTAGTTAAGTTCTTATATAATAATAGTTCTATATTAATACTTTTCTTATTTAATAAAAAGAAATTAATATAATAGCTATTTCTTATATTATATATACTTATATAAGATTTAATAATACTATTTTTCCTAAATATATCCAGATTATAAATATATAGGATAGTTATTATAATAATTACAAGTGGCCAGATTATACTATAAGCTATTATTAGAAAGGAAATAATAGTAGTAATAATAGTAATAGAGAGATTAGTATAAGAAGTTATAGAGGATATAGTAAATATAGTAGATATAATAGAAGTAATAGGAGTAGCTATATAAAATAAGAACAAATTATATAATATAGTATAGTAAAAAAGACTTCTTATAGTAGTAGAATTACTTGCAATAGTACTATGGCTTAATAAAGGCCTTTCTAAGGCTATATAATGATTTTTAGCCTTTTAATAGTATAATTAATGGAAGTCTTTATAAAATAACGAGAATCTACAGGGATTAGCTCGCTTAGGAACGATTAGAACATTCTATTACCGCCCGTTCCAGACCCCTGGAACGAATCGGCAGAAACCGATTGGTCCGGAATATCGCCAAGCCTGACACCGTGACGTGTCTTCAAAATTGGGATTAGCGCGGTTTGACGGTCCGACGAGCCCCCTGAAGCGAAGTGCCGAGTGACGTCTCGTTTTGTTCGGACTGACGTCTACTGATCCACGTTTCGGACCGTTCGCTTTATTAGACTCCGGCGTGGACACGACCTTGCTCAATATCTAGCAAGCTGCAAAAATCTGGGGAACATAAATGTGTGGACTGGTATTCCCTTTTGCACAGATTGTCACACATCTATCATCCTCACACATCCCCCATCCTCACAAATCCATTATCCTCACTCCAACGACAAGTCGCTGGCAGCGTCAATTCGACAGCAAACAGTACTACCCAAAAAACTAAAACAGAAAAAGGTTTGGGTAGCCAAGTAAAGTATGAATTATACTTTCTTCGTGCTTCGTAATACTTGTCTTTCCTCGCAAATTAAATGGCTGCGATAACCTAGACTATATACCAATGGCTCAATTTCAGAATTCCAGCAACGTTACAACTGTTCCGTTCTACAAACATGTATTTATCCGCCGATACTAGCGCCCTCCTCCGTCGTATCACGCGCCTCGAGGATATCCAGGAGATCCATAACATCATGGGCCGTCGAGCATATCTGCATTCTGCCGGGCGTCATGACCGTGAGATCGAGGAACTATGGAGTACTAGAGATGATGTCGTATTTGAAGCCGAAGACATGGGTGCCTGGGCCAAACTCTCCAGCATCAAGAAGAGTTATGTCAACGGCAATCCCTTTCGTAGTGGGACCAAGGGTTTGATGATTGAGCATACCCTCACTACTCCAGTCATCGAGATTGCCGAGGACGGCCAGACGGCGAAGGGTGTGTGGGTTTCTCCTGGTCACGAAACCTTTCCCGTGGCTGAGGGGCCGCTAAAAGCGCATTGGTCGTGGGGACGATATGCTGTTGACTTCCGAAAGGAGGACGGCAAGTGGAAGATCTGGCACCTCCATGTTCTTACGACATTCCGCACTCCCTTCGGACAGGATTGGGCAAAACAGCCACTAAAAGACCGGATTATCTACCGGAGGAGGGCCAACCTCAGGACTCAATCGGTGTTGCTGACAGAGGAGTGTCTTTCAACGAACCGTATCATCCAGATCGTGCTCCCAAGTACCAACCCATCCCTCCGGATGCGTACAGGACCTGGGCAGATACTTTCAGTGCTACCGACTTTTACGAGCACCCAGCTTGATGCCTTCATTCTATTTAATTGTTTGCGACGCCAGTGTGAGGTGGATCAGAATTAGGATATGAGATTATACTTATCAACGGGAGGGGCATAAGAGCGACAGAAGTGGAGACAGCTAGATGATAAGCTTGAAAAAATGGTACATGAATGATACTGGTTGTTATTTCAATGCCCTCTTAATTAAATACGACTTTCCTTCTGCCCCTCTTCCGTCTCCTCAATTTCAAAAACATACTTAACCCCACTCGCCTTCCCATCCTTTGAATTCTTCAGCGCCTTCTCTAAACCATCCAATCCGCCTTCCACCACCTGAAACGGACGCGTCATAAACCACCCCCCAGCCAACCGCCAGCAATATTCCGAAAATGCACAAACCCGAAATCCTTATACCCTTTGCTCACACCTCCTACTGAGGTGGTGTGCTTATAATCCGTCTTATTCCTCACTCTCTCTCTCTTCTCCTTCACCTTCTCTCCCGGCTTCTTTATCATCCATCGCTTTCCGAATCACGCCTTTATCGAAGAGGCAAAGCGAAAAGGGGGGAGAATATAGTCACGTGATAGCGGCGTAACGATCCCCCGCCTTCACATAAATCCTCACGGCGTTCCCGAAATGCTTACCAAGGTCGTTGTTCTCATTGCTATCCTATCGATACATCCGAGTGAAGTTCCAATCGGTTGCATCAGCTGATTAGGCTGCCAAAAAATATCCCTGCAGCTGAAGCCGGTTGCGTTGCATGTTCGTCATCCCCCACGCAACCTTAAATTCTCGCCTTCCAAGAAAAAGATCTTAAATCAACGTCCGCGCATCATCGTGACCAAATCCTTCCTCAGACAAATCCATCGTGATATCGATTGCGAAGCAGCTATGACGCTCATTCCAGCAGACACAAAGGATGCGAAGGGACCTCAGCGCCCCCCAGCAATGCCCACGACAAATCCCTTTCCGAACCCAATCCTCGTGCCGGAGTTCAATCATCCAGATCTTCCACCATACTCCGAGACCGATACAGCATCGTATACTCGTGAGCTCCCGCCTCCACCTCCTCCTCGGGCTCAGCCGCCTTCCCAGAAGATCCCAGAATCAAACGCCATAAACGCACACAGCGAGGTCCACATCACGGGACCATTGCATGTTCTCGGGTATTTTGACACCTACCTTCACCAGTCCGGGCTGTTGAAAGTTATGTGAATTAGGTGCTAACAGTGGTTGAATAGATCAGTCAAGTCATCTTCCAACATCGAGCTCTCAAACGGAATCGAAGTTGATGGCAAGGTTTCCTCATCTTCCCATGTCACATTATCCAACAACGTTATTGTGCACGAGAAAATCGATAGTAGCGGCAAGATCACGTTGTTTGAGGGCGTCAAGGTAGACGGAAAATTAGCGGCGCGTGGATCGGTTGATTTGCGGAATGGCGTCAGTGTTGGGGACAAAGTTGATGGTAAGTTGGTTGTTTGTAGTATTGGTGCTTCTGCACGCAAAATATCTCTCGAGCCGGAGATTTTAAGAACATTGATTGACATTATACAGCTAGCGGCTCTGTTACTATAGATGGAGGAGAGTTGGGTGTCAAAATCACAGGCAAGATCTCCGCTAGTGGCTCAGTGGATATTAGAGGCAACGTGCAGGTTGGCGGGGATATAAACTGCAGTGGCAAGGCTTCGATTCGATTTCACGAGAAGGGCGTCGCCAACATTGGGGGCAAGATCACTCCAAGTGGCGGAACCACGATTGAAGGTGACGTGATATTTGAGTGAGTTCTTCGAGGCGGGCTTTGCCATGTTACGCTTTTATAAAGGAGAGAGCTAACATGGACGATAGGAAGGATCTATATCTCTCGGGTGCACTCACCATCAATGGCCAGTTACATTGCAAGGGGGATTTCGAGGTTAAGGGGAACGTCTCTCTGAAGCCTGGTAGTAACTTGATAGTTGACGGGAAAAGGACTATTCATGGGAGCTTGAAGGAAGTGAAGTAAAACGAAGATACCCCGACTGTAGGACACGAACCCGAACTACCGTTCACCTCAGACTTTGCTTTTTTGTAGTTTGCAATTAAAGGTGATGTCAATTCAATTTCCATTGAGGTTCTCTGCGTGGCTTTCGTTACGTGTAAGTGATGTATTATAGCAGCCCACTTTACAAAGTTCAATCTCAACGGACGAAAAAGAGAAACGCCTCAAGCCCATCCTTTCCCCCGACGCTCCCCTAAACATTTAAAATATATATAGAGGTTTCCAACTTGAAGCCCCGCCGTGCGGGTGTTGAGGAACGACTATCACATCTGTAGAAAAACTCGTCAGCCTATCCTCTTTCCCACTGACCGTGGGTAATCCAACTTCTCTCCTCAAGCATTGCTTTTCTCGAGATCCTCCGCTATCTTGCTTGAAATAGGCCACGTGTTCTCGAGTATCCTGTCCTGCGGCCTCCACCAGCAAGTGATATCCAATGCCAGCAAAATTGATCGACCACTTACAATTACCCTTTGCGGGAACTGCCAGCTTCAATTGGCAAATTCAACTTTGGGAAGATCATAGTCGTGCCGCTGTTCACAAGAACACCGAGCTTGCCTTCGGTCTCTGCACTGACACTCTTTACAGCTGCCGCAATTGACTCAAAGGACAACACGTCAAAAGTCAGAACGGTAACGCTCGGTACTTTAGCGAGGGGCTGAGAAATCTTTAGTAGTGTTCAAACTGTGGCAAAGCCGTGGCACCCTTTCTTGTGGAAGCGTCAGTGAGGGCTGCACTGATTCCTCCAGCAGAGCAACAGTTGATGAGGTCAGTTTTCCGGGTTAATGCCATTTGAAAGGCAAAATCTGAGAAGACAGCTGAGTGAAGAGCGACGAGAGACGAGTTGATAGGTATTATTTCTTTGCAAATCTGAGCTGATAATAAGGAAAACCTGAGCTTAGAAACCGCCAAACGCAAGTATTAAGAATAATAAGGAAACGATGTTCGATTTATATCAAAATATATATAAGTCCGTACTACATTTCTTGGAGTTGGACTTTTACGTGAAAAGCTTCTGCTTCAAGATCAGGAAGAGAAAGTGTCGGGCGCTGCGGTCTCCGTGGTCTTGACTTTGGCCAACTGTACAGTACTGGCGAATGTGAGACCGCAAGGCGACATATGGAAGGACTTTGCAAAATAGTCAAGCTCAGGGGCGGACTGGCGATCTTCCGGGGTGCTTTTGGCAAGAAGTTTTGCATGAAAATGCTCAGGCGAGTAGTGGCCATTGCACGTATTTGATTTTGCAGGACATTGAACGGCCTAACTCCCACACAGATGCGATATTGGAATGGCATTGCACACTTGTTCAGGACCCACATTTTTCAGTGATCCTCTTTCGCAGCCACTCATACATTATCCAGACCAAAGCTGTGGGTCATACAAAGAAACACTACCATGTTCGAACCTGAAGACTTTCTCGATAATATAAATGAGAATCTGGCGGCTGCATGTAGAGTCATGAAGAGATTCTGTTCCCGGTCAACCTTGCGATGGAAACTCAGCGTATGTTCACCCTGGGAACTGGGTGGGACGCTGTGGCTTCAGTCATGTATCGCCTTCTCAATATAAATTGACTGGCTCGCTTTGTGAAGCAATACGTCTCGGCCTGTTCTTGTCTTACTATGCTTTCTTGAAGTGGCAAGACATGAGGTTACCTTATCTTCACTTTCTTTCTGCGTACAAGAATAAACCCCTCAACCTTGCGCTTATGGGGGGCTTCCCGATGCTGATTATGCTTTGGCTTCTGATGATTGGAGGTATTTTAATATTTGACACCTCTGATAACATGTGGCTGAAAAGTTCTTTGTAGGAACACCTTGAGACGTGTCACGTAGAATTATCAAACGGCCTACTGAGTACGAAGATCACGGCATAAAGTGACGGGATTACAGGGCATTTGTGCTTTACAGCACTTTGGTGTCTTTTTTTAGCGTACTCGGTCACTAAATTACCCTATAATTCTAGGCCGTTGCCCTAAAAGCACGCTAGAAAGCGGGAGCTAGGGGTACCACACCTTTTTAGGGCTCCTCCCCTGTACTTACAATGAACACCTCGCTAAAGAGCCCTATAGTAACTACCTATTTAGCGTCCAAGCACTATTATTGCTCTGCCAGCAGCACTATTTACCCCTGAAAACTTCGCATGCCTTGCGAATGTCTTATAGCGCCTCTTGAGATCCGCTTAGGGCATATGGCCTGGAGTTATAGGGCCTTACAGCGGGCTCAAGCCACTAAATTGTATCCTGAGGGGTGCCAAGGGTCCAAATGCCCTGTAATCCCGTCGCTTTATGCCGTGATCTTCATATATTGAGGTCTTTCATGTGGATTAGTCTATTGCATAACCAGCCACGGAAGCTCATTGTTAGTGTATCAAAAAATAATCAAGGCTAATTAATTAGAATTAATTATAATTAAGTATGATTTGATTAGCTTGATTTTTATTATAATTAATTATAATTATTATATAATAATATAAAAGTATACTTTCTTAGGCATTTTTAAAGATTATTAAATAACTAATAGTTATATGAATAAAATATAAATAAAATCTATAAAGCATATATAAGAGTATAAAATTAGTCTAAATCTAAAATAACAAACTAGTTTTTGCTATATGGTACTAGTTATATAGTACTATTATATATAATTTAGTATATGGCCAGTATTTCTTTAGTCTGGCAAATAGCCTTTAGCTTAATTCAAGCTCTTTACTACTACTATAATATTACCTTATCTTAATAGTTTTCTTTTTTAGAAATCTCTTTCTCTTTTCCCTTTTTATTTTCTTCTTTTCTTATTTCTTCTTCCTTAATTACTATAAGGATTTATTTATAGTTCTTTTATTAGTAGCAAGAAATTACTAGAAATTAAGAAGGTTCTAGTGCCTTTGACTTCGCTTACTAATTAGCGCTAGGCCTGGTTTAGTAAAGAGCGCCTTTAGTAATACCGAATACGGCTAGCCTAGACCTTATTTTAGCCTTATCTCGGCTTCCGAAGCTCCAGAGTCATGTGCGTAGTCACGTGATAAATCTAATTAATTATCTTTGATTATCTTTGATTATCTTTGATTATCTTTGATTATCTTTGATTATCTTTGATTATCTTTGATTATCTTTGATTATCTTTGATTATCTTTGATTATCTTTGATTATCTTTGATTATCTTTGATTATCTTTGATTATCTTTGATTATCTTTGATTATCAAATTAGCTTGATTTTAACTTGATTTGATTTGAGTAGGGGGGTCTAATAAAATCAAACCTAATTATTTGACACACTGCTCATTATTAATCCGTCTTGTTGTTATGAAGTATAGACGAGCAAGATGCTAGAAAAGCACCCAAATTTCCATCCGTGCAATTATTTTTTAACTACTCAACTTGTGAAGTTATTCTCCAAGGCGAAAGAGTGAGGGCCCAGTTCAGCTAGGGGCTTTCACCGTGATAGAAAAGATCGATGCAGCTCCTTGTCGCTCGTACTCCGCAATCCTGGGCTCTCCCGTGTCGACACCGTAGCCGATTGGTGACTCGGAACGAGAACTTCGATTTCATTTGCTCTTTTACCGATGCCCATAGGAAGGGGTAAAATTTGATATACCCTCGTAAAGCTATTAATGCTATAGCTAGTATGTCAATTAATTCTATAAAGTATAGGAAAAAAGTAGAATTATATAGAGCCTTAATCAAAAGCATATAAGTCTGGCATTAATAAAATTAAGATTTATTAATTCTGTAAATTTATTTATTTTACTATATAATTACAAATATATTATAATTTCATGCTTATATTATAATACTATAAATTTATAAAGAATTTCTTATAAAGAATTAAAAAACCTTAAATATATTATATATAATAATCGAATTAAGTATTAAAATTAATTATAATAAAGTATTAAATTAATTAAATTGCAATTTAATTCAAATTATAATAAATTTATAAAGAAGTAATATTATTGAGAATATTTAAAGACTTATTAAAAGGCAATAGTAATATTACTATATTTACTCTTTACTTAAAATCATAATTTTGCTTTAGTTAAATTATAAGGTTTTTAATACTAATTAGCCTTATTTTCTATATATATTATATCTAAGAGATTTTTTTTTGAAAATTAATAATATTATAAAAATTAAATCTGGTAATAGAGATATTAATAGCTTTATAATACTAATGGTTTTATTGGCTAGATTAAAGCAGCGGGTGGAGAGGGTACTTCAAGTTCAAAGATAACAGAACAGGGTATATCAAATTTTGCGCCCCACAGGAGCGTCAGCTCCAATTAATTTCTTTTAGTCGTCCCGCAGTACCCGCAAGAAATACCAGCTCCATCTTCTCACAAATCAATCAAATAGAAAGGTTCTCCAACCTGCTAACATGCTCGCAACGATCTAGGAAGCATTTGTGGATAGATTCACCATGCCGTCCTTTCTGACCATCATCGTCACGCTTCTCTTTGTCTACTGTTCCTCGCTCGTGTACCGCCTCCTCGTCAACCTGTTCGATGCCAGGAAGTCGGGCCTTCCGTACGTTATCATCCCATGGGACCAAAACAATCTCTTCTGGTTGGTGGTGGGTGTCCCACTGCGCCCTTGGTTAAAGAGGAACCTGCCAAAATGGGCCTACGACCGGCTGTCCCTTACAATTTACGGATTCGAATTCCACGAAGGGCTTCGCCCATTTGAACAGCATGCCGCCCCTCAGGGGAACGACAAGTCGTATGCGATCGTCACTGTCGGTGCCTTCGAAGTCACCACCCGAGATCCGGAGATTGTAGCTGAGGTCCTCCGTCGACCAAGAGATTTTATGCAGGTGGACCTCTCAGGGCTCTTTATGGGGAAGTTCGGGCCCAATGTCCTAACCAGCAATGGCGATTCTTGGGCGAGGCAGAGGAAGGTTGTCGCTGGTGTGATAAATGAGCGCATCTCGAGAACAGTTTTTAGCGAGAGCATTCACCAGACTGGGGGGCTTCTGGACGAAGTCGTTGGAGATGGTAATGCAGCCGAAACTGACCGCATCTTCGACATGATGAGGAAAATCACCATCAACGTTCTCAGCGGGGCCGGCATGGGCACTTCGGTAGAGTGGAATGACCACGGAAACGAGAAACCGAGACCCGGTTCCAAAATGACATACATCGAAGCCATCAAGCATATCATCCGAGCTATCGTCGGTCCCATTATCCTGCCACAGTGGTTTCTGGCAAACTACCCCAGCTGCCTACCTGGTTATAAGACTTTAAACTCGCTCGGCTACGCCATGTTGGAATTTCCAATACATACGAGGAACATGCTGAACGAAGAGCGCCAGAGAATCGCTTCCACCCACGGGGAAACCAGGAGCAACATATTGTCACAATTGCTGCATGCCTCAGATCCAGGCGATGGGAGGCTGAAAGATTCCAAGGCTTTATCTGAGGACGAGATGGTGGGCAACCTCTGGATCTTCACCGCGGCTGGGTTCGACACAACAACCAACACGCTTGCATATGCACTACTCTTACTATCACGATATCCAAAGTGGCAAGAATGGGTATTCGAGGAGATTGACAGTATCATGCCAATGAACAGCTCGGCGGGCTTGGACTACGCCTCCATATTTCCCCAAGCAACCCGCGTCCAAGCTTTGCTCCTCGAAGTTCTGCGCCTTTTCACCCCTACTATCCACATTCCAAAGCAGAACAAAGCCCCGCAGAAAATTCAAACCTCTCGAGGTTTGTTCTACATTCCGCGCAACAGCACGATCTATCTGAATACCGTCGGGCTGCACATCGATCCCGCAGTTTGGCGGAACCTCAACCTCGCCGAGAACGAAGAGAAGAGTGAGACCGATGAGCTCGAATTCCGACCGACACGCTGGCTCGTCAACCCGCCTGCAGAAAGTCTGCAAATCTTCAAGCCACCCAAGGGAGCTTACGTGCCTTGGTCTGCTGGGCCTAGAGTGTGTCCCGGTCAGAAAATGGCGCAGGTGGAGTTCACAGCCATCTTTCTGAAGCTATTCCATAAGCATCGGATTCACGCTGTTCCCTTAAAAACCGCCACTGGGGAGTTGGAGACAAGAACTGAGGTAGAGAGCAGGCTTGATGCGAGGATGAGGGATAGTATTAGTTTGCTGACTCTTCAGATGAATGATATATATGACGTTGAGGAAGGGAAGGATAAGGGGTTGAAACTTAGATTGAGTAAGAGACAGTAGCGACGTATTGCTTCAATGGAATTCATCGATGAAGTAAAATAGTCAGAGGTCGACGCATCTGAAATTTTCCTTGTACCCTCAGTGGCTTGCTCTTTCCATCCCTCAACGGTCAATCTTCTCCATTACACTTTTGCTTCCTAGCCATGCGTCGCACAATTCCCTATCAATACACTCCTCGTGAAAACTGCATTGACCCCGCTCCCATTGCAACCACCTCCTCGCCATACTTCCCTCCTCACCTCTCAAAATGCCAACAGCCAAATCCAACCCATCCGGTCGTTTATTACACCAGTAAGAAATTGTGGCACCACATTTGCCACAGAAGCTGCGACATGTATCCGGAGAGGACCAGTGGTGCTTCAACGTCAACCCTGGATTGGAGTTTGAGTCGGAAGAAGCATGGCCATATGTCAGCGGCTTCACTTTCTGCTTGGAGGATGATTCGTCGATGAGGGCCGGAGCATTGGCGTTGAATATGCTTGTTGGTGGAATCAAGGCAAAGGGTACCATTGAAACACCGGAGGTCAAGCGGCAGGAGCGACAGGCGCAGAAGTATGCGAGATATTTGGTGGGATCGGTGGGAGCTTGACGAGGGACTTCATCGCTGGGGTTCGAAGAATAATTTGCGCGTTTGATTAGGAGAGAAACGCCTTCGCAATGGCACTTGGCTGTGAGATATGAATCTTCCTTAGGAGGCGGGGCATCGCCGATAGACTTCTTGGGGAGGGAGAGAACAGAGGCGTGTGAAAGGTCGAACGAGTCTGGTTCATGATCTAGGCCCGCGGCAGCTGACCATGTTGGGATGGAGCGGCCATTCAGGTTGAGGAGAATAGGAACCAGTCCCCCGTCAACGGTGTCAAGAACAAAGTCATGGCGTGAGACCTTAACGATATCTCTTGGCTGGGTGGCATTGTTGCGACTTAGTTCGATTATTCCTCCCAGACTGAACCACTCGTTCTGTTTCTGGTTGTAAACGAAACACGGACAGCCACAAGTAGAACAGAAGTATCGTGTGATTATTCCAGAGCTTTGGTAAGCTGTGAGCTTGGAGTGAGTGTCTTTGGAAGGAGATGAGTTGAGTGCTGGGAAGACTGCTCCCAGAGAGCCTGTCGTTTGTCGACATGGGTTGCAATGACATATCTCCAAGCTCAGCGGAAATTCTAAGTTAAACAGAAGGGCCCCAGGCTCTGAAATAGAGCCACATAGGCATTTGAGCTTAGCTGAAGATGTTGATGCCACGATGAAGTGGTTTAATGAGGTCTGGCGGAGAAGTGGGGTTAGCGAAGATCAAGTACGAAAGGTTGAAGTTGAGCAGTATTCACCTTCGATCCGGGAAGCTATCTGATTCAAATTTATATCCTCCCAACAGTCCGTTATGCACAACAGTTAATTGTATCAGGGCTACCTTCGTCATCTGCGGGGTTGGCGATAGTAATATGGTGTGGTGTTTGGGAAAGCTGCATGACGTAGAATACGAGCTCCCCTCACTACCCCTGCTTGTGCCACACCCCGACAGGGCCAAATAACGCAACCTGAATCAACGAATCATATGATATTATGGCAAAGAGAAGAACTGGCGCTTAATCGTCCGCAAATTAATCTTCCTACTCAAGTGCTATGGATATTCTACTCTATCAATTTCATCTTGCTTAGTGACTGAATATGCCTGTGAACTCTACACATTGATTGGAAAATACAAGTGGCGGTCATGTGCATAAAGCAACAAACTTCTCATAAACATTTATCGTAACACCCTTGCGGCCCTTCGTTTGGATTTTGCCCTTTTTGGCTTCATTTCTGAGACTTCGATGATAGGCACCATGCTACACTCAACGAGCTCTGAAATTAACACCAAAGATTCTTTCCTTTGCGCTCTTGTCGAGATTGACGCAAGGGGATAGAGTTTATCAAATTGCTCCGTAAGAGAGGCTTCTCTGGTACCTCAGAAGGAGCCAGTCCTCGTCTAAATATCCTTTCATGTACCTGCCTTGCTTCTTTGTCTTAGTTTTGTTCAATTCGGAAGCACACTTGAGTACACACCTCACATATCAATTCTTTGAGCTTGTGCCTGTAGTGGTACTAGTAGATACCTATTGTGAGTGTCCTTTGTTGAGGAAAACAAGAGCGTTGTCCCCACCGGATTCGCTCAGGTCAGACCTGCTGTCAAAGGGAGATTAGGGACAATACCATTGTCGCGATACCAAATTTCTTTATGTTTGGACCGAACAATTAGTAGTCAGATTAAACAGACTTAAGTTAATGGATATAATACCATCAATTGACTCCTTTTCAGCTGTTTTCTCATCACTCAAGTCATCTTCTGGGAACATTGCTCTTACTCACAAGTATCAAACTCAGGTCAAACATAGCCAGGAACCTAGATCCGACGACACCACAGACAAAATGCACAACCAAATCATTTCTGCCAAGGCCGGGTTGGTCAATAGTCAGGCCACCGAGGTTACTGAACTCGTCAACAGAGATGGCAATATATGCAGCAAATGTGGTAGAAATTTTACCGGAGCTACAAATACTTGCCAGTGCTAAAGCAAATCCGGTCTAGAGTTGCTACAAACTTGGTGCGAGGAATAGATATAGCAGCCAATTCATTCCATATAAAATTTTTGAAGCACCTGATTACCTGTGAATAATGATTGAAAATAAATGTGACGCTCAAAACGGGTGCTGAGGTCACCTGTTTATCCACCCTGAATTGCGGTCCCAAGCTTTTCTTCTTGCTTTGTTCCTCTCCCCTACCTTTTCGGGGTATTGAATCAGAAAGTGCAGTCATATGCAACCGCCTGTAAGATACAAGACTGAGATGAAGTCTCTTCTGTAAGGTGACTGTGAAAGTTGAGGCCATTGTACCGGAGTTTATCGGGGGTTTAGCACACACGGAAAGGCATCCTTCGAACATGGTATTTGAAGAGCTGTACTGTCCGGATCGAGATCCATCACCCTGCAGATCCCTTTAGCTGCAGAATATCGTTCTTCTGAAGCCAATTGGTGTGTTGTTCTGCACCTATTGTTCAGAGCGCCAAGTGCTGATGGAGAAGGCGGAAATCCAAGGGCAGAGCTTTTGGAGGGCTTGGAGGACTTGGAGAAGTTTAAATTTGACGTTTTATGATAATTGCATATTACTTAATCACATATTCAACTGGAAGAAGTCAACATTGCAAAAATATCCCAATTGAAATCCGTCTCAAGTATACTGTATGTACAAAACCCTCCCACTACAAAACCAATACCTAAACAGGACTTGTATGGACGTACTTAACTTCCCCACCCACCAGACGTATCTCACAACTTTGCTGATAATTTCCCAAACTGTTGAACACACAGAGCATATCCACACTCCCACCCGTCTCGTCAATTACATATCTTCTATCTTCATTACTCTTCGCACTGCCTCTATATGGCAAACTCCCACCACACGGTTTCGTCAGCTTACTCCCCTCAACAATCTCAAATTGCCTGCCTCAAGGGATCGTGTCCGCAGCCTTGGAATTTGTCCACATATCGAGGTATGCATCCCCGGCATGCTTCAGCGTCTCTCTGCTTGCTAGCGTTCCGGTAACTGGACTCCAGACAGGCTGTAGGATAAGTCGGTCAGTCAGTCATTAGTTGAGGATATATTTGAACTGACTCCCAAATTTTCATAAGCGCTGACTGGCAGCGGCTGACTTATCCTACAGCTTAACTCCAGTCTTCGGCTTTGATTCATGAGAGTTTCAAACTCGCGTTGAAGAATAGTGACCCGGTTGTAGCAGCAATTGTATCCACCATCGCAATCGTGCCTGTGTCGTTCCCGTAATGGCGGATCTGAGTTGCGAGAACATAGGGGGAAAACTAAAACGACCCCCCCCCCCCGCCTGGCCAAGTATCGAATAGGAGTAGTAATAGATTTTAGAGTTTTAACAATGCCTAATTCGTTGCTTGTATATACTTAAGCCTTTCTCTCAAATTAGATTTCTTAATATAGGTATAAGGAAGTTTATATATAAGAGCTCTAGTTTTAGAGCATGAGATAAGTAAGGCAATTATTATATACGAGAAGAAAGTTCCAGATACTCAATCGCTAAATTTTCAGGCTCTCTTAAGGTCGATACCCCTAATTAATACCCGGAGAGGTATTACGTTATATTTTCCCATTTTACTAGAGGTTAAGAGGAAATAAGTATTGCTCTATACTATAAAACCCTAAATGTTTAATTTTTTTTTAACTAATTGCAATACCAAATTTGTCTTGGAAATTCGCAATAAATCCACAATAACGTGCTAGAGAATGCAATACGCGTATTTGGTGCTATTATATATTAATTTATATATATTAGTGTATATAAAGTGATATATACGGGCACCTGCCACTGTTTGCTAATTTCGGTTAGTATAGCCCCCAATCGATACCCCTAATGGGCGAGTCGTTTTAGTTCTTCCCGTTTTTGCAAGTATAAAGAGCAAACTAATAACGCAAAACTTTGCTGACCGCGTATGCTAGCTTAGGACAACGTATCTATTGCGGAGGTATTTATAGTCCCTCTCTTTGCACCTCTTTTAGCTAATTGTTAACATAGTCTCTATCCTCTTTCGGGCAACCCTCGTTTGATTCTCATCTCGAGGATAATGAAGATGCGGTTGAATAGCAAAGGCAGCAAGAGACGAGCATGTTTAGACGACAACTACGGAATCATCCGCCGCTTCTCCGGTGTTGAAAAGGGCTACCGGGGCTTGTTAGGGGACCGAAGCTAGGATAGACTCGAGAATATAAACGTCTTTCAGCACATTCGATAATGTGGCCATATTTTGCCTCCATATAAGGGTTTCAGTCAAGATATATATTTGTTCTAGATTCCACGATCAGCAAACCACAACATTTCTAGATGTCCTCAGCATTCAGCACTCAGTCCATTCCCCTCCTGATTTGGCATACTCCTGGCTTTCCACAAAGTTCGACAGCGTGCACCTCCCGTATTCATCTCCGCCACAAAACTCCAGTGGCTGGACCGCATCATTCACCAATATTCTAACCATTTCCTCCTGAGTTCCGTTACATAGCATCTTCTCAACGTACGCCCGTGCCGAAAATGGCACCGTCTGGAAAGAAGTGTATCCCGATGTTTTGCTCGAATTTCGATCAGTTGCATTTAGCCCGCCTTTTACAACAGTTGAATTAAAGAGACCGAGCGCGGAGAAGATCGATGTCAACTGTGTATCGTGCGAGAAATCGGCGTACAGTGCCAACCCCAATGGGAATGTCGAGTTTGAAGAATCCAGGGCCGTGTTGGTTGAGGTGTGGTCGACAACCGCTGTGTTCGTTAAGCGGGCGAGAAGCTCATTTACCCAACCGACTCCTTGGGTGGGGCCTAGGCCGTTTCCTGGACCATTGCCAAAGTACTTGTCGAGGTCCTGCAGGAATTCGTACGACTCCCATTCATCATCTATGAAGAGGGAGCAAAAAGGCGAGATGGCACCATTCGGGGTCGCAACGGTCTCAAACGGACACATGTCCATAATGGCTACTGTGTCGTTGACGTTCAGGTTTGCTCCTGGCAGGTCCGCGTTCAGGCGAGCGGTTATCGGAGCCGCAAAAATATTGGTCCAAATTTGGTCCTGGTCGTCGCCGATAGTATCGAACGGGGTGTCATTCTCAAAGGCATTGCAGGTTTCAACTTTGAGGGTGTTGTTGCTGGTTTCGACCTTAGGAATAACAAGGATCGAATTAGCGGGAACTAGCTTGGTGGTTGCGCTCCTGTTGCTTGCTGCGGCATTGAAGCCTTGCGTAAAGTTCTGGGCAGACTCGATCACTCGTGCGCTTTCGGATGCTCTCACGAACGGAGCAGAAACATTGCCGAGGGCGCCGTACCGGTCGAAGAATTTCAACCCAGAGTTGACCAATTCTTGTTGTCCGAAATGCGTGAGATTATCCTCGCCCAAGATATAAGTAAAGTTCGTAAGAAAGTCATAGTTTGACGGCAGAGAGAGACTGGAGTTCCGCAAAGCTACTTGCGCTTTTGCAAGCGCAGTTTGGATACGCGCTGCATTTCCGGACGTAGGAAATCGTGCTCCGTGGCGGGAGAGGATTTGTGCAAAAGTAATTGAGCAGCCGGGAGGGGTATCGTCAGATCCATTGGTAGCTAGAGAAAAGAATGGCGATAGAGCTCCTAAGTTTTGCGTTATCAGAGGCTGATTCGAATAGCCCGTGATTGGATTATCATAGATTATAGAAGATTCTACTGGCAATACGCTAATATTCTATTAGCAAAGCGGTGACTTCGAAGGTTTAAGATTAGTCAAAACTTGCCAAGCGATGAATACCAGTGAAAATAGAATAGAATAGGAGCTGATCGATGGTATATACATAATGGCGTTATCGATACGGGCATAGAGCGTTTTGGGACGCGAAGACGCTCAAAATTGGATGATGCTCTGTTAGACTGTTCCCGCAACTTTTCTAGCTATTGCATTGTACAGACAAGTATAATATATATATTCGGGCCACAGTTGCATTAAACGTGCACATTCTGCCAGGTCAGAGGCGTTAAAATATAATTAAACATGAGCATGAATTAAGGTCGCTTAAGTGCAAGGTCAGGGTAGGCGCTTGACTATCGCTAACTTCATTATTTGATTATTGTTTCACGGTGAACGACTACAGCATTATGCAAAATAGATATTCGCAAGGCTGCCGTTGGTTCGTGCTCATTGGTACTGCAAAGGTTTCACAGCGAAGTGTGAGCTAGGACTCAACACTTGACTCCAATGAGGTCGAAACAGGATATCCTTGGTGAAGCCTTCAACAGTTCCAACGCTCTTATTTTTAAGATGCAAAGGAGTTCGGGAGCTTACCGGTGCCTGGCGGATCCCAGTTATTTGGCTCAGCCCCAAACCGAAGGGTCAGAGAAGAACATGAAACTTCATCTTTCGCAATCGGCCCGACGAACGCGTGTTTCCGGGCTCTTTCCTCATGCCGAAAATAAAGGCTGCCGGGCGCAGCGTTCTTTTTCTGCTAGGGCACGTGACCGACACGTGCCACACGCGGATAGCTATATTCCCCACTGGCATAGCTTATTCAGAGAATAGCCATATTTCTTACTAGGTAAAAGGATATATTTAGAAAGACAATATAAAGATTAGTAGTAAAAGAAGTAAGGAGACTACTTAATAAGCAATTAATTAAGTCTACGGGATCCTTATTAGTTAGCCCTTCCCTGCTACCCAAATTTTCTGAATGAGGGGTAATTTCCTTAAAAACGCTGCCGCCAGCAGTAGCGTTTTCAACAGCAAGGTAATAGCAGTTTCTATTACAATTTGAGATAACTTGCCCGCAACTAGGTATTTCTTTAAACGGAGAACGAGGAGCTACTATCCCTTCGTCCGGCGAGACATAGTCCACGCTAGCAAGGGGGCCTGGCTCAGACTGTAAAGTCGTACCTTTGCTAATAAACTTATTAGTCATCTATCACCTTTTCGCCCTGAGCCAGGCCCCCTTGCTAGCGTGGACTATGTCTCGCCGGACGAAGGGATAAGTATATTATACTATAACTCTATTAATTTATTTTATAAGAAAAATGCTTGTTGTTATCGTACTAATTAATCAAAGGGGCCTTGCGACCGGGCGCACGCTTCACTCGGGCGGTGAGAGATTTAGGCGCTAGCTGCACTAGGGGCTAGGTTGCGGCAGCATTTTTTGGAGGGGGGGGGAGTTATAATCTTACATTCGCGGAGCCTGGCGACGCGTCGCTTGAACGCACGCTGAGATTGTCGGCCTCGTCACCAAATTAGGAGGTGGCGTACTACCATTAAGCTAATTGTTTGAATATCCTTCGCCCAGTTTTGGCTTTCATGTTTTGATATTGTGCAGTTGCACAGCAGCATGAGGCAATTGTAGAAGATGATGCGGCCAAATAGAGAAGGGAGTGGGTGGCGAAGTGAGCCCCCTCGCCCCACAGGCTTCTTGCTAAGGCTTCGAGCGTCGAAGTGACAAAATGCAGCAAATCCCTCAGCAGCTCCCCTGCCTTTATAACAAAGACCCTCTGTCATCTGGGACGTCCACGAATTTATACTCGTGTAAGAAAGGCCTCAACGTTTATCGTGCAAACAAGGTTAGCGCTAGCTTTAATCTGCCACGATGCTAGAGGCGCCTTTCTCGAGGCCTATTTCGCTTCTCTCGCCGCCAGCGACACCAGTATCCAGCCGTGAAATTATCTCTAGTCCATTCGAAAAACGACCCTCGATATTCACCGGCCATATTATGCCTGCCACCATCCGGCGTGGCACTGGCCTCGCGAGAACAAGAGACAATGATCCAGGTGCACATTATACAGCGGAGCTGCGAACGGAACGGCTTGATGAGATCAAGGAATATCTATGGCTAGCTGGTCTTCCCAGCTGTGCGAGAGCATTACATCGACAACGACTGCTGGGCCGTGAAATTCTGATTACCGAAGACTCGAACGAGCACCTTGTTTGGCACAAGACACGCATTTTTGTCAAGCCATTCCCGACATTCTTGTTCGACCTTGACTGCTGGACACAGGAGATATGCCGAACCCGGCAACTATACGAGTCTGGGTGTGGTTTCCTGCTCTCGTATGCATGGCTTATTAGACATGAGAGCGACCTTCGAATCGCACACGAAAAGGCGCTACTGCCGAACAATATTGATTGGACAACTTGGACGGAGTTCATGGACGATTTCCTTGCTCATGTTGATCTGCAGTCTCTCAGCGGTATATCACCGAGATTTCAATATGGCGAGCTACGTTTATCACGATTGAACAAAATATACCGTATGACACGGTTCAACTGGCGAGATTTTGTTCGAGGTTACATGAGCACTTCCACTTGGTATGGAGACTTCTTCTCTCGCAAGTTTGCCTGGATGCTGGCATTTTTCGCATTCATGTCCGTGGCTCTGTCGGCAATGCAAGTGGTCCTTGCAGCAGCGAGAGGAGGTGAGGCGTTTAGCAAGGCATCTTATGGCTTCTCGATAGCCTCGTTGTTTGTAGCAGCTGCAGTTGCGGTATTATTACTGGTTGTATGGGTGACTTTGTTTGTGTATCATCTTGTTTGTGCTCGGATGAATAATCGACAAGTCATGAGTGAAAGACGAAGACTCGTAAATATTCGGAAAGACGTGGCATGAAAGAGGTCTAATAAATTGAGATTGCAATATTTATCAAGATGTAGGGAATGATCTCCTGCATCCAGAGAGAAGCTTCAAGGATGAAATCTGCAAGCCGTACATGAACATTTCTGTCGCTGTAGCTAAACCTGCAGAACTCCCCCGCCCGATCCGCCCAAAAAAGCTTCGGGGAGGCAATTTTGAAAAGCTAAGAATCGTGGGATACGAAACATCAGGGGTCCCATTGGAGCCTCATCGATATCAAATAAAATCACGAGGCTTTGGAGATCCAACCCGAACTCGTTCTAGCGACAGCTCTTCCCTGATCATAGTAAGGATTGGTGCAACAAATTCCGCTGCAATCAAATGTTTCCACTGCTACCCCATAATGCATCGTAATTGCTATTCAGGGAGACCGGTGTTTGCATGCACTGTCTTCACGGTCCTCCTACGTAAAAGTGCAGATCAGCTCTCAGCTTCGTTTCTTACTACTCTCATTTAGTTATTTTGACGCATCGAAACCGACATTAGAACCCGAGCAAGAACACCGACAGAAACGAGATTCCGCATTCGTTGTTTGAGGGGTTTAGGGGCGTGTGAGAGGGGTTCAACGGGTGAGGGGCATGCAGTGCAGTAGGCAGCAACTTCGTTAGCGTTCCCAAAAATGTTTTCAGAATAAAAACGCTAGTGAGGGGAGTAGAAGCGTTCACCGCCCAACCGCCCACTGTTACCCCTGTCGAAACACTAAAAAAATTGATTTTTTCACAGTGCTAGAAATTCTAAAAACTCCCATGATTATTATAATATGGTAGGAAGCCACGAATATCGGGAAAATGTAAAACGACCCCTCCCCCGGGTGTCGATTGGGGGCTGGACTAACCTAAAGTAGAGGAACACCAAAAAATCTAGCTTTTCTTTAAGTTTAATTTACTATATAAAGAATATTATAATTTAGTTTTTTTTCATATTATAGAAAGCTAATTTATAAGCTAATGGGATATGAAGTTTTCATTATATAATAATTAGTAGATTTAAGAAAATTTAAAGAAGGTAAGAAAAGTCGGAATTTATAAGGTGCTATAAGAGCCTGAAAATTTAGCGATCAAGCACCTGGAACTAATTTACCTCGTGCGCAATAATCGCCTCGCTTATCCCATGCCCTAAACTAGAGCTCTTATATACAAACTTCCTTATACCTATATTAGGAAATCTGATTCAAGAGAAAGGCTTAAGTGAGTACAATCAACTAATTAGGCATTATTAAAACTCTAAAATCCATTGATACGCCTAATCGACACGCGGGGGGGGGGGGGGGGGGGGCTTTTACATTTTCCCCTAATATCGGGTTACTTTCTTTATTTTGTAGCGTTGTTGTGAAATAGATTTTTGGGCGGTTGGCGGTGAACGCTTCTAGTAAATGGTCTGACTCCGACGGGGATCAGAAGTCTGAAACTTGGTTGGGACTCTGCTGCCGAACCAGGCTCTCCAACGGAGCTTCCGTGAATAAACACGAGGCCATTTGCGAGATGATGATTGATAGTAAGAATTTATTCATAGCATAAAAGAGAGCCTCAAACAATTTCCTCGGGGCCAGGACCAAGGTGACAACAGTGATGAGCCGCAAAGAACCAGCCCTTTCGACCTAAGTACCCTGACGCTCCTTCCACACTCTGCTCCTATTGGGCATAGACCTATTAAAGGAAGTGGATTGAAACATCAGAGCACGCGCTCAGATGTAGGCGAGATTGAAATCTGATCAACCTTGGCTCAACACAGAAATCGGGCGTAAAGCAGGGGTGATACCCTTTGAGTCTTTGACGCACATATCAGATCCTGTTTTGGACACCGAGTATCCCCTCGTGCGGCAGCCATTGCCCGCGGTAGCGGCCGCATATGAATATCCCCAATTCAGTCGAATACAACATTCTCCTCCAATCAGGCCTCGTGCATTTATGCGGCCGCTAGAGTTAGCCGTGGGCTGCCGCAAGAGGCGGTATCTACAACTGTTTGTGGTTCTAAATTTGCAAGAGCATCCAAAACAGAGCTGCAGTGCGGCGCGTACGGCCCCTGAACCGGTTGACTCGGTTGTGGGCGCACTTCGAATTCTCGGAAAAGGCCTTTTCGAACTCCTCACATATTCTCATCTCAAACAACTTCGCTATTGGGACATTCCAGATCTCATCATGAGTTTGGAGAGCGAGCATTCGAGAAGTTCCAATGCTCTTAGACCGGGACATACTCGTTCAACGTCCAGCGCGTCCACAAGTCTATCCTGTGACGAGCGTCCTCCTGCCGGCATGGTATCAAGACAAATGTCAACGGCAAGAAAGAATAACCCTCCGAGGAACTCGACAATTGTACAAACGTCTCCTCAACTCAATGTTCTTCAAGAATTTTCGAGGCCGACATCTAGATCAACAACCGAAGAAAGGCCTCTCCACGGCGTATTTCGAATGGAGAGCCCAAAGTGGAGCAGCAGGGTTCCGCCAGAGCAGCTTGGCATGAAGATACTGAATCCCGACGAGCAAGATGTATGTGTAGAGTTAGTAGACCCTCCAACTGCTGCTCACAAACTGCTGATTATCTTGAGTTTGGTCGCTGTACACGGGCTTGGCGCAATGCCTGATATTACCTGGACTCACAAAACGTCAGGTGTTAACTGGTTGAAAGATCTGCTTCCCAGCCAGATGCCAAAGACCAGAATCCTGCGATTTGGCTACGACTCACTCTGGTTGGGAAGGGACCCAATCCGAACAAGTATTGAAAGCATTGCCACCTTGCTTTTGAATTGCTTGAAACGACACAGGAAGGTAACTGTAACCTAATCCCCAAAGCTGTGTAGTTTCTGGACTGACTGGCCAGGAATGTCCACACCGCCCCATCATCTTCCTTGGCCATTGCTTTGGAGGGCTCGTCATTGAAGCAGTAAGACTTTTCAAATCATTTGCTTACGCTGGAGACCTTTAATAATCATCATAACTAACAATCTTGCAGGCTCTTTGCCGAGCAAACTTAGCGAAACACAAATGGCCTTACATACTGGACGCAACGGTGGGTGTTGCCTTTTTGGGCACACCGCACCGAGGATCAGATTCATTTGGTCCCAATGGGGGGATGTCGCATGCGAATATTCTTGCCCTGATCGCAGCCTCTTCGTATCTCAAAGCTGAATTCTCTGTAGTCAAATATCTGGACAATGAGCACAGAACGCTCTTAGACGTGTCCAGCAGCTTCCTTGCGATATTGTCCAGCCCGGAGATGAGAGATAGAATCGATATTTCGTGCTTTTATGAATCGCGTGCAGCATCCATCGAAAAAATCACTGGCGTGGACGTCACGGTAAGAACTTTTGTTGAATTCAAGTGTACCGTCCAAGACTAATTACTTCTGTGCTCAAAGGAATTTATTGTGGGCCAAGGCTCTGCAAGTATTGATGGATACTATCCCATTGAATTGAGCTGTGATCACTTTACGATCAACAAGTATGACACACTTTCGGACGGCAACCTCCAACTCATCATCTCGGAACTGACCGAAATGCTCGACAAAGCGATGGAGAGATGCCCAATGCCCTCCCCAGCACCGATATCTCTTTGGTCCCCTAACGACGCCCAGTCAATCAATTCACAACCAAGTCCAGATCAAATGGTTCGGCGTACCAATACAGCGCCTCCTATCCAAGGCCACCCATCCAAGGCGCAGCTTCCTTATCGCACCGAAGGGATTCCATATGCCCCGAGTTTGGTGTCGTACAACTCTCGAGCGTCGTCAAATAGTGGGACTGGCGACCAGTCAGAAAGAGATCTTCGTCAACAAGCAATGTACCGGCCGTCGAATGCAAATCTGTCAAATGCCTATAGCCCACCACAGCAAGACATGCATCCGCAAAAACAAGACATGTACTCACAACAAGAGACGCGTCCGCAACCAGATATATATTCACAGCAGTGGATGTATCCACCGAGGGAGATTGTCGCTGAAGACTCAATATCGTCCCATGGCCACTCGTCGGTATCAGGCTATGATGGATATAATGCACGCAATGAAGCTTATAGAAGCCCGACAACTACCGTTCACATTCAGGGCGTATGTACTTGTCCTGAATGCACAAGCACTCGTGAGAAGGATGAGCGACGGATGACTATCATGTCACAGTTGAAGCTGAAGTACGGGAGTGATCCTGTACCACAAGAGCGCCAGTGGAAGCAGGACCTCATTGTGAACTCTCCACTGTACGCAGCTGTGTTCTTCTCCGATCCTGGTCTTGTACACGAACTTCTTCATTGCGGCGAAGACCTCAATTTTCAGGATGAACGCGTGCCTTCTGGCACCGTACTACAGCTTGCTGCCTTTAAGGGGGACGAGGCTATGGTCAAGCTCCTTGTCGCTCATGGTGCTCTCATCGATCAGGAAGGAGGCGAGTACGGAAGTGCTTTGCAAGCAGCTGCTTCAGAAGGACATGTCAACACTGTCAGAATGTTGCTTGAACTCAACGATGAAAGCGATATGGAGCCATTGGACTTGAATAGGCAGACTGGTTCAACAAAGACAGCTCTCCAGGCAGCCGCCGCAGCCGGCCATACTGAGATCGTCCGAATACTATTGGAGCAGGACCTCGACGTTGACCAAAGTGATGCGCAGCATGAAAGTGCTCTTCATCAAGCTGCTGCAAATAATCATCTTGAGGCCATAGAGCTTCTCCTTGGTAAGGGTGCTGAAATTCTATTGCCGGGACCCAATGGAAGCGCGCTGGATAACGCCATCTACCAAGGTCACGAAGAAGCAGCCATGATGCTGTTGGCTGGTGGAGCAAAAATAGATGTTGATAATGACAAAAGTGCCGTTGCCATGAAACACGCTCTCAAATACAACCATGGAGGCGTTGTTAACCTTATCCTTTCTCATGACGCACATAAAGACGCCAAGATTAAGAAGTTAGCGGAACACCCTGTCGTTCAAGTCCCATCACCAAGAAATGTGCCAACAGGATTGAGCTCTCGTCAGTCATACCCCAGCAACTTTGATGCAAGCTGACGTCTCTGAAGTCTATCAAGTTCCTCAGGCCGGAAAGTCGTTCTTTCAAGTAGGATCAGTATGCTTCTGAACCAACCCTCTCTTGAAAACGAAAATGGCTAACTTCTGCTGATCTAGGTGATTGAGATTGTATGGTCCCCCAAAGATGCACTTGCAGCGAAAGGCAGCGAGTCAGATGACGATCTCTCCGATGCAGAATGGAACGGAAAGCGGTACCCAGCACGTCGATATATCATTGCCAAGCAGCGACAAGAGTGGTGCTACGCGTTGTACGTTCTGCATGAAGGACATTTTTTGCCATGCTAATGCCATATCACAGTCTGATTAGCAGCTTCCATGGCAAGACGCATAACCAGCTGAGAGCCATGGGATTTCACGATGAGAATCTAGACAAGATTTTCATGAAAGGAACTCGGCATGCGAAATTTCAACTCGAGTTATTGAATGATGATTTGCGTGTCGAGCCTGAGGAAGGTCGCCCGGGTGCTAAGCTCCACGAGAAGAGTCGTGTCGATTACAGAGACACATATATGGTATGATATGACCAGCAAGCTTCTGCTAATGGCTGACGAATTTGGGGCAGATCAAGTACAGTACAAGTTGCCGAAAGATTGGACACTTGACAGAAGGTTCTCTGTCAAGATTCGCGAAACATGGAAAGCATCTCGTCGGCTCAGAGTATTATAATTGCCATCACAGCCACCACCACTTTGATCATCATTGATTCGAGATAAAAGGGCATTGGGTTGAGCCGGAACTTAAGGAGTCAAATGACAAGTTAGAAGGAGATGTCCACGTAACAAAAGTTTTCAACATTGTATTCTAGTCTCGTTCGTAATGTATGGGTCTGCTTTGAAGACGAGTGCGCGAGAACTCAATTCATCTATTCTGCGACTGATATGTTCGTGCAATGAGGAAAAAGAACTTTTAACACAGTTCAGGATTACAACATTGATTCGTCGCCACCCACACACTCCCTGATTCTTCAGGGCCGCCGGCATTGAACTTAATAACAAAGAACGGATATAACGAGCCCTAAGTGTTGGCTACCATCTTATTCCCATAGACCGAAGTTGTGGTTGTGGCCGGGGAAATGCTCCAAGGCAGATATATCAATAAAGCATATGAGGCACAGGAGGGCTAACTTTAAGCTTTGATCCGACATTTGGGACAACTTGTTTGGCTATTGGATTTTGTCGATGCGCTTGAGACTGTTCGATTGTCCAGGATCAGGGAAGATATTAGTCTTGAAATAATTTCCACAATGGGTTCTGCGGTACCTATTTCAAGGTTGTAAGATTACAAACGAGTACTTGGCCTGAGTTGATCTGACGATAGACCTGGGGAGTCACGTTCCTTGTATACGTGATCAATAAGTCCGGCAATGACTTTTGGCAATTCCTCGTAGAAATCTCGCGTGTAGATATTATTCTCAGCCAAGTTATTGTCCTGGTAATAGCGGTCCTTGACAAGGCTCTTTCGACTTGAACCAGTAGAAGCACCATGCAACTGATGGACCGCACCAAGACACCTATGAGCCGTCCTCTGTATCTGCTTAGCACGAACGTGACCTGGTAGAAGCAGATTTTGGTGGCGGAGCGAATCTATTAGCATCTCGTCTGTATTCCATATTCAGCGCCGATTTTTGTAAGTCTCCTAGGGATAGTGTCGCCGTCTGAGGGACCAAGAAGACACCAGGGGATGTCAGAATTGCCGGAACACCATAAAAGTAAAAGCCCCAATTTTCGAGCCAACTACAACCACAAGCCACATAAAAAGTAGATAAATTTGTAGAGCTAAACGCGGGAATTCTTTTGGTCACATAGATTTCCTAAAATGCGCTGGGTTGTGAAGTTACAGGTGGCCTTAAATATTTGGTGTTCCGGCTATTCCGACACACCCTGGTGAGAGTATCCGACCGGTAGTGTCTTTCTCGGGAGGAGTCTGATCCCAAAGCAGACTCTACCCACTGTGTAACAAAACTATCGACAGACTCAGGACGGTATCTTTTCGAAGCAGGACTCGAAGGGAGCAGGTCGACAAGGTCTTCGAGGAATGCTGCGTTTGGACTTTTGATAGGGAGAGGCTTTGACTGTTGTTGTACAGTCTGCACGCAGATTTACGGGCGCAGGCTCGTTAGGGCGTACTCAGGATACTCAGGCTCTGCTCAGACTCTGCTCTAGCATGCTCACCCTCAGCTCAGGTTAAAGCAGCAGATGCTCACGTCTAGAGACCAAAACGGAACCAGCGAAAGGGAAAATTAATTATGAATCCAGGGGCATCTCGCTTAGCTTGGAAATAACAACATCCCCGATGAGGCCAAATTGACACCGCGTTATAAGTCTCATGTTTTTCTATGCGAGATAGAATTGTATAAGATCTCGATCGCATGGCTTGTCACCATTTGATGCACTTGCATGCTACCGTTCAAAATTAGAGATCTCTCTTGTAACTATTTCTTGGAGTGTTGGCGGTCGGGACAAGCACAGTACAAGGACATCGGTCATGTGAGTATGCCAGCCCCCTCGTTTCCAGGCCACGAATTTATGACCAAGAAATCACAATGCAGATAGTAAAGCTGATTATGGGACTGAAAAAGTGATTGCACTTTTCATAAGAAGATGGCAATCACAGTCTTGGGACAAGCGACCAGTTTGCCAAGCCATCTCTCTCTTTGCTTGTGGTTTCTGTCATCCGAGCTATAGTTTCAGCTAATGGCAGAAATTACTTAAGCTGATGTTTCCCCCTCTATAAAATGAGGTTTGGAATTTTTTACTGCACCAGTAGGCACATAAGCCCAGGATTCAAGGGGACATGCTTGGTTTTATAAGGATCTGTCTTTCACCACGTCCCTTATTATTAGCAATAAGCAAGTGCTTGTTTCTTATCGTTCAAAACTTCACATTTATTAACGATGAAAGCCTCACATGACGTAATATTCTTCGAAAATTGGAATAGTGAGCCGACACCGTGCCCCCCTCACCGCAAATAAATTTTGTTGGCTTGTGAATTCGCGACCCATGTATTGAAATTTCTCTATATCGCCATAATCACACGAAATAACCTCTCTCTTGCTCTTGCAACTCAAAGCTAACATCCACTTGCACGTTTCATCCCGCAGAATACAACAGTGCCGGCTCTCTGGAGACTCAATTCCTACTCTTGCGCTTGCAAACACGAAACCAAGCAGGTACTGTACAACTATCACTCGGCTCGACAACAAAGCCATAACGCCCACCCTTTGTCTTCCTCTTGATCTCACAGATCCAGCGCCGTTGCTAAGTCCAATCGAACCATCATGGCGTTTGTTAGGCTCAATCAATCTCCATACGAGGCCACGAATGATCAAGCAGCACTGTCTCCTCAAACCCCGACTCCACTCGAGTTCAGCCTCCGTAACGAAAGAGATCAAGTTCGCGAAGCCACAAAAACTGCCCTCAAAGACTCGACTTTCTGGAAAGACATGGCCGAAATGCAGGAAGCGGAAGTGCAGCGACTCTCGCCTGGGGCGCCCGGATTTCTCGACCAGATCCCGCAAAGATGGGACAAGACGATACCTTCCGACGAATCCGATTTTTGGGACATGATACTTGATGTCGTTTACGAAAAGTACGGCAGGCGTCTAGAGCTGGTGGCCGAGAAGCTTACACAGATGGAGAAGGACGAGAAGGATAAGGATAACGAGATTGTGCGCTTGACGAAGCTAGAGAGCGTCCTCAAAGAGAAGGACAACGAGATTTCAAGCCTCACGACAATGCATATGGATAGATTGGTCAAGGCTCATCCTGAGCTGCATAGGATGAAACGGGATGGCGTTAAGACGGTCACGGAAGCCATCTTGGTAAACACCTGGATTACATGCAAGTTGCAGGGAGATAGGATCAGAGAAGTGGTGAAAGCCCACAAGGACCTGGAGAAAGTGCTCAACAAGAGAGACGTGAAGGTGGGAGAGCTGAACAAGAAGATTACATCCTTGAATAAGCGGCTCGAGGAGATGGAGAGTGGCGTGAGATGTCGAGAGCGGGATGTCAAGCTTCGCGAAGACGCAGTGAAGACGAGAGAGCAGGAGCTCAAATCACAACCACGCAAGGCCAAGGAGTTGACGAAGGATTCTGGAAAGGAGTTGAAGGCCGCAAGAGCACAGATTAGGGAAGCAGAAGGCAAGATTGTGGATTTGGAGAAGAAGCTGAAGTCTGCGGCCGACGACCACAATATCCTCAAACTCGACTACGATGCATCCCTCTCCGAACTAGAAGCTCTCAAGGCAAACGACGCAAACGCCGACCCGAAACACAGCGAAAAGACCCGAGAACAATTTCGAAAGCTGAAGGAGGGCCGCGATAAGTTCAAGGGTCTCTACGAAGCCAACCGAAGCAGCGAAAAAATCATGCAAGACAGAATTACCAAGGCTGTCCGAACTGCAGAGGCAAAGCAGAACGCTACGTTCGAGGCATGGAAGGCCCGGACGCAGCAGGTTTCTCAAGAGACGGTCCAGAAATTGGAGATCATTGAAGCAAAAGCTGAGGCTGCAGAACAGCTGGCCAGCGAGACGAGAGTTGCGGCGGAGGCTAGGATTTCCGAGGTATTGAAGGATACGGACGAGAGAATCAAGGACTTGTCTCGGGCCAAATTGGGACTCGCGGCAGAGAATTCGGACAAGGATACGGAGATCGAGCAACTAAAGCAACAACTTGCTGCCTTATCTCTTTCCAAGGCAGAGAAATAGGAACTAGAGTTTGAGTCTGGCCCGCGGGGATAGGGAAACATGGAAAAGTCTGTTGCTCGTCTGGATGCTAGGTGATGAGTAATAGGGGAGAAGAATGGAGGTTGCATTTAGCATGGCTGCTGACACACCCGGGGTGCAGGGATAAGGTCGGCTAGAAGTACGGTGTCGTGGGACTGGAAAATCGGAGAAGTGTGTCTCAACGTCCTTCAATCCACACATCACCACAAACCCGGAAATGCACCACAGCATTTCTTGCATGGAGAAGTATCCAAGCATTCCCATTTTGTTCACATGTGCATCTATTTTGACTTGCCGGCCCGGCAGTACTCGGCATGCCCGCCCTGCGCGTGACGGCCAGGCGGGAAAAGTTCCCTCTGAGATGGATCATCTGCACTGCCGCCGCCATCAGTGACCATGCATGCAACATGACGTGAGAACGTGACAGGCCAACAGACAGCTGAAGGCGCTCAAGGCTGTCACTGCCACATTATATGTGATTGCCATGCCATCCAAGCCTCGTTCCTCTTCCCCCTCTCTCTTCTCTCTCTCCTAACAACTCACAAGACAGCACAGCACATCAACATGTCAGCGAAAGAATACTACGACAGCTTCAAGACCAACCCTCTTGCTCCTAACCCGCAGTATCCGGATACCCCGCCGGTGCTCTGGGCAGGCCCAGGCTATCCCGACGGGAAAAGAGACAGACATGCCTACCCTTTTCAACTCTACTACCCTCCCTCGCCTCCTCTTCAACCGCAACGACATCATTCAAGAGATCACTCTCGAGAAGCACGACCACCAATGCCTCAAAGACCCTACTACGCACCTCAACACCAGTCCTCACAAAGCATCCCTCAAGATCAATATCTGCAGCCTCCCCTCCGCCCTGAACGCTCCATCTCTGAGCCTCGCTTTCCCACAGAACATAAACACCATCACCACCATCGTCACCATTCACGGCATCGCTCAGATTCGCGATCAGATTCCCGCTCCCTGTCACGGGAACGATCTCGGGACCTATCACGAACGCGATCGAGAGACGACTCACGATCGAGGGACCACTCGAGGTCGAGGAATATACAGCGAGACCACTCACGCGACCGGGCGAGGCCACACAAGAAGGAGAAGGGATCAACTACGAATACATTTATCGGTGCTTTTGGCGGTAGCGCGATAGGGGATTTGATATTCCCCGGGCTGGGGACAATTGGCGGAGCGTTACTTGGGGGATGGGGTGGTCATGAGGTTGGGAGGAGTACGAGTGGTGGGTCGAGGGGACCGCATAAGAGGGATAAATATGATGAAGAATGGGAGGAGGGCTGCAGGCGGAGGGGTGAGATTCCATAAAAGGCAAGCAGGCAAGGACCGTACTGCTCATCCGGGCAAGGTTTTCTTGATCCCGCGGGCCTGATCTCTAGATCCTGTCGCCAGGTTGAGGAATAGTATCAAGGGGCAAGATATCCTTCGCAACCAGGTTGTGTCTGATTTAAAATCAAGTGAGAGTGGGCTTTTATTCGATCGCGGGCGATGAATGATTGAACATCTGGAAGACAGGCGGAGGAGGTAGTTGGGGCACGTCTTTCCCCCATTTCACTCCTTTTCTTGGGCCGAGCGAAGCAAGGATTCGATACCCTGGTAAAGGTTGATTCGGGAGCCGTCCTTGTGTGGAAACGAAATTCTTTTTTAGGTAGGGCGGCCGGTGTACACAGAAAGGGCTTGATGTCTATTCAGTGCAATGTCAGCGATCAAGTGATGCTTCATCACTCAAATACAATTTAATCTTTGTAAACTCAGACTTTAGGAAGAATGGCCATACTTCTAAGCTCTCATGCACTTGAATCCTCACGCAACAAGAATCTTCAAACCCCCAAGACCTCCTTCTCTCCTACCCTGCGGCCCATCTTAAGTAGCAGCATTTCCAATGAATTCAGACCCCTGAGCGCCTCATTGGTAAACAGCTTAAGTGATAAATTAGCCCCTTTACGCAGGTTGCTCCATAAGGCATTGCCGAGTTTTTCGAGACCCGAATCGAAGCTCTAACCTTACTTTAGCTTCATTGGGGACAGTCATGACGACAGCCCGTTCACGGCGCAAAACATATACCAACAATACCCTATCTCATATCTCAACCCTCCTCATCAACTCTCCAAACTCCTCAAAACCCCATAATAAATTCTACATAAGCTAATTTCCTTACCCAGACCGAGAAAATGAGCTCCAAATCCCTCTTCGACAGCGTGTAAATCCTCACCCATCCCCAATATCTTGATTCAGCTCAGCATTCGCTCACCAACATCCTCTCACAGCGTGAACCCACAAGGCCTCCTCGCGGCCGCCGTCGGTCCAGTCTTCCTAGCCGCCATCCCGGTAACGAACTACATCACAGCGCCCAACGGCACTATGCAAAAAGCCATCGAGACCCTCCTCTCTATCATCCCTAGTAGCGATTCCATTCCTAAAGACAGAGTCATTCCCGCTTTGTCTGCATTCTATATTTTCTGGACGTTTGCTGCAACGGGTGCTGCGTCTGCTGGCGGCTTAGGAGCATCGAGAAAGGAGGGGTTAGACAATAATCGTGAGAGCGCCCCGAAAACGAACCTCGGATAATGCTTCAAATCCAGGATTTGTGGCGATGATTTGTCGTCACGAAGGCTGATGTCGAAGAACTGCAGATCCTAGAAAGGACATCAACAACCTCACCGGCTTGCCGCTCCGCCTCCGAAGCGCACACTACAATCTCATGGAGATGTTCCCGTACGTTATCTGTCCTGATAACTCCAACATTCATTCCTCGGCCGCGAAACGGACCTTTCTAATCCGAACATTGAATACGCGGGGATTTGCCCTCGCAGCCGCGCTGGCGCAGGTTTCGGCTCCCACCGACCAGAACCTAATTATTGAAAAGTAATCGATTTATTAATGGAAAAATCGATTTATTAAAGGTTGACAGACTGCAGAATGACTAGATACAGAAGAGTGAGTTCTGGAAACAGAGGAAAAATGTCCAAAGTAAGGGATTTATTCCCATTACCCTTCGGCGATACCGGTAATGCCGAACCCGCTTTCTCCGATACATTATTAATTAGCTAATAAACCAAAGGTAATCAAAATGACGATATACTAGTAAGCTTGGTAAGCTTGGCGAGTAACGCATGACAAATGAGAGTGGAGAACCCTAAATTAGTGGTTGAACCTGGTACTGGAAGGACTGGTAAGCTAGCTATAATAGTATACCAATTTCAATACGCCTCCTCCTTATAGTCGAGGTTCGACGTTAGTAAGGCTAATAAGCCCCAATTTTAATCGTAGTAGTTCGAAAGCCGGTCTAGGGAGTGGTTTGGTGAGAATATCGGCCGTCATTTCCCCGGTAGGAATGTACTTGAGATCGATTTCCTTGGTATTAATATAATCCCTAATAAAATGGTATCTAATATCGATATGCTTGGTTTTTTGCGAAAAGCGGGTATTCGTAGCTAGATCCATAGCTCCCTGAGCGTCCGTTTTCACCTTAATAGATCCCATAGGAATCGATATTTCCTTAAATAGTTGCTTTAGCCATAAGGCTTCTTTAATTACCGGCGTTAAGGCGATATATTCAGCTATAATAGTGGCTATAGCAATAGTTTTTTGCTTGGTACTAGCCCAGCTAATGGAACCACCGAACATGGTAAAAACCATACCGGAGATTGATTTGCGATCCTGTAAATCGCCTCCGTAATCGGTATCTGAGTATCTAATAAGCCCTTTATTAGACGAAGCGTTATATAAAATGCCTATATCAGGTGACCCCTTAATATATCGCATTATACGCTTCTGTATAGTACCATGCGAGGCTTTAGGATACGAATTGGAATGTCCTAAGTAACCTATAGCAAAGCAGAAATCGGGACATAAGGCTAAAGAGGGCTATATAAGTGATCCAGTTCGACTTTAATATTCTGTAATATTAATATTGATTCTATTAGGTGCCGTAGGTTCGGCTATTGGAGTGGTAATAGGCATGCAACCTTTTATTTAATACCTTAGGAGCATATCTATAAGATATTAATTTTGGTATAAAAATACCGAACCGTCCCATAAACATACGATTTCCATACCCAGAAGCGTTTTGATTTCTCCCATATTAGTCATATTAAATTTCTAATATAATTGAGCTTTGATTCTATTAATATGGTCCATGTTTTTTCCAATAATAATTATATTGTCTATATAAATGGTAATTAGAATTGGAAGCTAATTAACCTCGTATTCCTGGTAGATATAGAGTACTGGATTACTAAATAATTACTAGAAACCAATGGAATGGAAAAAACGATTGATTACCTAATACCAAACCCTAGGGGCTTATTTCAGGCCATAGATACTCTTTTGTAATCGGTAAATAAGGTTCGTTCCTTTAATAAAACCAGGGGATTATTCTATATAGTACTTCTCTTCTAATTCCCTATATAGGAACGCTATTTGGATATTCATCTATTAGATATAAAGCCCATATTTAGCCGCTAGGGCTAATATGATTCGAATAGTAGATAGTCTGGCTATAGGAGTAAAGGTTTCAAAGTAATCTATACCATATTCTTATATATAGCCCTATACTACGAGCCTAGATTTATGGTATCTATTAGACTTGATTTTGAAGATCTAGCGGTATCCGATGATTTTTTAGTGTTTTCGTACTACTAGATCCCAGGTATAATTCCGTAAATGGGAGTCTAGCTCCTTTTTAATTAAAGGCCTCCAGAGATAAGTATCTGGGCTAGAGAGAGCTTCTTTAATTAATAATAGAATTTTGGAAGCTTCTGTATTCTGGTTAATAACTAGTAAAGTACGGTAATCTACTAATTCCCTAGTAATTCTAGTCGATTTCGGATGTCTAGGAAGTAGTTTACCCCTAAAACTAACCATTTCGGGCGCCTCCTAATTTGTAGAATCCTGTTCAGAAGCACCTATAGGTACTATAGGTTCTTGGTTATTCTCAAATAAGGGCTCAGGGGGCTCGCTTAGGTCAGAAACACCCCTAATTATATTATATAATGCGTTTCTAGCAGTATCCCCTTTAGTATTAGAATAATTTTCTCTATTGTTTTCTGATGGATTATTAAGCTATTAATTTCCAGTATTAATAATAATGGTATCTCTATAGTCTATATCGGGGTTATCTGAATTATTAGTAAAATCATTATTAGATTCTATAGTAGCTCCTACTAGTCTTCTATATAGCTGGGATACTAGATTTAGGAGTAAGACCCCTTTAATATATTCTTTAATAGTATAATAGTTAGAAATAACGAATATTTGCTTATATAGGTTCCAAATTTGATATCCAGAACTACTATAGCCAGTAAAAATGCCCCTAAAGGCCTTGGCCATATGCTTATGCCACGAAGCTATTTCCTTGGAAATATAAACGTATATTAAGGAACCGAATATATATAAATTGGAAACGTCTGGTTTAGTTCTATAGAATACTTTATAGGAAGTTATACCGATTTTGGGTAGGTAGTACTGATTATAGGCATAAATCCCATATATAGCTACTTCCTCCCAAAACTCGTATAGCAAACCTGATTATTCTAGCTCCATATACTCTAATTCGATAATTATATATATACTATATTCAGAAATACTATTCTATTCAGGTATATAGGTAGTAGTTAGTTCCAAGCGAATCCCCTTTGATTTATACTAGTCCTTGACTTGTCCTAATACAAATTCCGGAGTATTATCAAGATATAGGCGTTTGACTTTATTCCTAGTTTAGGTTTTAGAGAAGGTAATCTAATTTTATAGATTAGTAAAATAGCTCTTTCTGTCCGAATTATACGCTACCATATAATATTTGGATCTCTTATAAGTAGTAGATAGTATATAAGTGTTTTTACTAAGGGAGGCTACCCTTAATGGCCCCTATATATTAATTGTAATATATTCTCCTGGAAGCAGTTTTTTAGGGTATAAATCGCTTATACTAGCCCTAGTAATTTTGCTTATATTACAGGGATCGTAGTTAAACGGGTTTTGATTTTTGAATTAGAGTCTATTAACGTGGTTTACTAATTCCAGGATATACTTCGTATTCAGGTAGCCATATCTCTAGTACCAGGTTTCCAGGGAGGCTAGTACGTCCGATTTTAATGATTTTAGGGTATACCCTGAACCAAATTAGTCAAGCTAATATAACCCAGTAGATGGTTTATATATACCGGTTACTATAGTTGTTCCGTTATTAATAATATGGGCTTTCCTAGTAGAAAAATTAATGCTTTCTCTAGCTTGGGTAATTTTGGGAATCGATAATAATAATGTATTTCGGAATTAGGGGCTATATAGTATGTTATTTAGCTATACTTTTAGCTCAGGAGTAGTAGACAGAATAATGGTTTCCTTACCCTTAATAAGAATTATAGATTCGTTACCAAGAATAATAGGGAATAGTTCCATATCTTCGTAAGTAACGAAGGAGCTTTTACTTCCCGTAAAATAGTCCGTAATACCCGAATTAATATACCAGATATTCGTAAAATCATTATTAAGTAATTGGCTATTAAGCAGGGCACTAAATATTGATTTTCTAGTAGTTGATTTTTTGGTAGTATAGGCTTTTTTATAGATAGTTGGTAGAGCTAATGGCGCCTCCTGATTAGTGGAATTAGAGTTCTTTCTATTAGAATTAAAGTAATCCTGGGCTAATTTATACGTAATATAATCTTTAATATTGTATTCTTTAAATTTGTGGAATATATAATAGGCATTTGGATCTCTTCCATACTTCGGCTTATTATTTAATTAATTTTCATTACTCCCTTGGATAGCTAGTACCTTTGGAGTGGTATCCGGGTTAAAAGCGGGAGGTTTAGCCCTGAGCTTTTCCTCCTTGGTAGAAGCATCCGCTTTAAGTAATTCCAGCTTTAATTTATTAATGTTAGCTCTAATAGAATTCAGGAGGGACTTATATAAGTCATATTTCTTTGGGAGGTTACGAATCAGGTATCCGGATACAGAAACGTCCGAAATTAATCCATTTACCTCCTTGATTTCAGCTACTTTGCAACTAATATAGTTAATAAAGTCGTCTATTCCTATAGTAGTATTAAACGTAATAGTTTCCATTTATTAAAGGTATAGGGCTTTCTTTTGAGCTTTTAGCTATTTAGCTTTAGCTTGAATCTGGCTCCAAATTTGGTATACGAGCTTCATTTCCTTGAATTATTACCAGGTATTATGGGTAATAAGTAAACTTAGTACTGCTTTGGCGATTGTAACTTGACGAGTAATCGATTTATCGTCCTTTGGGCCTGCTTCTATAAGAGCAGGAGCTTAATCAGGATCGACAAATTGCCATAGATCTTCGACGATAAAGAGGTTCATAGCATCGTCTATCCAGGAGTAGATATTGTCGTCCGAGAGAGGCTCAATTTTCGTACCTTTATAGGTAACATGGGTTAATTTTTTGGAATCCGGCATATTGGATTTTGCAGAGAATTTCTGGCCGAAAATGGCTGTGTTTTTGGCGAATTCTGCTAACGCAAAGCCGAACTAATGGGTGGAATTCACTAAAATTAACGATTTTGATGATTTTGAAAATGGTTTTTTGGAATAGACAAGTGAGTACTAAGGTCACGTGAAGTTCGGATCACTTAGTAAAGCACTAGCCGGGCTCAGAACCTATTAAAAAGTAATCGATTTATTAATGGAAAAATCGATTTATTAAAGGTTAACAGACTGCAGAATGACTAGATACAGAAGAGTGAGTTCTGGAAACAGAGGAAAAATGTCCAAAGTAAGGGATTTATTCCCATTACCCTTCGGCAATACCGGTAATGCCGAACCCGCTTTCTCCGATACATTATCAATCAGCTAATAAACCAAAGGTAATCAAAATGACGATATACTAGTAAGCTTGGTAAGCTTGGCGAGTGACGCATGACAAATGAGAGTGGAGAACCCTAAATTAGTGGTTGAACCTGGTGCTGGAAGGACTGGTAAGCTAGCTATGGTAGCGTACCAATTTCAACACTAATCAACCTGCTTGGCCTCCATATTCTACTGAAGAGTTTCGTGTATTACCCCCTTATTGAAAAGTGATCGATATATTGGTGATAAATCGATATATTGGAGGTTAACAATTTGTAGAAATGACTAGATACAAGAGAGTGAAGAGTAAAAAAGGAGAGGAAAGTGTCTAAGGTACAGTTCTTATACCCACTAGTGGGTGGCGCTTTCCTCCGATATATTATAAATCAGCTAATAAACCAGATGACTATATATTAGTGAGCGTTCCATAAGCTTCCATAGTAAACCATTATAAATAGGGGTGGCGAAGCTAAATTAGTAGTTGAACCTGGTGCTGGAAGGACAGTAAAGCTAGCTCAAGCTAGCAAGTTCAACAACCCTGCCTACTTGTTGGATATTGCGCCGGTGAGATCGTTTGCGCACTTAGGAGCAACCGCTAGCGTTATCAATGTTGCTTGGCTACTGGCTCTTGGTGTGAAGTAGTTGGAAGAGAGAAGGTAGGGATGTGCGGGATTCCGGGCTTGGTTGTGCGTCAGTAGGAGGGCAGAGATGACGGATATTTGAATGTTTCTCTTTATGTTGAAGAGAAAGAGCCCTGAGATCGCCTGGTGCGCAGCGAGAATGCAGATATTTTCCGGCCTGAAATGGTGGATCGACGCAACTCCCTCATGATAGTAATAATATAATATTATAGAGCTATATTATATAAAAAGGTGGAACTCGCTTTTCTCCCAGTACCTCTATTTCCTTCCCGTCATTTCTTGCCCCTGCAGACACGCCAGCGTCCATCAAACCACCCGGGTCTCCGGAAGATGGCCCTTTTCCCACCTTGGGGATCGACTTGCCTTTTGGCCGCTGGCACGATGTTGAGATAGGTTGGGAAGATGAACGCCAAGGAAAATGCAGCAACCATCACACACCACGCGTACAAGTCCCGTTTCACCACAATCGCATCCATGATGACTGGGAATATCCCGCCCCCAGCGGTTGCGGCAGTGAGGAATGCCGAGCCCGTCTTTGTGTATGAGCCGAGGCCGCGGAGACATATAGCGATGGCTGTTGGCTGGACCGCCGACTAGTGAACGGTGTTAGCATCTTGGCTTCCTTATTTAGAGAGTATCATATGTGATAGTGTATACCTGGAAGAGAAACTGCAATACGATGATCGTTTGACCAGATTGGCCGATCAGATTCATTGCCAAAGCCGCCGTGACTATACATCCCACCAAATAGAACAGAAGGACTTTCCTTGGCTTGATTACCAAAAAAAGGAATGCTGCGAGGAAGCGGCCGGCTGCAAAACACCCTCGACTGATGTTTCGAGTTATCGGTGTTGCTGAATGCGGAGGCGGCCTGTAAAGTAAGTGATGGGTCAGGAGGACAGTGATTGGCTTTTGATGGTTGGGATACAATTATGGAAAGCTCTCAAAAGACTCTTGAAACCTCCCTAAGGCATTGCGGCTGCTTGCACCTCCAACTATAAACTTAGGACATCTAAAACCCTATTCTTTCCTTCACATCTGACTATGAGAGATCCTTGAGATCAAAAATCCCACCGAAAAAATATGGAACCATGAAGCAAAACATACACAAGAAGATATTGAGGATTGCAAGAACAAAACTTACGGATAACGAAATGTCATGAGCGTAACAGACTCCTGACCACCTACAAAGCAAACCAGCGAGACAACGCCGACTGCTAAGGTGATATATGTGACCCTAACACTTCTTATCCTTTCAGTGCTGTCGAATGGCAGACGTAATGCCGAATTATGGAGATCTTCGTCGCTGTTTCTGATCAGCTTCTGTGAAGGGGTTCAAATTGCCGAAACGTACGTAGCTGTAGGAAGAGATGAATAGTAGACACCAAGAACCGAAAGGCAGCAAAGAAGTGCGATTCCAAGGTAAGCCCACTGAGCGGGGACCAACGGGTTGTGGGTCATCTGCTGAGAAAGAAGCCTGTGCGAGAAAATGGGTGGAATGGCGCGGCCAACTGCCTCGAAACCACGCGTGATGTTCAAGCGAATCTCTGCGTACTTTGCTGGTCCACAGAGTGTTACAAAGGGGTTCAAGGCGATTTCAATCGTCGCCATGCCAAGGCCAACAATGAAATTGGACACAATGAAGGCCGGGAATGAGGCCAGAACCGCGCATGGCCAGAAGGTTAAAATGCCGCACGTATAAATGAAGAGTCCGGAGATGAAGGATGCTTTGAACCCGCCTTTCTTCAAAATTATAGGGCTAAAGGTAAGTGGTCCGATCAAGTAGCCCCTGTAGGAGGTTAGGCACTTTGTACGGCGTTTAAGAGCAGAGGTTACTCATGTACCAATAATATGAAGAATGCAAGACCTGGATCCTCGCAACGGACAGTTCTACCTGCTGGAGAAAATGGCAATTCAAGGTATAGAGGAGCCCGTATGCCGTGCCCAAGACGATGGATAGGAGGGTTACCGGGATCAAGGTAAGAACCGATTTGAGATTGCTCAAATCAAGCAGGCTTTGGGGAGTTTCAAGATTAATAAATCCAAAAACGATATCGTTTTTGGAATTTGTTGCGTCTGTAATGCTCGCTGCTCGTAAATCTCTAGGAGCATTTGCTATATCTGGCGTAGTAATGAAGTCTACACTCGGTTTGTTAACATAATTCCCGACGATGGAGGGTAACAATAGCGATGGGCCAGATTAGCAACTTACCTGTTGTCATATCTTCAAGGTGAGCTCTCCCTGAAGAGGGCAATTGAGTTGATATACTGGTTTTCTCAGTCAAATCGGCTTTGCCAAGAAGCAACTGTGGCGATAAGTGTGAAATAAGTGGTTTTAGGGTTGGAATGCAAGCGCAAATGATGCCAACATTGACTTCAATAGCAGACCACATGAACGATAGTGAGGAGTACCCTATAAAATCTTAGTAGTCATTTTAGAATTGCGGAAAGAAATTCAATGAACACACAAGCAAAATTCACATATGGTGTAGAACTTGAGACAGCTCCGTTTTGGATCGATTGGTGCCAACTGACTGTTCCTTGCACCGCCTGCTGAAGACAGGCTATTCTAAAAATATCGACAATAATAACAAAGACACCGAGCCCTAGTTGGTTAGTTTAATAGCATCCTGTGGCTCATGTGCAGCTCTGATAAGACTAACCAAAAACGCCAACTAAAATGATCTTCTGCCTTCGCGGTAGTCGTAATCCTGTCAATATAGGTATTGGGAGAGAGAAAATCGCAAGATCAGTGATTATATTGAACGGGGCTGCGGAAAAGTAGAGCCTCAGAATATCCGCGCACTTTGTTGGCTGCAAGGGATACTCCAACACAAAATGAAGGGGTCTGCATTGCACAATGTTGAGGACTGTCAAAATAAAACCACCAACGTTTACTACTATCAGAGTGGCTATCGTGACTTGTCGGAACACTCGTGGGGTTGTCTTTGAAAGGCTTATGTAAAAGCTGAGTATGGATGATTTTACCGCCATCAGGGTTGGGTTCTGCATAACAGTTAGCAAGAATATTATTAGCCTGGATTCGATCATTTCCCACATAGAGCACCGTAAACGCATATTGAGATCGTGCAAGCGACTCGTGCAATTCCGGAGATATGTCCGCGTCGCGGCTCCCAAGACCATGATACGTGGCAAAGCATATTGAAAATGAGAGTCCAAATGCCAAAACCTAATGTTCTTTTAGCAGAATTCCATTTTGGGATTAGATAAGAGGTGGGTACCCAGGCTAATACAATAAAGAAATCGTCCCAAGCAGGACTTCGAAGTATGGCAATCCGTGCGACCAGGCGTGGCAAGACAAACAAGAATGACGTTACCACCGAGAGAATCGCCACTACGAAGACTAGATGAGACCGTGAACCTTGAGACATGGTAGCTTGGCTTGGAATAGTTGTGGATTTAAAGTTCGTACAAAAGCGGGGCTAGGAATATATATATATCTCATAGTGCGCAAAGTTGGTCCACACTCTGCATCGGCCCCTTCAGCTACAGCGTTCTTTTTTAACACGGTGATTGAAGGCGGCGATTGAACACGGTAATTAAACACAACCGCCAACCTCTTCCCGGGACAACTTTGGGTCTGAGAAATCCGGTGCCTGACCCGATGTCCCGTCTCTGGTCTCTCGTATACGGTGAGTCAAGGAGATCGGCGGTGGAAAAAGAATGTTTCAGCCGTGGCAACCTCAATGATTGTGGGATTGGTTGTGGCGTCTTTAGCGCACACCCTCCACAAAACGAGGCTTTTCTCTTCCTGTTTTTGTAATACCAAACGATGCTTCTTTGTCATCAAATTAGTGGAGGTCGTTCGTTGAATGGCATCAATTCTTATAATTGTTATTGCAATAATAAATAAATGAATTCGTACTATGATTTGGTACAAATCAGTTGACGCAAAAAAAACCCCTATTTTGATCCTTTTCCTTTATAACTATATCCTTGAGCAGACAGCGCACGGCTAGAGATGAGGGATGTTTTCGGGCGTGGAATACGGCGGTAAGGTATGCTCCCACGACTGCTTATGCAAGCCGGGGAAGAAAAACCGGTCGGTTGAAGTACGAATTCGTAGAGGTGGGATCGCGACTCGTACGCGTCAATGAGGCGTCCCTCGTCTTGCCCACAACCTTGCTTGGGATTCAAGCCACTGAACGGGAATTGCCTATGCGGAGACATCCCCGATTTCCGATATCTGACTACACCGCCATCTTCATTCCCCGGAAAACTTCCCAGCACCCCTACCACCCAGAGACCCGGGGCCGGCGCCCCTTCGCGCCTACCTTAGGACAGTGCTTCGATCAAAGTAGCCTTCTAAAAGACGTATCCTGGAACCTTGATTCGACAATTGTAAGGAAACCCGCCCGAGCATCTGCGGCTATGTGCCACCGAGAGAAGTCTTCGGAAATCCGTCTTCTGTGCTGGCCGTCAAGCTCCAAGAGGCCCATCCTGAGTCATCCGCCATCCTCGAACACCTATAGATCAGAAATAATTCCGCAGTATCGAACAGGCACCCGCCACGGCGCGATTTCGCCCTCCCTGACAATGGTTTCTCAATACGTCCAGACGGACAAGTGGTTCCATATTTCCCACAATGCCGAACAGACGGAGACTCCCCTGCTGCCGTCCAGCCGACCTCTTTCGCCTAATAATGGAGAATCTGAACATTGAAGAGAATTCTAAGACTCTGCACAATGCACCTCGATTTAGTCCGGAAACCCTCGCCGCTAAAATTGATGATACGGCAAAGGAATCTAATTTCGGCGAATTTGTATCCTGGAAAATAGCCAAGAAGATGCCTTACTCAGACGCTGTGATCAAAGAAGCCTTCCGAATGCACCCCGCCGTTGTCCAGCTCCTTAAACAGCATGTCCCGAAAAGGGGTGCCAGGTTTGATAGCTATTTACCTCCAGCGGAAGGCAATCTTACTGATATAATCTCAGTTGAATCTAGGCCTCTCCAAAGTCTACTTCCGTCTTTAGACCTGAGCAATCGCTGCTCTAACCTACGCCGAGCCCTGAGCCCTGAGCACGCTAGTAACACAGCTAGATCACGCTCAGGGAGGGGGATCTTCTTCCGGCTCTCTCTCTCGCCGGTTACAGTTTCTATATTCCTTATAGATAGAATTTTACAGATCCTACTGCCTGTAATAGAGCCACCTCTTTAAGCCTATTAAGGTATCGTGACGGTAGCCATTCTGGCTCCCCTGTTACAATTATTAAGGATCCTTGCAGGAGCCAATTTGGGCCTCCATTTTAGCCGAAAATTCATGAATCGAAGGCGGCCTCACTTAAATACCTGTAGACTCAGGATTAATTTTCCCTGTTGCTGATTCCATTTTAGTCTGCGGACGTGAGCAACTGCTGCTTTAACCTGAGCTGAGGGTGAGCATGCTGGAGCCGAGCCTGAGCGGCCTGAGCCAAGCCTAAGCAGAGCCTAAGCACGCCCTAAGTCAGCCTACGCACCACAATGTGGAACCCAATTTGGCCTCCTGTGTGCCCCGGCTACAGCTTCCTTACCGAATTTGGTCCAGGAATCCGTTTCTGCTCCCTTACGGGGGCTCTGCCAGAGCAATAAAGTTGCAATAATGGCACGGGAAGAGTAAACCCGTAATTTGACGTTGTTGGTTGAGAGTTGATATCATTGCTCTTCCCTTAGCGTCCTTCCGGCTTCTGGCCATAAACAACAAAGCCGGAGTGCAAGTTAGCAGTATCCTCTAGGAAGTAAAAGTGATTCGCTCACAATGGCCAATACCAATGATAGGAGCGATTATTCAGCTCTTCCCGGACCTCTTCCAGCAGCTTCTCGATCTTGATCAAGTCCCATCCTAAAGCCCTAGTGAATATGGCGAGAGAGAAGGCCTCCAAGCCGTCATGGATAACTTGCGACTGGAACGCGCCTATCTTCTTCAACCCTGGGTCTTTTGGCCATAGGCCAATTGGAAGTGGCCACTCTTTTATTGTCACATTGACAAAACCAGCTTCTTGGAAGAGCACTTCAAGATCGCCGGGAGATATTTGCAGGCTAATTTTGCTGGTAGCAGCTCCCTCGAGGAGTTGGCCGTGCCAAATGCGGATGGCGCTCATTTGGGGTAGGCTGTAATCATGGGACATAGCAGCAATGTTGATATCCTTGAGTTCAACCCATCCACCTGGGGTGAGGTGCCTAATTTGTGATTTATTAGCAGGGAATCTCCCTCGGATACATTTTTAGAGCAGGGGTCATACGAGTAACTTTCCACAAGAAAGGATTTCCAGTCTCTGGCAGAGAAAGCATTCCCAAGAGAGCAATGAATCAAGTCAAACTTGGTAGAATAGCCTAGCCATTCAAGAGAGAAGTCGTCGACGACGTACTGTTTTCCATCAGCAAAATCTGAGAGCAAGAAATCAACATCTTCCTACCTTTGTATTTGGAGGGACACTACTACTATCAGTTCTCCGTTAAATAGTCGCAAAATTTGTTTATACTTACAAGGTAGGCTGGATCGGACTCAAATCTGTGCCCATAACTACTTCCGCACTTAATAGATGAATTAAAACACAGGATAAGCCGACCCACCATGTGCTTTTGGGTATGTATCCCCTGTCAAACATCAGTTGTCTGTAGAATTTTATGCCATGCTAAATCACATACCAACTTCGATTGACCAGATGCCTGGCAGACATTGTGAGCAAACTGACAACATGGTAATGAGTACTTACCTGTCCCCGTTCCATGATCCAGTATATTTTTTGGCTCACGCACTGGGGCGAGAAAAAGTTTGTCGTTTAAGACTAGCTTGAATATTACATGGTGCTGCATGTCCATTCTATTTCGAGTCAGAGAAAATCTTCGGGTTTTAACCGCATAAAATATGTATACCTGTCTTGTTCTTTCTGAAAATATCATTGCCATCATCAATTGTCGGACTCTCAGGGTAAACTCATATGCGTGACTTACTTCATCGTTCGGAAGCCAATATTCTATACAAGATTAGTGGGCTTTCATCCTTCGATGAAGTATTCTCTTGCTTACTGCCGTTCTGATACTGTTCACCAATATTGTCAGCAGTTGATTGAAAGTCAAAAAAAATTGTGCTTATTTACTTACTGCGTGATATCGTCGACCGTTCTCATATACGTAGTTGATGATGCTGGATGTTAAAGATTGGTTAGATGAGCCGAGAACAGACGCGCCCAAGTCAGAAACGAGTTCCTCGACACTGGGACTGGGACTGTCGTTCTCCCTACGCCAAGCGCTTTCACTTTCCACTACCGTCGTGTTCGGATGGACAAGTGAGTTTTTCGGAGACTCTGCTGCTTTTGGAGTATCTTGTCCTTCGGAGGTTGAAGTGGTGCCTTCTAAAATAAGTTTGTCATTCTTCCCTAGAATATAGTCAAGCTGCCCTCGAGAAGCTTTTGTCAGAATATCGTCAGACCTTGAGGAACTTTCAACTTGCTCCAGGAAAGCATCGCAGGCTTCCCAAATGTCGTCATGCTCGATCAAGGAAGGAAACCAGTCGAGTGGTAATTCTTTGTCTGTTGAGCCACCTGGAATTTCCGTGCTGGAGCTCAAGGGGTCTAGGCGCCGTGCAAGCACTGAACGGGCCGGCACCTCGTAATTTAGAGATACCAGCCCCTCCGCATCACAAGGAAGAATGTCAGGGTCTTTGCAAGCCGCACGGTCATCCTCACTGGTCAGGGATGTCTCCGTTTCATTCCGTGGTCCTCTCTCGAAAATCGTTTTCTTGAAACGCTTTCTTCTCGAAACGATACGTACCCTTTTAAAGTCGCAAATAGCATTTCCTAGAGAGCCATAATCTCCCCAACGTCTCTTCCTGCTCGACCTTGGTTGATCCGCTAGCTCGTTTCTGTTACCCTTCTCGGAAGAGTCGGGGCTATTTCCTGTCCCCTTTCGGGTTGGACTTGAGCTATTTGCTCGCGGAGACTTTAGCACGGGATCTTTCTCAACAGAGGTGAGGCTATCTTTATGTTGGTCGCCATCCAATAGCTCAATGACTCTGTCAAACCACACGCCACAATTCATGCTGGAAGATTTTGCTCTTAGTCAAGAACAATGCCTCAAGAAGAACGATACTTACCATCTACTACCACGTTCGGACCAGTCAGCGCAAATTTCTCGACATCCGGGGCAACAAGCTTGAAGAACATCTTCAGTCTCGTTGAAAACGATACTCATGTCTACTCTCTGGCCGGGTAAGAACGCGCCTTCCCATGGCCTGGACCGCACAATATCCCTCCTTGACTTGTGCTCCTGCAGCACAAAGTCCTTACTCAACACTTTTTCATGACCTTGTACATTTTGAAATCTCTTCTCAAGGACACTATCGAAAGCATCCCATGATGCGATGAACTGAAGATGGACAGGCGTAATTCTTCCAATTGCATCTTCAAGGATGAATGGTTCTTGGATGAGGCTGCGCTCTGAATGATTCGGTAGACTTGCGCGGATCTCAGCAACAATCCGAAATGTGACGACGTTCATGGCGAAGATCTTTCCCATGATACTTCTGAACTCCGGACCTAGTTCAGACTTTAGTATGCTACTCATGCCATCGGCAGCGGTTTTTATAAGGCTCGTGTTTTCATCGAGCCGGTCCCGGATGTCAGCGAGGAGACCCTCATGTGTCTCGAGTGTCTTTTGATCCTTTTCATCCTTAGCAATTCGCTGCTCCCGAAGTTGTTCGTCATTACGACGAGTAATATTCCTGTCTATGTCAGTTTAATTGTCGAAGTATTACGTTGTTGCATACTCACACACTTGCGGTGACAAGCAGCATATTCAGTGAGGAGCTATGGGCGTTAACTTCGGCTCGAAACCTTTCCAGATCATCGCTATGGGCTATTCGCCACCTGATCTTCATTGAAATGTCTTGAATCTTCTTCCCTGTACCAGCACTTCCAAGACTGTCGTCATATTTCTTGATATTTTCTTGGAAAATCTCAATGCACCGGCGGCAGGAATCCGCGACGTTTTTTGCGGTGACACACAGTGCGTTCAGCTCGGCGGTTTGTTCGTACATCTTCGTCAACAGCTCAATTTCTAGGAGAACTCGATCAAGCACCCACAATTCTCGAATGAGTGCCTGATATTCTGACGCAGAGCCTCGGCAGTCATCCAACGCTTTCACGAGGTCCTTGACAATAAGGCTGATGGAAATAATGTCACCAACTGATCCTAATGTAATCGGCATACTCGACGTTGAAGCATTCAGCTGTTGTGTGTTTGATACCGGAGAAGGAGAAAGGCTGAGGATTCTCCCACGGGTGCGCGCACGATGCGTTGTCGTTGCAAAATTTGGGGGCGCCTCACGATCAGCCTCGATGCTGGGCTTGCATTCCTCTTCGCTAATCGCTCGAATAGAAACGCCCCCAGACAGCACCCGTTCGTGCATTCCCTTGAACCAATCACAGTTCCCATGGGAATTTCGCAAACTTCTGGAACCACAGAAGTAGTATATCTTGCTCAGGATGATCCGGCCTGCTCAGGTTAACGCTCAGGGTGCTCAGGGTGCTCGGGCGAGTTGACTGAGCCGAAGGTGAGCTGAGGGTGATTAGCGCCTGAGCAAGAGCAGCAAGCTTACTAACCCCGTACAGCAGTCAAGAAAGAGAAAATTGGTTCATGATACCTGCAGATTCGTAACCAGGTGACTTGGCTCGAAGAAGTCGCTGGTCTAAGTGAGAAAGAATGGGGGGCCCTGCACGCTAGCATTCAATCTTATTTATCCACTGCGCCAAGGGCTTGGCGCGGCTCGAAGTCGAAGGTCGTGAATTTCGTCCACTGTCGTTACCTGTCAACCTCAACTGTCAACATCGAAAAATCAGCAAGCACCTGAAAATGCCTGATCTCGACGAAATTAGCTACTCTCGCGAGGCGACAATCGGCGCCTTCCGCGACTATTACCGCTTCCTTGTCGACCTGTACATGGAGGATTCCGACATCATCGAGCCGCCAAAGGGAGGATGGCCCACCGTTTCACCGGAATTTGGACAACTATTTGGGAAGTCGGACGAGGTGATTGCATTACTCCGCAGTCTGCCTTACATTCGTCAAAACTCGCCCAACGGCCAATGGTCTCCTCCTCACGGCAGTGCCAACTGTTATTGGGCGGACTGGCAATCGCTGGCCGATCTCGGGGGAGTCGAGGCTGGAGTAGACATGAGTGGCCTCGGAGAAACTCTCAAGGTCATGACTGAAGGTGCTCTCGATGATGTGCTGGCCCACGTTGTCGGCCTCACCTACGGCGACAGGGAGAACAAGACCTTCCTCCTCGACACGGAGTTCGGCGTCGTTCACGTATGTGATGTCCCTCTTACGCTACATTCCGTTCCTCATTCGCCCTTGCGCCCCCATTTCCCCCTAAATTATCCCTTAGAATTTACTGACTCCCTGCTTAATTAGTGGCCAGAGTCTGATGGGGGCGGTGACCATCGGCACAACTTAGACGACGATCCTTCTTTCATCGAGCCAGTCGACCCCTGGGTTGTGGATGAGCATATGCCTGAGAACGAGATTGAGTGGCGGCACGAGTCCCCGGCTTGGGCAACCACAGACTTCTTTGAGCTTCTGAAGAAGCAGTTCCGAGAGCTCAAGTGGATCCCCATAAATGCTCGAGAGGTCATTGCATTTGACACCACTTCTGCGCTATCCGAAGACGGGATGATCCCCATGCTCCAGGGGATCTTTCGAGAGCATGGCTGGCCATCTGAGCAGGGTGTTACTTATCGCAAACGGGAGTGTTTGGAGGCTGTGAAGGCGGCATTGGAGGAACATTATTCTACTTTTCATAAGTTTGGTTGATCGACATCGCCCCTTCCTTCCATGAGTATAGATGGTGTCTGTAGCAAAACATTTCGCAGATACTACCTGGTGTACGAAGGTTGCATGCGAAAGTATTGTAAAGCGCACCAAAAGTGAGGACCCTCGCAACTCCACTTACAGGGGCTATAGCCAATCAATCCTCACGCTGCCTTACGATTTTATATGGTGAACCAAAGTGGTAGAAGTATTGTAAAATCTTCAATTCTAATACTTTGTATGCATTCCATTGGCATTAATAACCGCCTGGCACCTCTCTCTCATAGATCGTAATAGCTTCAAAAGAAAGGAATCAGGAACTGCTTCCCAAGCCTCAGAAATAGCCTTACGCAATTGATCATAAGACATAGAATCGTACGGATAATGCTGCCAAATCCAGTCTTTCATCCAGTTCCACTCGTTCTCAATTGGATTTAGATCTGGTGAAAACGGAGGCCAGTTAATTCTCTGGATCCCACGATCAATAAGATCCTCAATTGTTTCCTTCTTAGTACGGAGATCGCGGCATAAAGTATCGGGAATACAGGGCATTTGTGCTGAAAGTCCACTATAGTGCTCATTTCTGGCACACTCAACCGCCATAAGCCTCTATATTTCTAGGCTATTACCCTGAAAATGCCCTATAAGCGGTCAACAAGGGGGTGTGTCCCGGGACTAAATAGGGGATCTCGCACGGCTCACCTTATATAATATTATATACCTTTATATGTAAATTTATTAGTAATCTATATTATTTAAATAAAATCGGTTCTAGTACTCCCCTGCTTTATATAGATTAATATTATAAAAAACACATCTATTATAAGACCTTCTAGCCCTGGCCTTTTTATTTACTACTTTCCCTAGAATCTTCTAATACCTTAATTTATATAAATATTATATATAAGTATCCTTAAAGCACTTTTCCTAATAATATAAATTAGGTAAATTAGAATTAAATACTCTCTTATTCCCTAATTCTATTTATAAGCTCCTTAGCTTTATTTTTATAAAATACCCTAAAAGCTTATAATAAAGCTCGGTTCTAAATTATAAATATATAATTAATATAGCCTATATTTATTTATATGGGCTACCTTAATTAACTAGTAAAATAAGGGCTACTAATTTCTTAAAATAGGTTTATAACTCTTATATATTTCCCTAAATTAATTTATAAGATTTATTTCTTTTATATATTAATTATAATTATTAATAAAGCTAGAAATCTAAAGCTTTTTCATTAGTATTATACTAAAAACCTCTTATATAATTTACCTATTTAAAACTATTTTTACAGAATGCCTTTATTTCTTTATCTAAAAGTTATTTATTTTATTTATAATATAAATATTATTTAAGACTAAAATAATACTATTATTTTACTAAGATAAATAAGGTATTTTATTTTACTTTTATAAGAAACCGATTTTTATTTACTAATAATTCTAGTAAAAATAGCTTATATAGGAAAATAGTATTTACTATATTAAATTAATAGGCTTATAGCTCTAAGAATAAGAATATAAAAATAAAGTAATTATTAAGGTATATTATAAGGAAGTAATATAGGAGAGAAAGTACTAGATTTTATATAAGAGAACTAGTATTTATAAGAATTAGATAAAGAATTATTTTTTAGAACTCTTTCTCTTATAAACTCTAAATCCAATTATATATATATATTTATAATTCGTAAATTTATAGATCTTATATTCTTATTTAATTAGTTTCTTAGATATTTTATATATATATAAGAATCTAAAATAATTAATAGAATAAAAGAAAAAAAAAGATTTATTAAAAGATTTATTAAAATATTATATTATAAGATTATTAATACTAATATTTAATGAAAAAAAAGTAAGGAATCTAAGCTTAAATTACTAAATCTTATTATTTAGTAAATAATATCTATTTTATTTATTATTTTTAAAATATAAAATATAATAATACTATTTAATTTACTTAAAATAGTAAAGTAATATATAGTTTATAATTAAATATAAAGAATCTTTATTAAAGTCTAAATTCTAGTATATTTTAACTTAAAGCTTATTATAGACTTTTATATATATAATAGCCCTAAAAATATATATATAATTTCTCTATAAATAAATCTATTTATTCTTATATCCTTTTCTTTATTCTATATATTCTCTATATATTTATATATTAATTAGTATTTATAATAATTATTTAGAAGAGCTTGCGGGTAAAGAATAAGCTAGAATAATTAAATAGATATGGCTTTTATAGAAAATCAGGAAGTAAAATTATTCTTGGAAACTATTTAGGTTCGGGTAAGAAGGGCTTATAGGAAACGTCTGGAATTAGTTCAAGTTTATAGAATATATTTGCAAGTAATTAGATATTTTTTAGCCCTTTGGGCTCTAGTAATAGACTGAAAGAATAGTCTATTACTAGCTAGCTGCATGAGTAAATACGTACTAGAGAGGCACTATTAGATGCGATTTTATCTATACGATATAGATTACTAATAAATTTGTATATAAAGGTATATAATATTATACGAGATAAGCCGTACGGGACCTCCTATTTAGTCCCGGGACACACCCCTACTAGTACGGACCATGTCTCACCGGACGAAGGGATAGTTGCTCTGCCAGTAGTGCTAACACCCCTGAAGATCTTCCACAACCTTGCGAATGTCTCACAGCGTGCTTTCGGGGCGTATAGCCTAGAGTTACAGGGTTTTATAGCGGGCTCAGCCCCTACTATTGTACGCTATAGTGGGTTTAGAGTCCCAACGCGCTGTATTCCCGATACTTTATGCCGTGATCTCCGTATGGCCTGGAGCTCCACCCTGCATGAATATATGGCCTGGGTGTAACCGCATCCAACCGTGGATTACAGGAGCTGTATGTGCCTTGTAAAAGTCTCCATTGATAGGTCCCCAATCCTTTTCCCAAAAGATCCCAGGGCCTTTGCCAGCTTTGCCAGAAAAACAACCCCAAAACATCCACCTCTTCTTTTTCCTTTCTCGTTCCACAATACAGGTTGGATCTAAGGCTTTCGACTCTTTCCTTGTTACCCAGTTTTTCCTGTGCCTTCCTGGGTAACTCACGTTTCGTCAGGCCAGAGAATAGCGTCTCATTGTTCGTCAGTCCAGTTGACGTGTTCTAAAGCAAACTCAAGGCGTAACTGTCGATTCTTTTCGGAGATCGGTGGCTTCCGTAAAGCAACGTATCTCTTATATCCTACACGCCGTAGAGCTGACCGGGCTGCAGTTACTCCAATCTCTTCAAAGCTGAGATCAATAGCAAGACTCTAGAGCGGTAACCGTCGCGTAGTCTTCGATTGAGAGATATATTCAACTAATTTGACCGATCTGAGCAGTCGTAATAACAGGAGGCCTTCCAGATCGTTTGCGCGGGGTAGCTTGGGACATACAGGCGTAATAGATCTGTCGATATGTGACCATTTGTCCCTTATTCTTAAAGAATTTGACAATATCAGTATATTTCCAATTAATCGATTTCAGCGGACGAGCCCCGATGCTCTGGTCTCTTGTAAACTCTTTCACAGCTCCGGTTTGAACTGGAGGAGTTGATGGTCTTTCCATTTGGTTCAGGCAAGCAAAATCAATAGTAATACAGAGGATAGAAGCTGAGGTTATTCAAGAAAAAGTACAGACTGGTTTGAGAGAGCTAACAGCGGCGATATACATGGGGCCGGGCTCCACCCTAGCCCCTTTACACGACTTTCGCATGCAACCTTCGTAGTGGAGGGTTTTCCGGGAGCATTTTCTCGGGAGTATTTTTGGCCCCATGATTAATTCCCTATTACTTCATCTATGATCCTTGTGACGCTAAACACCCTTAATAAGCTGATAGTATAACTTAGAAGGAAAGCGGGTATTTTTCTTTCGGCCCCGGTGTGGAGTATCAAGGTAGGTTGTGGCCAAGGATATGTTACTGAAGATGCATGTACGTGAGAGGCACATGAAAGGCACTCTCGAGAAAGAGATTTTAGCATTGCATCTTGGCGGTTCGGCTGCTCGAGTCTCCTTCGTAATGATTGTATATATAAGGTCAAGATTCTTTACAATTTTGGACTTACAAGCTTGGCTTCTCCTACTGTCATTGGATTCACTTCTTCATCTGCTCTCGGAACCTCTATCCTGGTCAATATGCAATTACTTCTGAGCATAGTCACGATGCTTGGCGCCGCCAATATTGGCATCGCTGTTGCTGTCGTCCGAATAGACTGTAGTTTCGCATGGGCGGCAGAGAATGGAGATACGTGCCTGTCGAGTATGTATACACGCCTCCTTGCTCGTTCCAAGGACCCAGAGATTCATGGGACATATGACACTTGGCAAAACCCCCCGAGATCCTCCTAAATTCTTAGATCTGGCATATCGCTAAATTTGTTATAGTGGCAACATCCTGGGGTATTGCCCAAGCTCAGTTCATCAGCTACAACCCGGGAGTGGTCTGCTCCGCGCTCATCTCTGGCAGGGGGTACTGCGTTGAGTGGACAGGCGTTGCCCCCGTCACGACATCGTCTGCGAAGCCAATCACCACCTCGGGTACCACGACAAAATCAACGACTTCTTCGGTGATTTCCTCAACAACGACATCAGCTGTACCCTCAGGCCCTTCGCCGACTCAAGGCGGGGTCGTCAGTGACTGTGAGTGATATCGTATCATCTATTTTTTTTTTTTTTTGGAAGATCGCTTACAACATGCAGGTAAAAAGTTCCATCTTGCCGCTTCTGGTGATACCACTGGAGGTGTAGTTTCAAAGTACGGGGGGTTCACGCTTACTCAGTTCTATGCGTGGAACCCGGCACTTAGCAATGGCAAGAATTCCTCTGCACACATGCTCATATCCTTATATCTTCCACTCACTCACATTCCCAACAGTTTGTTCTGGGCTCTGGTTAGGCTAGTAAGTTCCGAATCACTTATGAACAGTTTATCCGCAAGATTGCTCCTGAGAGACGTGGAATCAGCCTTTACTGGCTCCCCGATTTTGAAGTTATTACTGCGTAGAAGAATCCACTGGCCAACCGCCCACCCCAAAAAAATCGATTTTTAATCATACCTTTATTATAATTACAAATCCTATTACACGTTAATACTCCATAGTATTCTCGATATCCTGATAACTATATATTCATTTTTACCTCGTAATGCGGCTAGAATTGCCTGTAGGTAGAAAAGTCCACTTCCAATTACCCAACCCCCGCAACTGCTTACCCCTTTTCATTACAATAACGGCATAAAACCGAAAATTTGAGTAGATATTTGTAATCAGCGACCTTGATATAGTAATTCAGGAAGTTCTTAGAATTTTCCTAGTACTTTAAAAAGATCACAAAATTTTGGTATTCTACCTCTTGCAAGGCTCAAGTGAGGGATTTAATAGCGGGGCAAGAATAACAAAATCACTACCTTATAAGCGATTCTAGCCGCATTACTAGTTTAAAATAAATATATAGCTGTCAGGATATCGAGAATACTATAAAGTAATAATATGTAATAGGATTTGTAATTATAATGAAGGTATAATTAAAAATCGAATGTTTTAGGGTGGGCGGTTGGGGGGTATGGGCGGTTGGCCAGCGGATTCTTCTAGTAGTCACGGGAACCCCAACAATACAGCGCCCGCGACTACCACAACAACAGCTCCTTCTGGGCCTTCTCCAACTCAAGATAGAATTGTCGCAGACTGTAAGTTCTCTCTCTACCCAATCTTATGTAACCGAGCCTGGTTCGGAGCGGAGGTCGTATCACCAGAAGCGGTAGAGTGCCTAAAGCCTGACTCACTGACTTCAGCCACATGCCCACTAGAACTAGACGAGCAAAAGAGCGCTGCTTTGAGAATTAGGCAACCCTCGTCAACTTAGATGTCCAAATCTTGTGAAAGGCTTTCTGCCTCGCAACCACAATCTCCAAATAACTTCCGACCAACAAACAGGCTTTCGCATCTTCCACCCAAGATGGATTGTAAGCTGAAATCAATTCACCTTTCGCTCCCTGCTTCGGCAACAGAGTGCCGGTCCGATGAGCTCCACGCATCTCCCATTCCCGCACAGGTCGGCCCACGGAAGTTCTATCTGGACGAAGTCAAGAAAGGAAACCTCATAGTCCCACCGCCGCTGATCTCGTGCTCTGAATTCGTGCCAAGAAAGCTTGTAGAGCTCCTCATGCGAAAGAAGAAGGACAGCGCACTCGGCATCAAATTCGTCGCGAATCGGAACGACGAGATCACAGACATGGAAGGTGCAATGCACACATTCGTTACGCCTGTAATTGGTAGATGCGAAATGGTCGGGGATTACAGATTCAACAGGGGCCATGGCGTTACCGTGTTTGGTGATGTTGACAGCAAGGATGGGAAAAGTAACGTCAGGTTGACCAGATCGGTTGTTTTGAGTGCGAGCATTCAGATGGATTTTGAGGGCCATAGGGTCTTGCTGAGGGTCTGCAGGCTAGATGGTAAAAGGGTTGTTGGCGTCGATAGGGGCTCGGACGATTGGCCGATCATCAGTAGGGAAGATAAGCAGAACGATGGTTTGAGGAACACGTATGATGAGTTCTTGAGGAATTACATGGTATTTCATTTGATGAGTGAGAAGTCACTCCCAGGGAGGAAAGAAGTGAAAGAATACATGGACACTGAAGCCACTGTTGGGTTTTTGGATAGCGTCATCCTGGGATCTGGAGATGCAAAGGAGGAGATGGTTGACAAGTTCAGTGAGCTCTACAACCACGACATCGTGTCTCTTGAACTACTGTTCAATGTGGCTTTACACCAAGTACGAAACGAATTCTCTGCGCTTGAAGCTTTATGTCCTCAAGGCTACGTCTATACCTACGATCCGGCTTCAATATTTGCGAGTCAGATCGGAGCTGAGATCCTGAACCGGCTAATGCTTGCTGCGGTGAAGTACTTGTCGGGAAAGAACCAGTTCCAGAATATGAGGATAGTCGGACTCAACGATTATGCCGATCGTGGCATCATCCGCCTGGCTAAAGTAGCCCTGGAAAAGCAGACGAAGGTTCGAGTCGTCAGCAAGACAGCACTTTTTAGCAGAGTTGATGGAAAGTACGACACTGGAGATTTTCCTGAAGCCCAAGGGTCCGCATTGGTAATCCACAATAATAGTGATGGGTTTGGACAGAACATCGAAACCGAAGGCCCCTTTGGGAGTCTTGATGGCGCCATTGGGTCCAAATGCAGTGCAGCAGGAAGTTTGGAGAGAAATCGCCCCGATTTGTTGGACTTTGTATTCTAGAGTGAGAAAGTCTTTTCGAATCATTGTCTCAGCGTCAAGCATATACAAGCAGCTACTAAGTTGTCCCCAGAAGAAGTTCGCATTAGTATAAAGAGACGACGTATAATTCCCTAATAAACATATGAGCGTGGAAAGCCTTAGGATTTCTTGGCTTTCTTGACAGACTCTGATTTCTTGATCTCCTGCAGCTCTGATAAGGTTACATCGTAGTCCAGTTGCATGATCTTGAGAGCTCCGGCGGAAACCTCTAGCTCTTTCTCAAGATCCATGACCTGTGCTTGAGAAGTTCGGAGCTTTGTTGCGAGCTGTGTGTCAGCCAACTTGGAGTCTTTTTGCGCTCCATTGTTATTCTTTCGTTCGTTGCACCGCCTTGAATTGTTCCTCTCGAATGTTCAATTGATCTTCTCGTTCTCGAAGAAGTCTTTGCTCGGCTTTTAGTTTCCTCTGCAACTCTCCCTTGTCCTGATCCTGTGTCCTGTTGGGCATGAACTCGTACTGCCTTTTCCAATGCTTGGATTCGCACATCCTTGACTCGCATTTCGGTTTGAAGCTCGTCCATCTCTTTTCTCTCCGCTGTTTCTCGTTTGACACCCTCCGCACGGAATTTCTCTATCTCAGCATCCTTCTTCATCATTTCTCCGGAAATCTCTCGATCTCTCCGGAGCAAACTTCTGATTGCTGAAGTCATCTTCTCGATTCTGACCGAGATATTCGACTTAACAGTTCTCTGTGGGAGATCGAGCATAGGAAATGCATTGTTCGTGGCCCAAATATTCCACTCATCCGCAGCTTGCTGAAGAGTCTCTATCTTCTTGGAGCACTGACTGTGCCCTCCCAGGAGGAACATGGGATTTTGGGGTGGTACAGGAAGTTTGTGCCGAAAGAAGTCGAGGGTGTCTTTCTTTGATATGAAAGTGGGCTTTCGAAATCCATTTATAATGGGGTCCATCTGTAACTCTCCGGCTGGTACGCGGGTGTGCCACCCAAGAGATGGGGTTCGATGAAGCGAACGTTTCGATGAAGTCATGTATAAGCTCGTAGAGATCTCCGAGCGCGAAAATGTCGGTGTGAACGGAGCAACTCTGCTGCCGATAATAAAGAGGGTGGTTGAGAGTGATGACCAAACCGCCTTCCTGTCCAGCTCCGGCGCCATTGCTTACGCCAATTTCATTAAAGCTTATTGCCTTTCGATCTTTTGGTCCTTACCGAGATCGACTCATTCCAGGCAAGGTGGCGAGAAGAATGTGAGATGGGCTTTCACGAAATCGGACCATTTGCCAAAGACCCCGAAGTAATCAACATGTTGCGCAAGATTGACAGTAGACTCCAAAAGCGTTTCCGTCCTCTGTCAAAACTGAAGCTGGGGCAACAATATCCAGCAATAGTGCTATTATTCTGCATATGAGAATCGAGGAATTCTTGCAAGAAGGTCATGTCGCTATTGTTTAGAATCCAAAAGCAGCGTTTGGCATATTCGATACACTTATGGGTACGAAGGATGGTCCACGCCTCCATTTCAACTCTGCGGAAGTCCGAATTCTCAACAAGATGTATGGCAACAGCTTGGGTGATCTATGTCAACCTGAGATCAAAACTACGAACCCGCGAAGGCGCCAACCAAATCTGCCCAAAAACTTCTGAATCTCGAACTCTGCACCACATATTGGTACGAACATATGGTGGATGCTTCTCACGCAATTCTGTTGGAGGCTCAATATACTGTTGAGTAGGTCAAGGCACAGCTAGAACCACACTGAAATGTGTTCATAATATTTTCCATTTCCGTCTCTGGACCCGAGCAGCTGCTGCTTCAGCCTGAGCTATGAGTGAGCAAGCTTAAGCCGAGGGTGAGCATTCCTGAGCAAGGCCTAAGCACACGGCAGAGTCAGCTTGAGCATATGAGGAAAGCTATTTGAGTACCCCAGGGCTCCTTTTGGCTCCCTTAAAGCCCGGCTACACCTCCCTCGTCTTACACCCTGGCGCGGGTCCACCCCGGCTCCGATAAGGATTCCTGCCGAACCATTTTTAGATGTATATTCGCTTGTATATACGTGATACTGTCAGTTGTAAAAATCAGCGTTTTTCGCACTAAAATCGTGTTGCGTATCGATTCTTGATTTATGTGTTGGCAGGATCGAGGCAATGGCCAAGGCTCAAAGATCTAAGAATCTCATGTATTGAAAATACTAAGCTAAAGAGAAGAAGGAGAGAGAGGGGGAAGAAGGAGGGGATAAAGGGAGGAAAGCACTAGCTAAAACCACTGAAACGCCGGCTAGCTAGGTAGAACTAGTCATGTGACAGCCACCCCCCTTTGGCCCCAGCCAGCGCCGTCACAAACTAGCTTAATAATAAAGCTAGGGTCACGTGCTTGCAATGTAAACCAAGTAAAACGTACTGAATTGACTGCTGTTCTACAGTAGTAAGTAGCCTGTATATATAGCCCTGAACCCCCTAAGTCACATGCACTAAACCCCTAAACCAGAGAGCCTTATACTGAACCATTCAACCTCAGCTGAACCGATTTAGCCTCACAGGGCATAATCTACTCAGTAATAAGCCTATGGCTTAAGCCCCATTAGTGCACAGCCCCTAATTTCAACAAGGAGTAGTTAGTTAGTAGGTCACGTGTACGAGGGGCGGTCCTAGCTCACGTGACTTGAGACATAACGGCGCGGTTCTCCTGCGGGCGAGAGGGAACAATCTTCTTTATATACATACAATTGAGCTCTTTTATTTACCTCTTAATCCTTTGATTTGTACGTATTACTTTTGCTATTCTCTGGTCATGTGTTTTTAGCCCTTGCTTTCCTGGTTTCTGTGTGGGTTTCCAGCTTGCGGTGTTTCCCTCCCACATTATATCTTTGTAACTTTTAAAGGTATTATTAAAAATTACTTAGACTTGTTTTTTTGTTTTTTTATATTTTACAAAAACTCCCCCCTTAAAATTGCTGCAAGACTTACGCCGCAAATGGAGGGGTTAGGCGATGATAGTAACGGCTTCTGATAGGACAGGCCCCGCTACTGCTGTATTCAAGCTAGGCTCTGCAGCCGGTTCGACCTTACTCTTGAACCCCTTCTCAAGGCGATCTTTCACGCATTTCCAGCATACATCGCGCTGTACAACAAATACTCTATGCCCTTGCGCAAGCCCCAATACCGCCCCAGCAAGTCTCGCCTGCCAGTTACCCAATGCCTTGAAAATGCTCCCAGAATCTGGGCGGTCCAAAAACTCGCTCCAATTCTCTAGACTTATGAGCTGCCGGCCCGGTAGATCGGTGTGCCGCCATTCCCAGTGGTCGTTGGTACAGCTTGGTTTTCGGGCGAGGTCATGTTCTAGCCGCCTGTTCGCCAGGGAGCCTAGCACGTCGAGATCTGCTACCCACTGGCCGGCCTCGTGGACCGATACTACGGTCTCTAAGATATAGACCTCTCTATCACAATTTCCTGTGAAGCCAATGTCCAGCGGCATACTCGCTCCTGTGAAGGATAGGTGCAAGGAAGTGTTGGCAAAGCAATCCTCAAAATTCCCGTCGAAATTGTTTTGATTTATGAGGTCCCAAGTTTCGATGCCCAGCTTCTTGACTTTCGGTGATCGGGGCGGAACAAGTAGTGCTATACCCGCCCTCCCTACGTTGCCCATGATTCTCTGAACGGCGTTGACGGTTCCTGTTTCAATGGGATCGCAGAGGAGCGGAGACGCGACGAAAATCGAATCTCCTGTTGAAACAGCTAATACTGTATTGAGCTTTTCAGGTTCAATGCTATACTGTGATGACTCTAGCTTTATTATGCAGGAAAAGCATTGCTGACGAGTGAGAGGATACGAACGGAGGGTTTCATCCAAGGGTGAGGCTTGCTTGAGCAACAACCACTTTGGAGGTTCGGGGACCCAAATCTGCTCTCGAAAAGGCTCCTGCAAAATCCGAACGTCGATTGTTGCATGAGGGAGCGCCTTATAGACTCTCACTAGGGTGGAAATCACCTTCAAACAGTGTATGTAACCAGTTTCGACCCAGGAAAGTGCCTTCGCGAGTTCTCTCTTACTATTTGAACCGCCAGTTTTGTGTGTGAGGATTTTTGTGATATTTGATAGGCCGACACCTTCGCTCAATCTGTCGTGAGCTGCATTTATCTGGGCTGTAGCTTCTTCCTTGTAGCGTTCACGGACGGGGCCAGACTTGTATTCGCAGTCATAAACAATATAAATGGCGGCTTCGTGTGGATCCCCAAATAACAGTTTGTACAAGTGCTTGTCTGAGTGGAAATGTTGCCCTTTTTGAAACTTCTGCTGTTTCTTGTTACTCATACTATGGAACACTCTTTGCTCTATTTCTCCTGAGTCACGATGGGGCTGACGCCGATGAATCCTCTGGCCCCGATTTTCTTCATAGAGCACCTGGTCTTCCAAAGGTTGTACGAGTTCTCCGATGCTGGTGTAGGTTTCTGTCAGGCTCTTGGTACGGACCTGCGAATTTTTGATGGTTTCGCGAGATTTGTTGAGGTGTGAAGAGTCACTGCCAGTATGGATCCAACGAAAGTGTTGTTGCATCTGAGAGCTATTGGAAGTGGATATCTTTGCAGTAGCGTACTCGAATTGAGAGGAACAGCATTCCCAATTTTCTACACGGTATCTGATAAACAGATTCTCCGCTTCAACTGGAAGTTGGTTTGCAATGACTCGGAGAGCTTTGATGGTCGCTTCCTGACCTGTGTGAAGGCCAAACCAAGCGCCGGTAGACGCAAAAGCGAATGCCGGGAACAGGGTCTTTCCCAGGATAATTTCTGAGTACTTCCTGCCAAGCATATGTAGCTGGGCGTATCTCCCACTCTGAGTGGGATCACAGGCGAGGAAATCAGAAGCCGCAGTGCCTAATATGTCTAGCCAGCAGTCCTCCGGCATTTGAGTACCGTGTGAAGAGTCGAGCAGCACCGCGGTTTTGAGGGCTTTAAGGAACTTGGCGGAAGCTTCATTGTCTTTGCCTTGACGTCCCCAACTCTCGAACAAAGCCCCAAGGATTGCCTGAAGAAATTCCGCGAGCGTTAACCTTGAACCGTTCTTGGTGACAGATCGTGTACGCACGATAGGATCACCATAGTATCGGAGGTGGGCGAGAGGCAACGACCAGTGAACACCGTCTTCCTGTCCAGTCCTATCGCTCTGGAGACCCAATGTTAGGAGGCCGGCTGGGTGCACTAACGGGTCGTTTAGCTTGACTGGTGTTGTCAAAGTCCCAAGAACGAGAATGTTCGGATATAAATGCCAGGCAGACAACCCCAGAAATATCTCCCCTGTCTGTGCTTGCTGCGGCATTCCGCAAATGAGACAGTCAACTGCCTGCATTGCAGACTTCCATGCTGCTAAAACACTTTCCCACACTTTTGACTTTGAGTTCACGGAAACATTAACGTTGCTTAGAATAAGCTCGAGTTGCTTTTGTCTTCGAGCCTCGACATCATCCGCTGCGCGAAGCCATGCTCGTGCACTCGCATCCCAGTTTGCCAGTTGATCTCGCGTCAGTTCTTGCTGGGATGTCATGTAGGCGGAGATGTTGGCGCTGCCTCCTGAGTCGAAAGTTGAAGCGATGTCCTTTTTTCTTTCCTCTACAATTTCCACCCATATTGATGTCGCTTCCGCCGCTTCCCATATCCTTGCGAGCATGCAAGCTAGCAGATGAACTCTGATAGTCCCTTGCCCGGAGGTAGCAGCTGCCCATATGCTGGTCCCATCGACACCGCCATGGTTTGCAAAGACACCTAAGGATGGCTGGACTGCCTTCTTAATCTTCGACTTCTGGATAATTTCTGTAGCACGCAAGCCATACGCTTTGGCGAGAGCCGTCGTCGATGGAAGGAGCGGTTCGAACAACGCCCCAAGCTTCCGTGCTGTCACATGTGTTGGGCCGTTTTCCGCCTCGTGACGTCGGATGGGAGAGAGGGAGGAACCGATGCCTTTGAACTCTGATTGGGGCTCCACTTTGAACAAAGCGAAGTCAAAGTTGAGATTTGCGAGAGCGATTGTGGTGTCGATCGTAGCGCTGGCTGGAGTTGCAACGAGTCTTCCGAATGAGGCCATATTGTAAATCAGATTTGTCTTTGCAGTCGAATGTGGTTCAACTTGGACTTGTCAAACTCGGAATTGCAGCAGCGAATTCGTGGAATACGATGAGCTTCAGGGACATTGCATCCTTTCACCAGAATCGATCGCAGAGCTGCGTTTGCTCTGGATTATAGACAAATTGGGGTGGTCGGGCTTCAGGTCGGGCAGAGGCTATGCTGTATGGTGGCTGCAGTGCACAGCCGCCGCCTTTGGCCACTAAAAACATGGGTACCGATTAGCCCTCCTCACAAGTCTGCCAAGTGACGAGCCATGTGCTGGGCTCGCCTGGCAACCTCCGATTGGGCCTCAAGCCTTAGCGGTTTTGGTGGTTGGTTTTCACGATGATTAAACAGAGTTTGCGAATTCACGAATTGCCCATCTTACCATTGTCCTGTTTATGTACTGTTGGATTTGGCTATTGTTAGTAATGCGGCAGTTTCTAAACACGCACAGCGATATCAATAATGGAGTCAGGAAGAGAATGACGCTACACGTCAACCCTTAATGAATTTCGACGATTCTCCGCTTTCCCCAGCGGGTTCCGCGTTAAAATCTAGGGCGTCACCCTCCCTATCCCGCTGAGCGTTAATATAATCTTCTAGCCAAGTGTCTATAGATTTACCAAATCATTTAAGTCTAGTAATAGGTCGCTTACTTTCCTTTACGTCTATTGCAAGTCGCGCTGAGAGGATTTATTTTTAAAATATAAGAAGGAAAGCATCTTTATAAGATTATAATTTTCATGAATCTATTAGTATATTAGAGGTAGTAATATATTTGTGACCCCTAGCTAGAGGAGGGGGCCCTTTTCAGGCCCCTCGTTAAAAGTTAATAATTTCTAGTAAGGTAGGGCAGGGTTATTCTTAGCTACACCGCGTCGCGTTATAGGGGTGAGCAGACCTTTGCAGACCTGAGCCGACCTGAGCCGAGCCTGAGCAAAGGCGGCGCTGCTTACGTGAGACATAAGATTGGGAAGAGCTGTTGAAATTAGGGGCTGTGCACTAATGGGGCTTAAGCCATAGGCTTATTACTGAGTAGATTATGCCCTGTGAGGCTAAATCGGTTCAGCTGAGGTTGAATGGTTCAGTATAAGGCTCTCTGGTTTAGGGGTTTAGTACATGTGACTTAGGGGGTTCAGGGCTATATATACAGGCTACTTACTACTGTAGAATAGTAGTTAATTCAGTACGTTTTACTTGGTTTACATTGCAAGCACGTGACCCTAGCTTTATTATTTAGCTAGTTTAATAGGTTATGAGTACCGGAAGCTACCTCTATACCCTATATCTATATACTATAAATCACTGAATCGGCTCACTTGTACCTACTGGAAATATCCTTTAGAGAATACTATGGAAAACGACTTTAGTATGGAAAAGCCCCGGATTGCCAGGCTTATAGGGCCCAATTATAGGCCCTGGAGTATTCAGGTATATAGGCTTTTGATTAGTCAAAGCCTATGGAACGTGGTTAGCCTAGGGGTAGAAACTGCTACTATAGAACCAGGTTCTATAGGGGGTTTAGCGGCTTAAAGCTCTGGAGATAGGAACGATTCTAAGGCCTTAGGGCCTTCTAGTAATTATACGGAGGTAAAGGATACTAAGGCGGGTACTATAATTATGAGTTTATATACTCAGGGAGCCTTATAGTATATATTACTTCTTGGAATAGCCAGAGAGTAATAAGAGGTACTAAAAGCTTTATATTTCTCCCTGGGCATATAATAGCTTAGTACTAAAATTCAGGCTTTTACTAGCTATAAGCTACCGGAACGGGATACTACTATTATTATAGTAGCTATGGAATTAAATACTTTATAGTATGAAATCGAAATTATTAATCCTATAGAAAAGCCTTTTAAAACCCTTAAAATATTAATTCTTTTTAAGGCTATTAGGGTACTAGATAAGCGCTTTGCTTTTTTAATATTATAGCTAGAGATTAGTAATACTATTACTAATTATAGTATAATAGTAGCTTGCTTTAGTAAATATAAACGGAGAATAGAATTAAAAGAAGCCCTAAAGAAATGTGTTTTACTAGTTAAAACAGAGAAAAAGAGCCCTAAATTTCAGGAAAAGTATATTAACTATAATAAATAAGGCTATAGAAAATCTAATTATAAGAATAAGAAAATAGAAAAGCAAGAAAATCAAGAAAAGAGTCCTAATATAGGGCCTTTAATAACTTCTAAAAAAGATAAAGAACTTTCTTTAAGGCCTAGAAAATTAACTAAGAAGCCTATAACAAATACTAGTAGTACTAAAACTAGTTAGATAGCCCTGGAAAAGCCTATCTATAGCAGAAACGACCTGTTATAAATAATTAATTCTAGAAGCTTTTATTATATAATTTATTTATAAGAGGCTTTTACTAAGTATAAGATACTAGATATTTTTATATTAGTAATTATAGTAAATAGGGCCCGTATTCCGGCTATTATAAAAGGTATTATACTTTTATAAATAGCTCTAGGAGCCTCTATATAAATTATAAAGCTTATTAGAATACTTTATATATCTAAGTTTACTAGAAGCTTAATTTTGGTACTATAGCTTTAGAATAAGGATATTACTATATATATTACTACTAGTTCTATTAAAAAGAAGCTTTTAATTGAGTTTTAGGAAATAATAATAGAAGTTACTAGCCGTTTAAGAAAAGTATATATCCTAAATAATATTTTATAAGATACTAGTTTAGGATATAGTTCCCTAAAAGCAACTATTATACCGGAAAATTAAGCTAGCCTCTAGTATTACCGGTTTGGCTATTTAAGCTTTATAAGCTTAAAGATAAAATATACTATTTCTATAGGGCTTAAAGAGCCTATTAGGGCTTTTTAGAAGCCCTATAAGCCTTATATTAAGGCTAAAATAATACGGGTAGTAAATTAAAAGGCTTTTAAAAGGGCTATAGCTTTACTAGAATAGATCTATAGTAATTTTTGGGGCCTTTATAATATATTTATATTAAAAGGAAATACTTATATATTTATATTTATAAATAACTATATTTATAAATTATAGATATATTTTACTAAAATTAGAAAATAATTAAAACTATATTTTTATAATTTAAAACCCTAATAAAACTAGAATTAGAATATAAAATCAAGGCTATATATTATAATAATACTTTAGAATATAAGTTTTTAGGGGCTTTATTACTAGATAATTATAGTATATAGTTTAAATATACTATTATCTATATTTCTAAATAAAATAGGATTTTTAAATACCTGAACTAGAGTTTAATATTAGTAGCTAGGGTTATATTATTAGATATTAAGCTTTTTATATAGTTCTAGAAAGAAGCCGTAATTATAATCTATTATTTACGGAATTAAATACTAATAAGCCCTAATAAAAATATTTCCAAAAAGGCCTATAATAGGAAATATTCTAATATTAGATATCTTAGAATATATAAATATATAATATATATATATATATTCCTAAAGAAAATTACTTGAAAATAAATAATATAGCTATTAAGGCCTGTTTTATAGGCTATATATTTATATTAAGGTAATATAAATTATATAAGCCTAAATAAAAGAAAGTTATAGTATTTATAATATCTGTTTTTTATAAAAACAAGTAATTAGAATAGAACTAGAATAAAGAGCTTATTAGAGAAGAAATAATCCCGTTTAACCTAATAGAAGCTATAATAAAATAGCCTATAATACCTAAAGCTTTTATAATTATAGGACTTTTAGGGAATATATATAATTTTCTAATTCCTATTTCTCTATTATCTGATTTCTGGTAAAGTATTTCAGGGAACTATAGAAATACTATAATAATAAATATAAGAGCTTTAAATTCCGATTTAGGAAATACTAATTCCTCTAATTAGAGAGAACTACTAATTATAGGATATTATATAAATATAGTAATTATAGAGTATTTAATTCCTAGAATCTATATTAAGGCTATAAATAATTCTATTTATAAAACCTATTAGAAGCAAGTAATTAATAAAGAATTTACTAAATTATAAGCCCTAAATACCTGAAAAGCTATTTTATTATTTTCTAGAAAGAAAGCTATAGGCTATAAATAGGTATTTATTATTAAATATATATTTATAGGCCTAATTAATAAATATAAAGCTCGGCTAATAGGCAAAGGCTTTAGCCAGATTTCAGAAAACGATTTCCTAAAAACTTTTAGTTCTATTATTAGAGCTAAAAGCCTAAGGATTTTACTAGTTTTAGGGGCTTATAAGAAGCTAGAAATATATTAAATTAATATAATTAATATTTATTTATATTTTAAGCTTTATATTAAAATATATATATAGGCTTTTTAAGTATTAAAGTATATTAAAGGCTTAGTATTTCTTTTATTTAATTCCCTATATAGGCTTAAGTAATTAGAGAGGAAGTAGTATATTAAAGCTTATATAGGGCTAAAAACCTTCGGTTTTAGCCTTTATTTTAGTAAATCGAGTATTTTTACTATTATAGATTATAGTATAATTATAGAACTTTATATAAATAATATACTAGTTCTAGGCTATAATTTATAAGCTATTTAAAAAATTATTAATAGAATAGCTTTCCTATAAGAAACTAAGAATTTAGGGAATATAGCTCTAATTTTAAATATTTGGATATATAGAAATTATATAAAACGCATTCTATACTTTAATTAGAATAAGTATATTATAGGCCTTATAAAGAGATTTAGGCTAGGGGAAGCTAAACCTATAAACCTTTTTATAAATAACCGGAATACCCTAATTACAGGCTAATTAAGAGAGGAACAGGCTAATTAGAGCCTGTATTAGAAGGTTATAGGCTATATTATATGGGTTTTAAAGGGCTCTTACCCTAATATTACTTATATAATTAGATAGCTTAGCTAGTACTATAATAAACCCACTATATAATATTAAAATATTATATTAAGGGTATTTTGCTATTTAAAGAATACTATAAATTATAATATCTTATATAATATCGGGAATACTAAAAGCCTTAAACTTTAGGGCTTTAGTAATACAGATTTTATAAGAGATATAATAGATAGATATTTTATTATAAGGTACTTATATTTATTTAATAGAAGACCTATTATATAGTTCTCTATTAAATAGTACTATATAGCTACTTCTACTATTTAATTAGAGTATATTAGTCTATTAGAGGCTAGTAAATAGGGCTAGTAAATTAGAGCTTTATTTAGAGAGCTTAAATATATCTAATATTTAGGTATTATTCTTTTAATTCCTATATTTAGTAATAGTTAGAGTTATATAGTACTAGCTAGAAACCCTATAGCTTATAGCTAAATCAAGTATATTAATATCTGCTACTATTATATTAGAGAGCTAGTAGCCTTTAATAAGATTACTATTAAGTATATTCCTACTAAGGAAATAGTAGCTAATATATTTATTAAGTCTCTATTACTTGCGGCCCTTAGGCGCTATATTAGGGGGCTATTTATACTATAATTATGGAATTACAGGCTATTTTTAGGCTGTTTTTGGGCTGTTTTTGATTTTTTGAGTATTAAGGCTCTGGGAGCTTTAATAAGTAAAGCAGTAATTTTTGGAATTATTTCCTTAGGGCTGTTTTTAGTAGTATATAAGGGGACTATTGAAATTAGGGGCTGTATACTAATAGGGCTTAAGCCATAGGCTTATTACTAAGTAGATTATATCCTATAAAGTTAATTTAGGGCATAATATATCCTATAAGGCTAAATCGGTTTAGCTGAGGTTGAATGGTTTAGTATAAGGCTCTCTGGTTTAGGGGTTTAGTATATGTGACTTAGGGGGTTCAGGGCTATATATACAGGCTACTTACTACTGTAGTGGGGATTTTACCCCTATTGGTCACGTGGTTCTGTCATGTGACCTCCGGACGTCCGCAGTCCGCAACCCGCTTATATATTACCCCTCTTTCCTTCTTAGTTTAGAAACAAACCAACAAACTAACCTTCACTCTCTAATTTCACGTCTCACTCACTTTCGTACGCTGTGATCCCACGCTGTGGAAGCCCATTCTACTCTATATATTACTCCGTGTTTTATATCCCCATTACACCACTATAGAACAGCAGTTAATTCAGTACGTTTTACTTGGTTTACATTGCAAGCACGTGACCCTAGCTTTATTATTTAGCTAGTTCAACAAGAGCAAACATTCCGGTAGGGGAACAGAATCAACCTCTGGACTGGTGTGAACGAGTCTCGAGAGATCTCCATCGCCTTCATCAGCTGTTGAGCGGTAAAGCATTAGCGAGTATTTTTGCCAACGCCTGTGTTGTGATTACTTACGTCCATGCCCATGACATACCCGTCAATCTCTGGACACAATTGAGATACTTCTGCGTATCTTGAAGGCGCGGTCCATATCTCCGCGAATTTGCCAGTGCGGTGAGCCCTGGAGAACTTTGGCGGAATCTTGGTCTGCATCGTAAGGTCTCTCTTCGCCATACTGGTTAGCTCGGGGTTCGTCTCTCGGGCGTGGTACGAGGAGAGGACGAAGTTGAACGTCCCTTCGAAGGTTGATCAAATTGCAAGATAGACTGACGTATTTGTTTTCTTAAATAAAGTAGAATGTCCTCGCTTATGTTAAATTTCTTTAGCAAGTCGGAAGTTTCAAGCAGTTAGCCAATTCACTGGCAGAGTCAAAGACGGCTCACCTTTAGAACACCATATCTCACATTAGAATTTTGACATGGCCATTTTCATGTCCTTCTTTGGCTAAAGACAATTGCTGCTGTAACATGAGCTTTGCCCCGAGCCTTTGAGAATGCAACTGAGGCAGCTCGAGCAGACTAGGGGCTTCCTCGCGAATCCGTTGTGGAAATATAATCTTGCTAATGCCTGCTCTCTGGAACAGGGCCATCTAACAGAGACTGTAACTGTATCTTGATGGTGTCCGTTCTCCCTTCCTTGATAAACTTATCAAAGGTCCCTTCCAGAGCCGAGCGGACAATTATTAATTAAATTTAAATATAAATCTTTAATAATTAAAGCAGGATTTGAGGCTATAATAATTAAGGCAGGCTTTAGGGCCCCAATAATTGGGGCAGGATTTTGAGCCCTAATAATTGGGGTAAGATTTAAAGCTCAAATAATTATGGGAGATTTAAGGCCCTAATAATTGGGGCAGGATTTTGGTGCGGTTCCTTATGCCGCTCCTTAGCCAGGGTGGTGCCCTTACGGGGCGGGGACGGTACGTAAGGAACCGGGCCTGTAAGGGGGTGAGCTGACTAACTCGTAACCCCGCATGCCTGTAGTGTCTTTCTGTCTGACAAGAGCAGAACGATCTGGGTTGATGCGCTGTGCATTAATGAGGAAAAAGAGTGAACAAGTCCAGCACATGTACGCGATCTATCGAGCTGCAACCCGAACGACATTAACCCCCCCTTTCTGTACAAAGACTCTAGATGCCTTTCCGGCTTAGAATACGTGTTAAGTAACTTGTTACTCCCATACGCCAGGAGTTTCGGATCCTTTCGAGACCGTATCTCAACTTTCAAGCTTTGCCAGAGGGAACATCGAAGAACACCATCCTCGATCCCTCTCCGCTCCTGTACTCCACATCTAGCTTATAATAGCCTTTGCGCTCAAACCGTATGATTGCCCCGCGCGAAAGATCCCTCACATTGCAATCAGCAAAAGCCCTCGTCCTGAATTCCGTATCTGGTTCCAAGAAATCCTCAAGCCTATCCTCCTTCTCGAGCTTGTCCTTCGTGAGGAGATAATTGAAGCCGACAAGGTCGACCGGGATCAGATTCGAGCTCACAGTTGCCAGCCAGCTAATCTTCTTCTTCGTCTTTTTGACGTCGCCCTCCAGATGCTGTTCGAATTCTATGGCAGTGACCTTGTGCTTTCCCGTCTCGTCTGGTTGCTCCGCTCGATATATGCGACGTGCATAGGCGTTCCCCCAATTCATTAGGGCAATCTCCTCATTCTCTGCCAGGCTTTGGGCATCAACTTGCTCGAGGAGGATTGTCTTGTCATATACCACTTTCTTTGTGCCAAGGTCAAGATTTTTGATGTATTTCGGCTTGGTGGCTACACTAGAGCTATCGATTCCAATAACATGGTGTCACGGCCTGGACAAGCTGTGGAAGTGGAATGTGTGGTGTTTGTGTAAATATATGTATGAATAATGGTGCCCTAAGGGCGGTGAAGAAGCTATGTATATGCCTGTGCGCAGTACGTGACATGCCCCCTCAAAAAGAAGAAAAGGAATATCCCTATTCCTAACCAATGCCATTTAAACGGGCCATTTGCCCTTTAATACAAACTGCGAAGGAGGAACGAACAGAGCTCGTTGTGAGAAGTGAGCTTGTCGGAAGGAGGGAGCTCGTTATAAGAGCAAGAGTGAGAGGAAGGGAGCTCTTTATAAGAGCAGGAGTAGAGGGTTGTTCTTTGTCTTTTTCGTCTTTGTTGGCGGAGGCAGAGGAGCTCGTAGTGAGAGTAGGAGCAGACGAGCTTATTATGAGAGTAGGAGCCGGTATCTCTTGCAAGCATATCTGCTGAACCACTTAAACGATCTATTATATTTGGGTATCTATAAGGATATCCTTTTGGTTAAGCCGCTAAAGGGATTTAAATCGTGAAATAAGAGAAGTGCAAATCTCAGAGATAGGAACGGACGAGAGGAGATAATATTCCAGGGGTATAAGCTCTATAAAGTACCAGAAAAGAGCAGTACTACGAAGGCAGAGGAGAAAAGCTATACGAATATCGTCTTACTAAGTCTCTGCCAAGTATAAGAGTATATATATAAATACGAAAACATCTATATAAATCACCGTCTTTCCGGTTATAGCCATACCTTCTGGATCAAAATATCTAATATAATTAGGGTTAGGGGCTATTCTGGAGGATAGCATATATATAGGTCGAGGACTTAATTAAGAGCTCGTAATAAGGTATTAATATGGAGGTCGAAATCTTAGGGTATTACTACCATATTATGGCCTGGACAAGCTATAGAAGTGAAATGTGTGGTATTTGTATAAATATATATATGAATAATAGTACCCTAAGGGCGGTAAAGAAGCTATATATATGCCTGTACGCAGCACGTGACACATAGCAAGAAACCGTATTGTCTTGGACGATAGCTGTGTGACGAGCAGCTTCCGGGTTAATGTATTTTTTATTGAGGGCCCATAAAGCACCCCACTCGAGGTTAAGGATATTGCGGCTTGGCTCTTGTCTGAGGATAAATTCGCGCAGAGCGGGGACCGTTATGCCTCTAGAAAATGGAAAGTTGAGTCAGTCGTACTTCCTAAGGAAAAAATCTAAATAATAGAGATAAATTCAGGGATGTATTGGGAGGAAGTTCGCCCGTCTCAAACTGCAGAACATGCCCGAAAAGGATAGTTTCCCAGAGGAATTGACTACTCACCGCCTCAAGATACCTCTAATCATTGGCATTCGAGGGTCGTCCCATCCCCATACCTTCCCATTATCCACAATTCTTGTCAGCTTTCTCTTCGAAAGGACAGTGCGAATGAAACTCAACCGCTAGATTATTAGGAGTTAGCAGATTCTATTGTATAAGATGTATAGAGTAAATAAATAGGGGAGGGGGAAGTTGATGATCATGTTCCGAGATTCCATAATCGGAGGGAAAACTGTCTCCAGAGTAGTAGACAGAAAACATCGGGGATGGGGATTCTTACCGAGAAATCCCAAATGGGTACTTTGCACAAGCCTAAAGCATCTTGCATCCATTCGTATTGAACATTGCGGTCACGGTATTCGTTTGTACGCAATGCAACAGTGATGTTTTTGATTGAGTCCAATATCGGGGCACAAAAGTCATACGTCGGGTATATGTTCCATTGTCTGCCTGTTCGGTGATGCCTTACACCGGAAGCTCGAAGTAAGTATCGTGGATGAGAAAAGACCGGGATTCGGCGATATCTCAGGGAGGAGGCATGTCTAGAAAAATATGCCACTTACGGAATGAGGTTGCACCTGTAGATAACCGGGTCCCTCAAAGTTCCATTAGGGCTGTCATACGCGATTCTTGCGCGAAGGCACCATCGCTGACCTTCTTCAGATCCGGTTTTCATGTCGGCAAAGCGTTCTAGAGTCTCTTCTATGCTAAGATTTCGCCGTTTGGAAGGAAGTCGGTTCTTTCGATCCTCATCTCCTCTACCCAATTCCGAATCATCCGCGAATGCTTTTCCGGCTTTGATTAGTTGGATGGCATACTCATACATTTTCTGAAAATAACTAGACAGAGCGCTAGTTCTGGGAGTTCTAAAGCTTATTTCTCTACTAATATTAGAACCTTAATAGGCTAGGGGCACAACTGCGTACGGGACACATCTGTATACAAAGCACATCTATATTTAAAGTATATTCTCTACTAATACTAGGAGCTTAGGAGGCTAGGGGCACGGCGTTCGGCGCCTTCGGCGCCTCACAGGAGCGTATACACACGTACATACACGTATACCTTAAGTGCAGGAAGCGTACGTATATCCTTGAGGATATACTTCCTAAGCGATTACAAGTAAGGGACAGAGGGACGTGCGTCTTGCCCACCTTTTGTACGTACGCTACCGGCTAAAAAATAGCCGAAAAAGAAAATCTTACTTTACGATAAAATTATATAAATTAGCTTACTATACGCAAGGGAAGGGGGCTAGAGGGGGATCCAATTCTCAATTGCATAAGCACCCGTTCTAGGGTTTACCTCCCAGAGAGGGTGCTTATGCATTCTAATCAGAGTTGGCCTCCTGTCATTTCCCCTTTGGGCGTACACCCATGTTTTAGGAATACTACGCGAGCAAAACAGGGATGTTGCAGGGATTGGCAGGGGCACACTGTTTTTGTATCTATTTGCTAGAGTACGATGTCTTCTCAGGGATGACTGCCAGTGTGTCAAATGAATAGATTAGATTAGAATACTGGCTAGTAATCTAATCTATTCATCAAAAATACCCACTAATTATATTCTAATCAGATTCTAATTAAGGTAATCATGAATATTCATGAATACTTTGATTACTGTACACGTGACTGTCGCACGTGATATACTAACCTAATTAGGTATGGCTCCCGATCTAGCATCGTCTTTGCAAGCCTTTCGCCTACTAATTAGGCAGCGAGGTGGCGCTAAGGCGACACTAGAGCGGGGCCTCTACTTAATTAAGCTAGCGTATCGCGTGCTATAGTCACGTGTAGAGTAATCATAGTCTTCATGAGTATTCACGATTATATATTCTAATCTAATCAAATTATTTAAGAATTGCGGTAATTATATTCTATTCAAGCTAATCATGAATATTCATGAATATTCGGAATACCTTGATTACTTTTTTGACACACTGATGACTGCCATCATCTTTAGATCTTCCAAAATGGCGTCCTGGAATTCCATTGATTCTTTGGACGGGTTTGTGTCATCAAATCGACAAATCAAAGTTGTCGTTCAAGAGGGCTGCTTTCGCATGACCAATGTGTAAATAGCCAGACGGTTCGGGCGGGAATCGAGTCACCATAGGACCGTCTACCTGGGGTAAATCGATCTCGTAACTTGCCCCCATAGCACTAGCCGCGGCCCGTTCCTTAGATCCAAAATTTGTAAGTTCCGCGATTGCCTCCAACAGCCACGGGTTTGAATCTTCGATGTATGTGTACCATCGATGGACATTTTCCTGGATTGGGTTTTGCTTGATCAAGGAGTGGCTGATCCGATTGCCTCGGATTGTTGCCCACACGGCCAGATCTGCAACAGTCAGGTGGTAACCCACGATAAAGCTACGCAAAGTGAGGTGTTTGTTCAGTTCGTAGAGGGACTTGCGCAAAGTCTTGAAGTCCGTCGTAAAGAAGCTTTCACTTTTATCGACCCATTCTTGAATCTAGTCTCGAATGTTTAGCAAATCTTCTGGGACCACGTGACGGGACACGAACAGACGATGCACGCTGGGGGCTGGTGTTGCTGTCACTTCTGCTGGCTAGTTCAGCAAGATAGCGGACAATTGCCTTTCCAGACCAAGTCTTGCCATCGCCTAATGTCATTTGGATCGCCTCTTTGCTGGGGAGAGTAGCCCCATCGTGAAAGCTTTTAGAGACAGTTGGGAGGGAGGTTTGCTCCTGCTGGAGGTGGAGTGCTATCAACAAGCCTGGTAGTACCGATGCCAGATCGGCCTTAGTTGCAATTTGGAAGCTGGCTATGGCAAAAGTACCGTCTGTAACTAAGAGTGAAGTTGGAGAGAGAAGGCTGTGAATGTGAGGTAGGCGCAAGCAGAAACAGAAATTTGCAAGAATGATATTTCTGTGTGATATGCGGTGTGTTAATGGCAGTGTGACTGACTCATTCCATTAGGCAAAATCTTGCATGCAGAATCTCATAGGCGCAGCAACCAAAGATGCAGTGGCAGATCTTGGGTTTAAGGTCGTAGGGTGGAGACAAGGGAAGCGCTCTGAGGCAGGCGCTGTAATTGCTGAAATGACGGCTTCCTGTGACCGCCTGAGGCATTGAGGGCGAAAGAACACAGCGCGGAAATTACACGAGCCTTGGCGAATCTTGGCAAAATATGGCCTGTATTGGGTTTAGCTCCATGTTTGCACGTGACCTAGGTCAGGTGGCTGTGATGGGCGATAGAGGCTAAGGACTAGGTAAGCAATGGTGGGTGAGGACCTGGATGAGTGAGCCAGAGAACCTACTCCGACTCCCCAGCTATGACTTCGGTCATTGGATAAATTTAGAAGAAGCTCAAAGGTTGTTTTTGGAGCCTATTTGGACCCCTCTCATCGCGTTGCACGTGACCAAATTAATAGATTTAGTAGAAAGGGTCCTGTTTATGCTCCCTAGGATCCGACTTAGGCCCACTGAATATTGATAAATCTCGCAAGGCACAGCCGACTGGTATGTAAATCATATTAGTTAATGGGAGTGAGATCAGGAAAGTGACTGGTTAACTCGAGGCGAGGGTGGGTAGCGCCTGAACAGAGCGACGATCTGACTAACGGCATTAGAAAGAACGGAGGTTTGATGCGGTGAGATGACCGTATGGAAAAGTTAGCTATAACGCGAACGCTTCAAATAGTGCGGATTGGAAGGTCCAGAGCACTCCTGATAACTTTCCAGGCCCCGTTTATTTGGATCCTTCCAAGAAAATGATGGTATAGTGTTCCTTTGTCTGTCGAGAACCAGAGGCAATGCAAAGTCTGCCGATTCACCCATCAAATATGAATCTTGTGCTGCCATGTTCAAAACTATGCGCAGGTTTCTGTGGCAATTACTTGGGACAAGAGTCGAATAGCTTTGCTCTAGACTCGTAGACTTTGGGAGCTTTGTGATGGTTTCGTGAAGTTTCGTCCCATCTGCTCGTGCTGTTGTCAGGGTGACTTCCCCGTCATTGTTATTTTGTCGAAGAGCTGAAAGTTGTAGTTGGCCCCTGTCTTTTGAAAAAACGGGCATGGTCGTTGAACTTAAAGTTCTCTCCTTGGCATCGACCAAAGAGCAGCTCGCACCATCCCTAAGGTGCTCGAATTGCACAGTAATCGCTAGTTGCTGCTTCGCGGTTGGGCTTTCCAACGCCCCACTTCTCGATTTAATGGTATTGGAGAGATGGGGCTCAATGTACAGAAATACGGGAATTTTGTCTTGAATCGTCAGGCCGTACAGATAGTTACCGCATTTCGAGAATTGCATGTTATTGAGAGACGTTCCGTAGACTTCGATTAACTTGTTTCCTTAAAAATGCGTTAGCCCCCCAATGACGTATCAAGTACACTTTCCAAGGACTCACCAGCCTCACTGAACTTCCACAAAGATGTCCTTCCTGACGCGCACACGGCAAGGACTGGTTTTGAAGGATGGAAGCAGGAGATGCTGCTAAGGGGACTTCCATCGCTCCAGGTAGAAGCGCGAAAGATTCTAAGCCCAATCTGTATCATTGCGACCAATTTGAACAAAGGTTTAACGGACCCTGGAGTCGAATTTTCGAAAGTATTCAGCACCCATGGCCCACCTGGAACGTCAATGTCTGGTGGCCCATGGCCCTCCAGCATGAGGAAAAACCTTTCGTCAGGAGAAAACGAGTAGTGATACCACTGATAACAATCATGTTCCCCAGATCCCCTCAGATGGGCATGGCAATTAAGTTCCTCCGCGAGTAGTTGACTACTATCAACAGCTTTTTGTGGGATATTTGGCCATCTATCAATTGTTGGGAAGAAGTGGCAGCTAGACACCTGGATTGCCTGAGACTCTGGCTGAACTAGGTCAATTGTGCCTTTAATAGCCCGATTAGTTTGAAGAATGACATCTCCAATTGCAATCAGATTCAGCGATGGTGAGAAAGTAACCGGCAATCGAAATGCTTGGCGGTCGGCATTATATTTGTCCTTTTGGAAACTCGTATGGCATGCTGGAATCTCGAATCGGACAATTTTGATCTCTTTCATAGTCTCCAGTGACCAAATTTGGTAGCTTGCCTTCCACGGAGACAACTTTTGACAGGACCTTCTGGTCTTACTATTACTTACTTCCGTTAGTGAAGTCCCCGTGATTATGGATATGTGAACTTACTGTGACGGCCATACTTTAAGCACACCAACCTCAGACCCACTGTCTGAAACTTTTGATGCCAATAAAATGGCATCCACATCTTCCGGGGAGCTTAGTGAGACCAGACTTGATACATTGCTGCCTACTGAGAGCTCAGACTTGGTAAAAGTCTGAATGCTCGGTAGCCAGATTTCATTTGGATTTAGTTCCAAAACCCGACTCCATTGTAGCTCGAGATTCGACATGTATGTGGAGAGAGATTCCAGTTTCGCAGTAAGCGTAGCAACTTCCCCTAGATGTGGTACCTCAAGTATCTCCAGAGCAGACTTAATAATAAGTGGCATGTTCCTCAAACTCGGTGGAATACCAAATATCCATCCCGTTTCAATCCACATACTAACAAGTTCCCGACTCGACACTGCTTTGAGAATCTGAGACAGGAGAATTTTGTACTCGTTAATAGTGCTCAGTTTCTTGATGTCATCGATCAACTCAAATTGAAGACAATGCTGCACGTGGCTCACCCAGTTCAGTGCCGAATACTGTAAGAGTGGAAAGCGCATATCCACCAGCTCCGAGGTGATAGTCGTCGATGAACAGCCACTCAACGGGCTATGGGGAACTTCGTTGAGCATATAAGATATGCATTGGATCGCCATCATGCGGTGAGCCGCGTGCAACTGGACATGGAAGGGCCAAGGACAGCTCGGTCTCGGTCCTACTTGTGTGAGAAACTCAGAAACCGAAAGGTGTATGAAAGCAACAGTTTGATCTGGTCGAATCTCTACTAAGGAGCCACACATTTGGACGAGAGAGTCGTCGAAGTCTTGAATTTGATCGTCCTCCGACATAGCAGTATCCCTCTTCACAGCCATCAAGATCTTCAACTCTTTGGCTTCCAAGGGACGGAGTGCAGCGGTCAGCATTTGGAAAGTATTTTGTATCCTATTCCACTGAGTTCGAGGAGTGCTCTTTTCGACACGTTCCAAAATTCTAGTGAACATAACATCGAGACCAGTAAAGAGGTTAACTTGCTCTATTGTATCCAAACGTTCCTTGGAGGTCAGGGAAGGAGATTTCAAATACGCGACCATGAGAGTTGCCCAAAGGAATATAGAATTTGAATTGTGGGAGAGGTGTGCAGCAATGACTCCCGCATCATCAGGCCTCTTCCTAGCAATAGCTTTCTTGTCAAGCAAGGCGAGGATGTGAGGATGAAGATAAGTTTTTAGATCTTGAAGATTCTCTCGAGTGCTGAGTAATATGTGGTTCGTGTCTGATAGGCGCACATTAGGATAACGCAGATGAGGTCGGCCGAAAAGTAGAATCTTGGCCTTTGTGCCGCTAGTGAGTTGCTCAAGATCAAGGATGAAGTTTGTATAGTTAGAGCACTCGTCCATTCCATCGAATACAAAATACGATGGATGACATCGTTTAATGTAGACGCCAAGAATGTCGAGAACGTCTTCTTCCGATGCTAAGTTTTGTCCACTTCCGGTGGCATTCATAATGAGAGAGGCGATGTCAACAAGGTCTCTCTCCCCGTTCGCGCTATAGACATGAAGCAACTGTGTTAGGACCGATCGAAAGGCATCGCTGCTGCAAGAAAAGCCCCGGTGTTGTTGATCAAAGTGGAAAAAGACAACCACATCTTTCCCAGAGCATAAAAGCTTCTCCTGGAGGTGATCTATTACAAAACTCGAGAGAACTGTCTTGCCATATCCTGGTTTTCCTATTCTGGATAAGCATCATGTTAATTTGGCTCGGGAAATAGTATAATTACCTGATACTATCAATACTCGGTGTGAAAAATCTTCTTTTGAAGAAATATCTCCGCTTTCGGCCCATTTGCAAAATGTTGGGTCATTGAAGAACCATTCCCCTGTTCTCAACGTCCGACTTCGGCAGGCATCATTGTATATGGCGCGCCAACTCGGGGCAGAGATCCAATGCCTTATTGCAGACTTTCTTGACTCTGAGTCGAATTAATTAAATATTACAATTGGTCAAGATAGAACTCACGCAGCTCGTCTGCTTCCATCTTGTCTATCTTCTCTAGGCTTGCTTCTCGGGCCTTCGCGTTCCCTTGGAGCTCTTCTTCGATTGCATCGTAATGCCAAAGCATTTCTTGTTTGTAAACGTCGTCGAGGCCCCCTTCAAAAAGCTTTCTGTGCTTGTCGAATCGAAGAAGTATCTTTGAAAAACGTACATCAAACGGGGTCCACATTAAATCCATAATAATTTTTGCTTTGGATCGAATGTCTGCGTGATTGTTAGGCGTATATGATAATGAATGGATTGAATTCGACTCACCCATACGCTTGGTGTAAAACAAATTGCGGCAGTCACAGCAGAATTGCATGATATCGGTATAAACAAACGACAGTGATTTGACCAGGCGTTCGTGAGATGGGCCCCACTTCCCGTTCTTTGCTCTACCTCCTAACATATCAAGATGTTGATGATATGAAGGTAGATGTTCGGCCATCTGTTGGTACATGATTGCCAATTTCTCAAAAAACATCACATAATTGCAACTAAGCTAAACGGACACCAAAATTAGTCTTAGGTGGTGTATTAAATCAAAGCACCGCACATACCTGAAAGACAAAGCAAGCAGCCCCCCGTAAAATCCCTGCCCAGTCTGGCTGACTTGACACAAATATGTTAACCACCTCGAAATACTGTTTTATGGCCTTACCAAAATCGTCGATCTTGGTACACGCAGCTAGTAGTCGTGATTGATGCCGAGATTCCAAACTTTTAATGTGTTGTTCTAGAGCAGTTACTAAATCCTGTGGACCTTGGATGACCTTGCATTCTATCTTGTCTTCGTCCGAGAGCCCAGCTTGAAATTTCGAAGCGGCAGCAGCGAATATTTCCTCCACGCTAAGCAGTCTGTCATACCAGTCAGGCTTATACCTATAGTTGAAGTGTTTGGATTATACTTCTCTTTCCGTTGCTGTCGTGATTCCATCTTTTAGCATTGAACCTCATCAGAATCGAGGGAAAGGGCGCGGGATATTGATAAATGTGCCTAACGTAGCCTCGCTCGGCTTCCGCCGGGGCTCTTCCCGCCTGCACTGCACAGCCTCAGAGCTGAGGCTTCGCACCGACGAATCATTCCTTCGTGTGGTGAGACATTGGCTCACTAGAAGGTGTCACTCACCAATCGCCCACACCCCCTTCCCGCTCAACTTGGATTTTGGAGACCTTAACGCTACAAATTCGAAGAATTAACATGATATTCACAATATGTCGAGTATTCTCTATAATCTGGAAAGTTTTTGGAATTTTCCAAAGACTTTGAAAAAATCGAAAGGAATTTGGTGGGGTAGGCGTGGGCGGTTAGTAGGCGACCCCTTCTAGCGGCCGCATGCGAATATCCCCTGTTTAGTCAGAATATGGCCGTCTCCTCTAATCAAGCCATCCATTTATGCGGCCCCAAGCGCTGCCAATGTCTCAACGGACGAAGGGATAGGATTCAGCCCCTAATTTCAACAATCGAGATCAAGAAGCGGCCTTGGTGTTGTTTTTAAAATTGGAAAATATTGCAAAGGATATTTGTGCTGTGCGACTCATGCAAAATTACAAATGATTTTCTTGGAGTCAGGATAATGTTATCAATAAGTATTCTCATCAGAGCCTGGAACTTTCAGGTCAAAGTGTGGTCGGAGATTCTCCCATTTTTAGTTTCCTACTTGGCAAATCGCCATTTCCTGCAATTTTCTCTTCTACACCTGGCCTCAGGAATCGACAGGGCCGCATAACAGACAACCTGCCTCAGCACAGCCACTTTCAAAATGTCCCACAAGCAAATTTCAGCTCGTACAATAGTTGCTGATCCCAGCAGTTTGGGTCAAACACACTCTGCGCATAATAGCCGGCCCAGCCCAAGCAAGTGTCTCATCGAGAGATTTTTGTATGGGAAACTTACCAAAAACAAATGTCCTCGATTTTCGCGAGTTTTACCTGCTTTTTCGCTGGCAAAGTAATTGCCAATTTTTTATTTAATTAAGAGAATAACCAACGTATTGACTTTAAATTTTTATTTTACCTTCATAGAATTACTTACTTATGTATTAAGATATATCAAAAAAAAAAATTATGTGAGCGTGCATCAGGAAAATAGGTTAAGTTATTCGTAATTCCTGAGACGAACTTAAGTAGTTTCATATACAAACTCTCGACGGGAAATTTTCTTGGACCGAACGTTGGCGGAACGAGCAACGAAGGCAACCGGCTATCAGTCTGGGTAGTTTGGGGGAAGAGGGTTTCTTGCACAGGAAGCGCTGTTCAGGACCTCTGCCGGTGTGACGGCGCTGGCCAAACAGCCAGCTCGCACGTGACTTCCGGGTCATTCACCGTTGTTGGAACTAGGATGTACACTGGTATACTGTAGTTTGTATACTGGATGTATACATTACGCCCACTCTATGTAAACCATAGAAATCAAGTCATCAAATTCGAACTAAATGTTGCAATTACCGTTTCACGGCCTGTATATCACATGACCCAGCAGACAACGATATATACTCAGTCACTCTCTGTACTTCGTAACTCCTTAGTTTAGTATTCTTCAATATACGACCGTTTACTGGGTTAGCTTTAGCTTCCTACTCGTGCCATCACACCTGGAGAGGGCATGGCAAGTCGGGTGTTCCTGTTTAGGCTCCCAGGGAGCCGACTTGGTCCCTCTAAATATAGTCCCGTAGAGTTGGCCAACTTTCGCATATATAATTGAACAGTAATAATTGGTTACTAGAAGCGAGAGCAGGAACGTGACTGAGCACCCTGAGTAGAGGGTGAGGCGAGGGCGAGTAGCGCCTGAGCAGAGCGGCAATGCTGCCTAACCGCATTGGAAGTGAATGTGAGTAAATGTCGTCTGAGACTTCCCCAATATATCAATCACCAGTGTGAACATCTCGACGAATGCTTTTCGTCCGAGTAGTTTTGGAACAATCGAACTACAGCTAAGCCTGAAATCTTTAGTAAGATATCTAAGTGAACTCAAGAGCTCAACTCCTCTGGACAGAATATACTCGTTTTTATCAATGACAAGTGGTGGTCCAAAATTAGACGAAAAGACACTGATTCCACTCCCACCGGGGCTAAAATACGAGGAGGCTTTTCAAATTGACTATGCCGCAGATATTCTAGACATATATCAAACCTTCATCGTTTGTGCTATCAAGCTTTCACATTCGCTATATATTATTTGTCCGAACCGGGCGAGTTTGTCCCTGCATCGGTGTGGAGCTTACAAGCATGGGTTTGCCGCCTTCATTCGTCTCTTCAGCCAACTGGCGACATATCTGAACGCATCAAGGGAGATAGTCTGATGGAACTTCCAGGGCACAACTAGTACAATGCTTCAAGGGGCCCCGTGGCCAAGTTCTTTGTTAGAGACCCAGAGACCTCCGATAGTCCCAAATCCCTGTTTGTCCATGGACTTATGGTCGACACTATTTCCAAGCTTGGCCTTGTTGCTAAAGTCGGCATCATTTTGCAAGAATGGGTTGAGCTTGGCCAGTGCGATGGTGCTAGTGAAACAGTGCCTGAAGGCTTTTGGAGGACCTTGGTTGCAGATCGTGGGCCCCATGGCTCTCCAGCACCCTCGCGGTATAGCAGAGCATTTCTTTATTATCTTCGGCTTAGTCCTACGGGCAACACCAACACCAACAGACTCATGGCGGAAAGTGAAATAGAGCCTTCCCCGGCAGTAAATTTCGTGCAGCGAGTTCATAGCGTCAAGCGGAACCGCAAGTTGCTTGTATCAGAAACCAAAAAGTATGAAGGCTTGGTTCCCATGACCGCGGAGGGGGAAGCCGTGGCTGCTGGATATCATGAAGAGCAATTTGAGCTTAGATGAAATTGAAATATTCGTGGATTTCTGGATCCTAAGGGATCTACCCATATACAATAATGAGCTCGCATGTTCCTGAAGTGACGGTAATCTTACTTTACACCACTACTAAATCAATCCATGTCTAATATAGTACATCTTTAGACGATTTTGACATCAAGCATTCTCCTATGGATTTCGAAAGTTCTCTTTTACTGTGCTCTAGTTCAAGAGTTAATTTCGAAACGTCGGAGTTGAGAACGTTTATTATAGACGGCTATTAAAACGTGAGATTGAGAACAGACTTTCACGAGGTCCTTCTATAAGATTTGCAAGGTTTAAGGAGCTTGATATCTCCCATGCGTTCCTTAATACAAATTCTTTACTAAACCTGGTATCGATCGGGAATGCAAAACTTCACCCATTTCTGCTCACTCTCCCCGTGCCGCATAATGTAACTCGTTGGGAGGCAAAAATTAATGCACGTTTCTCGTTCTCGTTACACTACGTGCTCTGGCGCCATGGACTTGGGTAAGAGATTTAAAAGCTACAATCATTGGGTTGCCACGCTAGTGCACTCTTCATATAGGTCTTTTGCTGTCTTGCGACCTGCCATAGTATAAAAACTCTGTGGTCGCGGAGCGCCCGAGCAGGCTCGAGATGTCCCCTAGTTTGTGCACGCGTAATTTCACTTAGATGTGTACCAGCTGCAATCTTTTTCTTCCTCGTGTGTACTATTTAACAGGCCACCGAAGATTCCCTTCAGGATCAAAACCAACGTCCACGCTTTTGTTCGGAGTGCCATTGCTCTCGGTCCCGGTGTACACCCTCGCATTGATAGATCCGTGGAAGAAAGAGCGAGAAATCCTGTCTCGACCTATGACAATCCTACTTGATTCGTCAACTGAATCCACGATCTCCCTTATCGACTCGGAGGCTTCCGGGATCATTAGGTCGATCCACAGGCGATTAGAAGAGACTCCAAGAACCAGTGTAAATCTTTGGGACCACTCTTCCCGAGATCTGAAGGTAATCCAGGCTCGCGAACCGTTTTCATCAAATTTGTCCAGAGTGTAACGAAAGCCTTGACCAGGACGGTACCAGGAGCCAGGTATGTTTCGAGTGTTTTGCCCTATCACTTCAAATCCGCGATCAGACAATAGTTTCGTGGCAACTGAAATATCTCCATCCGAGACTCTTTCGTCTGAGGGTGAAAGTTGTGGCACATAAATGATTCTTCTGGACTCATTTGCAATATTCCGGCGGATCTCCTCCGTGATAGACACAGGTACCAATATTGAATGCCGATGCCAATTCTTATCAACTTTGGAGACGTATAAATGCAAAGCAATCAAGGCCTGTGGATCATGCGTGTTTATTGCCCTCGAGTCGTTGTATGTGCAGTTTAGTAGTGCTAGGAAATTCGTCCCGTCCACGCCAGCGGGATCATCCTGAGAGCTTGGTATTAATGCAAACTGCACACAAACACCCTTGCCAGTCATACTATGATGAGGTCGGCTTCCATCCACTATGACGCGGGTGTAAATGTGAGAGTCATAGAAGTAATTTGGCGACGGTGCGAGCAATCCAGAAGTTCCGTACAGATGGCCACCTTCCCAGGCAAATATCAAATCATCATCTATCTTGCTTAGTATCTCAAGCTGAAGCCTGAGAAACGCATTTTCTGCCTCCCCGTAAAGTGGCGCCATGTGTACACCGAACAGACCCAGAAGAGAGTACGCCCGGTCCTCTATTCTTGTTGTCTGTCTTGCCGATGCCCAGGACATCTTTTGGGCAACACTAGCAGCTTCATAATTCCAGACATCCGTGATGCGCGTTATACCACTGAGCAAGGCACCCAGGTTAGACTTGCCTCCAATCCACTTCCAATCCTTACTAAAGAAATCAACATATTCTGGGGCGAGGAGCTCCTGGAGCGTCCAGCCTCTAGTGAACCATTTGCTGCGCCGAAATTGTGAATTAGGAGCCTCGTGGTCTCCATTCGTAGAGTTGACATCCGACAAATATGCATAGCATACTTTAGATTGCTTATACCAGGCAAACATTGAATTTATCGCCTCCGAGAGCTCAGCGCTGCTGGACTTATCGATGCAACAAGAATCAATCCACTGGGAATGGCGTTAGGTCCCTCTTTCGTTGATATGTGGGTTATAAAACCCAAGGTTCAGGGGCACTGCCAGGCCCACAGCAAGGAAATCACGGCTGCTCTCTGCACCTTGAAATCTTGTCTAAGGGAACCATAACGGGTCTCCAATTACAAAAGTCTGGAATGATTTACGTACAACATATTCCCAACCGTCCAAGACTGCTTGGGTGCAACATCCGGTGATCTTGCCCCAGCCTTTCATGCCAGGGCCCTTTTCGTCCTTCAAATCTTGAAAGGTGACTTCGGCATCTTCCCACCGGTGGGACAAGATCGCGTACGAAGGGATTTTGCTGCCAAAGAACTCATGGAGTGTAAGCTTTGATGCGTGGAGGAGACGCATGCCGAATCACGTTAGTTGGGATGGGAGGAGCCCGAACTTGACTGACTGGGGAACTGGTCGGGATGAGTGCAATCAATAGCGAAGGCGGTATAGCTTTGAGGATCATTAATGCGGCCAAGGAGTAAATTTGGATGAAGCTTTGAAGAATATCAAGTTGAGTATGACCTTGTGGGGCGATGTTCAATGAAGAACCTGAAAGTTGAAACGAGACTGGAAGTCGTGATGAAGCACTAAGCGAAAAAGTGGCCTATCACGTGCCAAGCACATCTATCCACCATCAAAATTGTCAACTTCTATGGTCTACTCTTCCTAACACTAACAGGATAAGAGCGTGGGATATAAAACGGCACTGCTACAGACTCCTCTTTCTCTCACGTGGCATGACGCAGAGCAGTTGAACGGCCAATGTAGGAGAATGATTTTCAATACACAAAATCGTTCTGGCCATGGACGCGGGTTTCCGAGCTCAAAAGCTGTCTCACTTAAGGCCCTAAAGCCATCATTACCAAAGATCCCTTGTCATCGAAGTTCTTAGCCCAGACGAGAAGCATCCATTCGTTATCACAAACCTTACCGGGGTTCCATGCCCAAACTAGGCAATAGTTTACATCCCCAGATACCCCACCGTCCAATGAGACCCTGCAAAAATCAACGGGTTCCCTCCACTCTGGTATCTAGAATTTTCCTATTAGACCATTCTTATCTGCTTGCATGGGATCGAGGATAACGGTTTAGAGGTGGAGGCGTCCGTTTTTTTTTTGAGTTCCCCAGAATGCTTATATTATGGAAATATCTATTGGCTTTCCTTTGCTGAGTCGGTCATTCTTAGCACCTTGGCGGAGCAGATGTGGCAAGATTGATTGAATCACGAAAGATGTCGTCTGAAGAATCAGTTCTTCCTGAAATGACAACCTCGGTGCATGAAAAATCAATTGGAGATGCTCCAACTACAGATCTGGTCTCTGGGGACACAGAAAGGTTTCAAGGTTTTTTTTATTAACTCTTTTAGTAGCCTTACTCCCTTAACAAGCCAAGGAGTATAAAGGCACTTCCGGTCCCTCGAACTAGCACTTGTTGGCACCAACATAGCATGCTCCATCCACAACGACTCCAGCATCATCGTCCTCAGCTCCAAACGAAAAGTGTCCAACAGGCCGCGCCTCTTCATTTCCCAGCCTCCATAGTTGCAAGGTTCCCGGAGACCACACTCCACTTCAGTTTCCCCTGGACTTTCCCTTCAACGATTTCTCATGTAGTTTTCCACTCATTCGCCATAGGAACCAGTTCATATCCCGACCGATAAGGCTATAATTGCTTGTCCCATCTAAATAGTCTAGATCTGTGGGGTTGTCTTGCTCAGTATCACGAGGCGTTGCTCTGTTAACAAAATGCTAAGTGACATGCGAAGCAGCTGAGATGGCTGCAGAACAGTTTCCCGCGACGACCATGCGGCGAGGAAGGGAAATATGACGTAGGACGAGTGGAATTACTAGGGCGGTCGTGAAGATGCATATACCTGTCAACTCCGCTTTTATCGCCGACTCCGCTCCGATTAATGGAGAAGCTACTTCGCTCGGTGGCGGTGTGGGGTCCCAGGACTGTGCTTTGTTTATCAGATATCTTGGCAACATATTGCCCGAAGGACTTGAGATCTTGGCGGCATTGCTTACTCTCGCCGATGTATACATAAATAGAATTAGAAGTTACAACATGAAGGATAACCTCCATGACCTGAAGTGGAATCGCATGGACAAGTGGGATCTGGAGGAGCCATGGAGAAAGCTATTTGTTGAAATTAGGGGCCTGAGGCCCCTAATAGGCTTAGGAAGCCCTGGAACCGAACGCCATGGGGCTGTGCACTAGCTTAATACCCTGTACAGCTGGAATACCCTGTACAGCTGGAATACCCTGTACGGCTGGAATACCCTGTATAGCTGGAATCGGTTCAGCTGGCATAGGAATTTAGTGCATGTGATTTAGGGTGTTCAGGGCTATATATACGGGCTACTTACCACTATAGAACAGCAGTCAATTCAGTACGTTTTACTTGGTTTACATTGCAAGCACGTGACCCTAGCTTTATTATTTAGCTAGTTCAACAGGTTATAAGTACCGGAAGCTACCTCTACGCACTATAAATCACTGGATCGGCTCACTTGCACCTACCGGAAATATCTCACAGAAATACACTATAGAAGACGATTTTAGTATGGAAAAGCCCCGGATCGCCAGGCTTATAGGGCCCAATTATAGGCCCTGGAGCGTTCAGGTACGTAGGCTTTTAATTAGTCAAAGCCTATGGAACGTGGTTAGCCTAGGGGTAGAAACTACTACTATAGAACCGGGTTCTACAGGGGGTTCTGGTTCTGGAGATGGGAGCGATCCTAAGGCCTTAGGGCCTTCCAGTAATCGTACGGAGGTAAAGGATACTAAGGCGAGTACTATAATCATAAGTTTATATACTCAGGGAGCCTTACAGCATATATTACTCCTTGGAACGGCCAAGGAGCAATAGGAGGCACTGAAAGCTTTATATGCCCCCCTGGGCATACAATAGCTTAGTGCTAAAATTCAGGCTTTTACTAGCTATAAGCCACCGGAACGGGGTGCTACTATTGCTATAGTAGCCACGGAATTAAGTACTTTATAGTACGAAATCGGAACTATCGATCCTACGGAAAAGCCCTCTAAAGCCCTCAAAATATCGATCTTTTTTGGGGCCATTAGGGCACTGGATAAGCGCTTTACTCCCCTGATATTGCAGCTTGAGATTAGTAGGAGTACTACTGATTATAGTATAATAATAGCTCGCTTCAGTAAATATAAACGGAGAATGGGACTAAAAGAAGCCCTGAAAGAGTCTGTTTTACTAGCTAAAACAGGGGAAAAGAGCCCTAAATTTCAGGGGAAGTGCTTTAAATATGGTAAACAAGGCTACAGAAAATCTGATTGCAGGAGCAAGAAGGTAGAGAAGCAAGAAAATCAGGAAAAGAGCCCTAGTATAGGGCCCTTAGTAACCCCTGGAGGAGGCAGAGGACTCTCTCCAGGGCCTGAGAAGCCTATAGCAAACGCTAGTAGTACTGAAACCAGTTAGATAGCTCTAGCAGAGCCTACCTATAGTAAGGATTTACTATAGGTTATTGATTCTAGAAGCTCCCATTACATAACTTATTTGCGGGAGGCTTTTACTAAGTATAGGGTACTAGATACTCCTATACTAGTAACTACGGCAAATGGGGCCCGGATTCCGGCTATTGCAGAAGGCACTGTACTTTTGCAGGTGGCCCTGGGGGCCTCTATACAAACTATAAAGCTCACTGGAGTGCTTTACATACCTAAGCTCGCTGGAAGCTTAATTTCGGTACTGCAGCTTCAGGATAAGGGCATTACTATACGTACTACTACTGGTTCCACTGGAAAGAAGCTCTTAATTGAATTTCAGGGAATAGTAGTAGGGGTTACTAGCCGCTTAGGGAGAGCATACGCCCTGGGCAGTATCCCACAAGGCACTGGTTTAGGGCATAGCTCTCTAAAAGTAACTACTATACCAGAAAACCAAGCTAGTAACCACCTCTGGCACCGCCACTTCGGCCATTTAAGCCCCACGAGCCTAAAGCTGGAACACACTGTTTCTATAGGGCTTAAAGAGCCTATTGGGGCTCTTTAGCAGCCCTGCAAGCCCTATATTAAGGCTAAAATAGTACGGATAGTAAACCGGAAGGCCCCTAAGAGAGCTATAGCTCTATTAGAACGGATTCACAACAATTTTTGGGGCCCTTATAGTATACCTATACTAGAAAGGGATACTTATATACTTATATTTACGGACAATTATACCCGTAAATTATAGGTATACCTTACCAAAACTAGAAAGTAGCTGAGAACTATATTTTTGTAGTTTAAGGCCCTAGTAGAGCTAGAATCAGGGTATAAAATTAAGGCTATATGTTATAATAATGCCTCAAAATATAAGTTTTTAGGGGCTTTATTACTAGACGACTATAGTATATAGTTTGAGTATACTACTACTTATATCTCTAAATAGAATAGGGTTTCTAAATACCTGAACCGGAGCTTAATATTAATAGCTAGGGCCATATTATTAGATACCAAGCTCCCTATACGGTTCTAGGAAGAAGCCGTAATTATAGCCTATTATTTATAGAATCGGATATCTATAGGGCCTAATAGGAAGACTCCAGAAGAAGCCTATAGTAGGAAACGCCCTAATATTAGGTATCTTAGGGTATATGGGTATATAGTATATATATATATTCCTAAGGAAACTCGCTTGAAAATAGATAATATAACTATTAAGGCCTGTTTTATAGGCTATATACCTATATTAAGGCAGTACAAGCTATATAAGCCTGAATAGGGGAAAATTATAGTATCTATAGTACCTGTTTTCTATAAAAATAAGTAATTAGAGTAGAACTGGAATAAGGAGCTTATTAGAAAGAAAATAGTCCCGTTTAACCTAATAGAAGCTATAATAGAATAGCCTATAGTACCTAAAGCTCCTGTAATTACAGGGCCTTTAGAGGGTATATATAACTCTCTAGCTCCTATTTCCCCGTTACCTGACTCCTAATAAAGTGTTCTAAGGAACTATAGGGATACTATAGTAGTAGATATAGGGGCTTTGGATTCCGATTCAGGGAATACTAATTCAGGGGACCCTAATTTCCCTAATTAGGGAGAACTACCAATTACAGGGCACTATATAAATGCGGTAATTATAGAGTATTTGATTTCAAAAACCTATACTAAGGCTATAAATAACCCTATTTATAGAGCCTATTAGAAGTAAGCAATTAGTAAAGAACTTACTAAATTATAAGTCCTTAATATCTGGAAACCAGTACTATTATTTTCTGGAAAGAAAGCTATAGGCTATAAGTGGGTATTATAGTATAATAGGCCGTACTTATTAAAAATTATATTATTTTAGTAGTTTTGAGGTTTAGGTTATATAATAAAGGCTATAATTTTTTATATATAACTTGCGGAAATTATATAAGAAAGCTGGTTTTTCTATAGACTTAGAGAATAATTCTTTATAAATATTTAATTAAATGAGCTTTTATATACTATATACTATTTATATTTTACTATTTATACTTTTGATTTATTGTTTTACTATTAAGTTATGTTTTGTATTT